TCCCATGAAGATCCGGGTTAGAATTGGTCTTCAGCAACCCATGCTTGTCCCCCATGAAGATCCAGGTAAGAACTGGTCATCAGCAACCAATGCTTGTCCCCCATGAAGATCCGGGTTAGAACTGGTCTTCAGCAACCCATGCTTGTCCCCCATGAAGATCCGGGTTAGAATTGGTCTTCAGCAACCCATGCTTGTCCCCCATGAAGATCCGGGTTAGAACTGGCCTTCAGCAACCCATGCTTGTCCCCCATGAAGATCCGGGTTAGAATTGGTCTTCAGCAACCCATGCTTGTCTCCCATGAAGATCTGGGTAAGAATTGGTCTTCAGCAACCCATGCTTGTCTCCCATGAAGATCCGGGTTAGAATTGGTCTTCAGCAACCCATGCTCGTCCCCCATGAAGATCCAGGTAAGAACTGGTCTTCAGCAACCAATGCTTGTCCCCAATGAAGATCCGGGTTAGGACTGGTCTTCAGCAACCCATGCTCGTCCCCCATGAAGATCCTGGTTAGAATTGGTCTTCAGCAACCCATGCTTGTCCCCCATGAAGATCCGGGTTAGAATTGGTCTTCAGCAACCCATGCTTGTCCCCCATGAAGATCCGGGTTAGAATTGGTTTTAAGCAACCCATGCTTGTCTCCCATGAAGATCCGGGTTAGAATTGGTCTTAAGCAACCCATGCTTGTCCCCCTTGAAGATCCGGGTTAGAACGGGTCTTCAGCAACCCATGCTTGTCCCCCATGAAGATCTGGGTTAGAACTGGTCTTCATTAACCCATGCTTGTCCCCCATGAAGATCCGGGTTAGAACTGGTCTTCATTAACCCATGCTTGTCCCCCCCTGTGAAGATCCAGGTTAGAACTGGTCTTCATTAACCCATGCTTGTCCCCCATGAAGATCTGGGTTAGAACTGGTCTTCATTAACCCATGCTTGTCCCCCATGAAGATCTGGGTTAGAACTGGTCTTCATTAACCCATGCTTGTCCCCCCCTGTGAAGATCCGGGTTAGCACTGGTCTTCATTAACCCATGCTTGTCCCCCCCTGTGAAGATCCGGGTTAGAACTGGTCTTCAGCAACCCATGCTTGTCTCCCATGAAGATCCGGGTTAGAATTGGTCTTAAGCAACCCATGCTTGTCCCCCATGAAGATCCGGGTTAGAATTGGTCTTAAGCAACCCATGCTTGTCCCCCTTGAAGATCCGGGTTAGAACGGGTCTTCAGCAACCCATGCTTGTCCCCCATGAAGATCCGGGTTAGAACGGGTCTTCATTAACCCATGCTTGTCCCCCATGAAGATCCGGGTTAGAACTGGTCTTCAGCAACTCATGCTTGTCCCCCATGAAGATCAGGGTTAGAACTGGTCCTCAGCAACCCTTGCTTGTCATAAGAGGCGACTAAAGGGACGAGGTTGTCAAGCTTGCTGGTTGATTGCATTTCATTGTATCCGAGTTACATTGATCCATGCAAATGATGTCAGTCACTATATTATCTGGCCTAGACTTGCTATTTACAGGCCAATGTCATATAACTGGAATAGTGCTGCATTGAACAATAAAAAAACAAACATACATACTGGATAGATTTGTTTTTCTTTGTGTTATGTATTAATACTGCAGTCAGCAATTTTCCAGCTATATGACAGCAATGTGTTAATAATGGAGTGTGGACCTGACAATCCAGTGATTTACATCAAGAGAATTGATCCACATGAGTGAGACTTGCAGGTGAGGTCACATTGACTTTCAAATCCCCTCCTGCCAAATCCTAATGTTGGTGACTGATGAAGATGCTATTTCTTTACAATATGTTGTTTTATTTCTTACTTTTATTATGATTATTTCAATGAGAGAATTACCAAACATATTCCCATCAACTGTAACAGCTAGACATTACCATTTGTATGCAAACCATAAGCCTTCATTAGCTGTTGTCATCTCATCATCAAACCTGTCAAGGTTAAGCTCTTGGATGTCAAATCATCTTTGCCAAAAACGTCCGTGAGTGCTCCAATATCAAAGGATGGGTGAAGGGTTTGACATCTTTTATGGATCAATATATAGGCTATTGATGTATTCATACACACGTTTTTTTGTGTGAAAAGGCTTAATGCGATAGAGGTATCAATTAGAAAATTGAGACCTCATTTTCGCCACTCAGAATTAATTCTGGATAATTCTGAAGAACTTTTGATCGCCGCCTTTCTAAGGAATGACCTCACTGGCGTAAAACATTATTGAAAAAGGAACATAAGGTCTGCGGGATGAAAGTACTATTAATTAACAATACCCCTCCTTGTATCAATGTACAGGTAGGGCTTTTAAGGCAGAAGCGGAAGATGTCCCATGAAACGTTAATGTTCTTGAAGGAAATACCCGTCCCCTTGATGATGAGGCATGGGCAGGACAAAGCCTGGTCTAGACTCACTTTATTTTATCTCAAAGAATGAGTATGTGGCTTGGCTGCTGCTGCTGATCTTGTGGAATAAAGAACTGGGGACTGAGTCTGTCTGAGACTTGTTACAAGATACTGTGCTAGAGTTAGTTTAACGGGGTAATTACTGGGAATGTAAGCTGACAATCAATACTCCTTTATCAGATGTGACAAAGCCAGTGATTTGTGCAGGTAGTCCAGATTACAGTGAAACACTGATGAAAGACAACGAAGTGATACGTAATCAGAATCACTGTCATCAGCATGATGAGGGAAGTGTAGGATTTGTTGGCTTGGTTCATCATCAGGGTTCATTGTGGATGAAGATGTGTGTATTTTCCCTGGGGATGGCAGTCCCAACTCCTTTGTAGTATTGTCACATCATCATGCATTCAGACTGGAAAAGGAAGGGCTGTGGCTTTGGAGAACATATTTTTCAGTAGGGTCGTCAAGATTTAGGATCAGATGTCTGAATTTTTATGAAAATCATACTCAGTGAAACCTTGAATTGAGGGCAGCAATGCTTATTGTGAAATGGTCTGGAGTAACTTGTTTTCGGATGAACGAGTCGTGGGTGTGTAGTAATGTCCCTTTTGTATTGCCATTACCAAAAGAAGTGCACTGGAAGTGTGTGAGTGAGTGAGTTGGGTTAAACGCCACTTTTAACAGTATTCCGCGGCGTCTCAGCTTAATGTGGGAGGAAAGCCCAAAGTGATGCAGGTCTAAGACGTTTACCACTTCGGTGAAACCCACGAGCACGGGTATGGTGCTGACAAACCTAGAAACATAATTGGGGCAAACCGGGATTCGAACCCACAATCATAGGTTTCTGGCTTGCCCAAGGGACGCAACTCTGCACAGCGAATCGCGGCGCCTTAGACGACCGGGCCACCCGTGCCCCCTTCACTGGAAGGCTGGAATTTCCAACTAACAGGGGCTGGACTAACAAGGTTTTACTATATAGTTATGAAGCATTGTTACGTTGTAACTTGTTGAAGATCATGAGCATTAAGGTCGGGACTGAAGTCTGTAGTCTAAAATTTGCAGTCTGTCACAATCTATAAAGGACTGATTACATTGTCATTGAGACCTTGAGGTTTCACATTCTGTATATGTATAGTAAAATATTATATATATTATAATTATATATTGTAAAATCCTCAAAACTGCTACTTGGTTTGATAATCAAGAAGATTCATTTCTCATTAGGACCAGTGTTTAGTTTTTTAGGATAGACCATAAATAATCTTTTGAAAACATCAACCAGATCACATACAATCATTTTGTTGAATGCTTTCAGAATAATATGGTCCGGTTTGATTCTATTGAAGTTCTATTTTCATAGACAAGAGGATTGCCTGGGTATTCATTTGATTCTGACTTTCACCATACCTCAGAAAGTAAGAAACAACAACGCTTGGGTTAATCAGTTTTATTAGAAATATCCTCAGATTTGTTCGGTATATCCGGCTTCTGTTGTCTGTTTTTCGTCCATTACTGCATCATTGTCTGCCATCACGGTCATGGCCCCAGACAGGTGTTGGTGGATTATGATGGGTTGAAGTAACACACTGTTCTGTTTCTGTAGCAACAAGCTATGTTCTGCCTACAACTAGTTCAAGAACACTGATGATAAGGATGACAATTTATAGTGTGATACATGTGAACATGATGAATATACACAACTCTGTTTAATATGTTATGATTGGAATATGGTCTTCTCATTGTCTTTGGATTTCATCACAGAAACAGTGGCCATTCACTTCAAGTGGTCAATCTCAGATTTATGATGCTAACAACCTTGGAACATGAGATTATGTACGTTTGATGTCCCTATAAGGAGAAAGGGAACTTTGTTCAGTTCTGTACTCAAACTGGTTTGCAATACAAACTAAAAGAAACTAAGTTTAGTAAGACTGGGTACCGCAGAACATGGCGCATGGTATATTTTCTCCATCCACCATGTCTGATCTCATACGACGTCTCTACTGCATTTGTATGTTGGTATTTCAGATGACTGATCTTGTATTTCTGCCAGGGTGTTCTTGGTGCTTTTGTATTTTGCAGTCAGGATGTTTGTGATGTTCTTGTATTACAGCCGGGATGTTCTTGATGTTCTTGTGTTACAATCAGGGTGTTCTTGGTGTTCTGGGGCGGTTGGGTGATTAGTGATTAAAGCATTCACTCGTCTCGCCGAAAACCTGGGTTTCATTCCCGACATGGGTACAATGTGTGAAGCCTATTTCTGGTGTCTCCACCGTGTTATTGCTAAAACCGAAGTAAAATCTCACTCACTCACTCACTCACTCACTCACTCACTCACTCACTCACTCACTCACTCACTCACTCACTCACTCACTCACTCACTCACTCACTCACTCATCCACCCACTCACCCACTCACTCACTCTTGGTATTCGTGTATTGCAGCCAGAGTGTGCAGCAGGAAATGCTTACCCTTGTCATGAACACCTGGTGTCTTCACTGATTTTCAGTGATCCATTCATATAATTTTCGCCACTATTTTGCCAATAAGCCATTGTGTACTTTATCTTCTTTTACTCGTATTGCAGCATCAGTAGAGTGCTTGATGTTCTTGAGGTGACAAGATGATGAAGTCGCCTGCAGACGAGTGCAGTACTCACCACTCCGCCAACCACACGGTCACCTACATCCTGTATGCAGAGTATGCTGGGATACCCGACAACTTAATCATCAATGTCATAGCGTGGCTGGTAAGTAGTGAGAAACAACTGGATGGCCAGGTACAAGTACAGTCAAGTCCCATTAATCCGACATGGTTGGTTGCGTATGATTATGTCAGATTAATAAAAAATCAGACAACTTCATGATAGATAACGATACAAACACGTGTAATAAAAAAAGTGAAAAATAAAATATTCATATTGTTATGTTACATTGTTAACGGAATATGTTTTCTAATCATGCAAACTCTAAAGCTTAACACAAAACTACAGTTACGAGCTGTATGACTGATTTTAAATATTTAAAAAAAGCATAGTCAGGAATGGAAGTTTTCAGTTTGAAACTAGTGCCGCAAAGCTCAAGAAAGCTGCTTTCTTTATGGCTAATGTCGACTTCCTGTTAGTCATTTCAGTAGTCAGTCAAAGTTCACGAAAGGTGACTTGTAATGGGATGTCCTCAGAGGTAGCATGAACTTGTATCTGATTTTAATGATATTGAGGTAATCTAAGCATGTGATTGTTTACTTAAAGCATTAATTGTTTATTGTTAAGCGAGTTTATCTCTGCAGCGTTGTAATATGTAGCTACCAGCCGACTTGTCTCGCTTCAAAAAACATGGGGCTGTGTACTCGTGGGCAGATGACCACGGAGTTCACTGATCACTGTGTCGGATTAACGAGACTGAATTAGCTGTGTCAGAGTCGGAGAGCGAGACTGTCGGATAAACGGGTCTAAATAGCACTGATTTAATTGGTTCCCATCATTAGTGACAGATAAAGCCGGTTGTCGCATTAACGATTGTCGGATTAACAAGACTTGACTGTACTGTATTCGCTGTCGTACGTGCCCTGCTTCAATAACTGCCTCCTGACCAACTTCTGGACCAATCCATCAGAAGCATAGAAGGGGTAGTTGCCTGGTAACTATTATTGAAAACGTTTTAGTTTCATCAATGTTGAACTGTTTGTACTACCACTAGGTCTCTGAAAATATATTTGACTTGTTTATGGCTTTAATAAGTGCTCCCAGGATGCTTTTTACGTCAAATACGGTATCAGAATTCCACCTCTACCTCTGTTAGTGATTCATATTCTGATTCTGGGTATCAATTTTCAAGTAACGTTTGCAAAGTGCTACCTCACCCTATCATATGACATAGTAATCTGATGGCATTATACATTTCCTCTTATGAAGTTCCAATGGTTTTTTAGGTCTCTCACAGTTACTCAAGTCCGGATTAAATACCTGAAGCCATAGTTTCTTATTGTTGTTATTGCATTACACACGTCCGGTTTGAAGTTCGAAGACATCTCACATGTTGTCTTACCAATCACAACAAGCTGAGATGAGTATTAAATCAAACAATGCAGCTAAAGTTTGTTTTTGCTGTGATTTTTTTTTATGTGAGAATAATGCCAGATCTGTGTACGATATGTTTTTTCACAACCTGAACGAAGGGCAGAATGGTTTTGATCACATGCAGCCAGATACAATGAACATAATTGTTTTACAAATACACACACGTGTACTTCGACTTGGAATTAAATCTCATCAGTTTATTTGTAACTTTATTTGCTTTAACGCGCTTTTGGGGGAAATTCTTCATGCATTTTTGGGAGCCAAGGTTTACCCCTCGGTGCATCTGGAGTAGCGGTACATCGAGGAGCATTAAGTCGAGGGATCACTGTATCACTAGAAAGAGACTAAATTGACCAGTCTGGCAAGTTAAACTCAGACTGGTTGACAGAAAATGACTACATGTCAGTTGGGCTTTCACTTCACTTGTATCCCAATGCTTTTCCCGATCAGGTGGTTACCATAGTGACCTCAACTCCGTGGAATGCCCATGATGTCAATCACTGGCTGTGTAAAGGGTGGCATGATGGGGCCAACAATCACTGTATCAAATTATCAATGCATATTTGAAAATGGAATGATTATGTGTTTGGATATAAGCTTAACATGCTAAATTTAATATTTTAGATATGAGTGAGTTGGGTTTAACATCACTTTGAACAGTATTCCAGTTATATCACAGCATGTCAGCTTAATGTGGGAGGAAAGCCCGAAGTGATGTATGTCTCAGACGTTTACCACTTTTAATGAAACCCATGAGCTTGGGGCACACCAGGATTTGAATCCACAATCATAGGTTTCTGGCGTGCCCAAGGGACACAACTCTGTTTTATGATGTCAATGAATATGGCACTCTGAACAATATCTGTTTTTCAGCTGACCTTTATCAACAATTCCCTGTCATCAGCTCCTCTCATCTAACCCCAGAAGCTACTATGTGTGGATGGTGAGGACAGTCCTCTCCCATCCGGCTATTATGATGTGTAATGTCCTCTCAACTAACCCCAGAAGCTACTATGTGTGGATAGTGAGGACAGTCCTCTCCCATCCGGCTGTTATGATGTGTAATGTCCTCTCAACTAACCCCAAAAGCTACTATGTGTGGATAGTGAGGACAGTCCTCTCCCATCCGGCTGTTATGATGTGTAATGTCCTCTCAACTAACCCCAGAAGCTACTATGTGTGGATAGTGAGGACAGTCCTCTCCCATCCGGCTGTTATGATGTGTAATGTCCTCTCAACTAACCCCAAAAGCTACTATGTGTGGATAGTGAGGACAGTCCTCTCCCATCCGGCTGTTATGATGTGTAATGTCCTCTCAACTAACCCCAGAAGCTACTATGTGTGGATGGTGAGGACAGTCCTCTCCCATCCGGCTGTTATGATGTGTAATGTCCTCTCAACTAACCCCAGAAGCTACTATGTGTGGATAGTGAGGACAGTCCTCTCCCATCCGGCTGTTATGATGTGTAATGTCCTCTCAACTAACCCCAAAAGCTACTATGTGTGGATAGTGAGGACAGTCCTCTCCCATCCGGCTGTTATGATGTGTAATGTCCTCTCAACTAACCCCAGAAGCTACTATGTGTGGATAGTGAGGACAGTCCTCTCCCATCCGGCTGTTATGATGTGTAATGTCCTCTCAACTAACCCCAAAAGCTACTATGTGTGGATAGTGAGGACAGTCCTCTCCCATCCGGCTGTTATGATGTGTAATGTCCTCTCAACTAACCCCAAAAGCTACTATGTGTGGATAGTGAGGACAGTCCTCTCCCATCCCGCTGTTTGATGTGTAATGTTGAACCGCCGATACATGGGGATTCTGAATAGGTCCCCAGCAACCTATGCTGGTTGTAAGAGGTGACCCTGTGAAGATTCAGGGTTACACAAGGTCCCCAGCAGGCTATGCTTGTCATACAAGGCGGCTTGGATCTGGCTCTGAGACTTCATTGCCTAGCCTAGATTCAATTATCTACAAGTCACCAATATGTTATGTTACTGGAATATTGCTAAATCTGGTGTAACCCTGTGGGAAATCCGGGTTCGAGTAGGTCCCCGGCAACCTATGCTGATGATAAGAGGCAACCCCTTGAGGATTCACGGTTAGAATAGGTCCCCAGCAACCTATGCTGGTTGTAAGAGGTGACCCCCGTGGCGATTCTGGGTTAGACAAGGTCCCCAGCAGGCTATGGTTGTCGTACGAGGCGACTAAATGGATCGGGCTCTCAGACTTCATTGCCTAGCAAGGATTCAATTATCTACAAGTGACCAATATGTAGCTGGAATATTGCTATTTCTGGTGTAATCCTGTGGGAAATCTGGGTTAGAATAGGTCCCCAGCAACCTATGCTGGTCATAAGAGGTGACCATGTGGCGATTCTGGGTTAGAAAAGGTCCCCAGCAACTTATGCTGGTCATAAGAGGCGACCCGTGGAGATTCTGGGTAGAATTGGTCCCCAGCAACATATGCTTATTGTAAGAGGTGACCCTGTGGTGATTCAGGGTTAGAATAGGTCCCCAGCAACCTATGCTGGTCATAAGAGGCGACCCCGTGTCGATTCTTGGTTAGAATAGGTCCCCAGCAACTTATGCTGGTCATAAGAGGCGACCCGTGGAGATTCTGGGTAAGAATAGGTCCCCAGCAACTTATGCTTATCGTAAGAGGCGACCCCATGGAGATTCTGGGTAGAATAGGTCCCCAGCAACTTATGCTTATTGTAAGAGGCGACCCGGTGGAGACTCTGGGTTAGAATTGGTCCCCAGCAACTTATGCTGGTCATAAGAGGTGACCCGTGGAGATTCTGGGTAGAATAGGTCCCCAGCAACTTATGCTTATCGTAAGAGGCGACCCCGTGGAGATTCTGGGTTAGAATAGGTTCCCAGCAACTTATGCTGGTCATAAGAGGTGACCCGTGGAGATTCTGGGTAGAATAGGTCCCCAGCAACTTATGCTTATCGTAAGAGGCGACCCCGTGGAGATTCTGGGTTAGAATAGGTCCCCAGCAACTTATGCTTATCGTAAGAGGCGACCCCGTGGAGACTCTGGGTTAGAATAGGTCCCCAGCAACTTATGCTTATCATAAGAGGCGACCCCGTGGAGATTCTGGGTTAGAATAGGTCCTCAGCAACTTATGCTTATCGTAAGAGGCGACCCGGTGGAGATTCTGGGTAGAATAGGTCCCCAGCAACTTATGCTTATCTTAAGAGGCGACTCCGTGGAGATTCTGGGTTAGAATAGGTCCCCAGCAACTTATGCTTATTGTAAGAGGCGACCCCGTGGAGATTCTGGGTAGAATAGGTCCCCAGCAACTTATGCTTATCGTAAGAGGCGACCCCGTGGAGATTCTGGGTTAGAATAGGTCCCCAGCAACTTATGCTTATCGTAAGAGGCGACCCGGTGGAGATTCTGGGTAGAATAGGTCCCCAGCAACTTATGCTTATCGTAAGAGGCGACTCTGTGGAGATATTGGGTTAGAATAGGTCCCCAGCAACCTATGCTGGTCATAAGAGGCGACCCTGTGGAGATTCTGGGTAGAATAGGTCCCCAGCAACTTATGCTTATCGTAAGAGGCGACCCCGTGGAGATTCTGGGTTAGAATAGGTCCCCAGCAACTTATGCTTATCGTAAGAGGCGACCCCGTGGAGACTCTGGGTTAGAATAGGTCCCCAGCAACTTATGCTTATCATAAGAGGCGACCCCGTGGAGATTCTGGGTTAGAATAGGTCCTCAGCAACTTATGCTTATCGTAAGAGGCGACCCTGTGGAGATTCTGGGTAGAATAGGTCCCCAGCAACTTATGCTTATCGTAAGAGGCGACTCCGTGGAGATTCTGGGTTAGAATAGGTCCCCAGCAACTTATGCTTATTGTAAGAGGCGACCCTGTGGAGATTCTGGGTAGAATAGGTCCCCAGCAACTTATGCTTATCATAAGAGGCGACCCCGTGGAGATTCTGGGTAGAATAGGTCCCCAGCAACTTATGCTTATCGTAAGAGGCGACCCCGTGGAGATTCTGGGTTAGAATAGGTCCCCAGCAACTTATGCTTATCGTAAGAGGCGACCCGGTGGAGATTCTGGGTAGAATAGGTCCCCAGCAACTTATGCTTATCGTAAGAGGCGACTCTGTGGAGATATTGGGTTAGAATAGGTCCCCAGCAACCTATGCTGGTCATAAGAGGCGACCCTGTGGAGATTCTGGGTAGAATAGGTCCCCAGCAACTTATGCTTATCGTAAGAGGCGACCCCGTGGAGATTCTGGGTTAGAATAGGTCCCCAGCAACTTATGCTTATCGTAAGAGGCGACCCCGTGGAGACTCTGGGTTAGAATAGGTCCCCAGCAACTTATGCTTATCATAAGAGGCGACCCCGTGGAGATTCTGGGTTAGAATAGGTCCTCAGCAACTTATGCTTATCGTAAGAGGCGACCCTGTGGAGATTCTGGGTAGAATAGGTCCCCAGCAACTTATGCTTATCGTAAGAGGCGACTCCGTGGAGATTCTGGGTTAGAATAGGTCCCCAGCAACTTATGCTTATTGTAAGAGGCGACCCTGTGGAGATTCTGGGTAGAATAGGTCCCCAGCAACTTATGCTTATCGTAAGAGGCGACCCCGTGGTGATTCTGGGTTAGAATAGGTCCCCAGCAACTTATGCTTATCGTAAGAGGCGACCCCGTGGAGATTCTGGGTTGAATAGGTCCCCAGCAACTTATGTTTATCGTAAGAGGCGACTCTGTGGAGATATTGGGTTAGAATAGGTCCCCAGCAACCTATCCTGGTCATAAGAGGCGACCCTGCTGGTTAGAATAGGTCCCCAGCAACTTATGCTTATCGTAAGAGGCGACCCTGTGGAGATTCTGGGTTGAATAGGTCCCCAGCAACTTATGCTTATCGTAAGAGGCGACTCTGTGGAGATATTGGGTTAGAATAGGTCCCCAGCAACTTATGCTTATCGTAAGAGGCGACTCTGTGGAGATATTGGGTTAGAATAGGTCCCCAGCAACTTATGCTTATCGTAAGAGGCAACCACATGGTGATTCTGGGTTAGAATAGGTCCCCAGCAACTTATGCTTATCGTAAGAGGCGACCCTGTGGAGATTCTGGGTTAGAATAGGTCCCCAGCAACTTATGCTTATTGTAAGAGGCAACCACATGGTGATTCTGGGTTAGAATAGGTCCCCAGCAACTTATGCTTATCGTAAGAGGCGACCCTGCGGAGATTCTGGGTAGAATAGGTCCCCAGCAACTTATGCTTATTGTAAGAGGCAACCACATGGTGATTCTGGGTTAGAATAGGTCCCCAGCAACTTATGCTTATCGTAAGAGGCGACCCTGCGGAGATTCTGGGTAGAATAGGTCCCCAGCAACTTATGCTTATTGTAAGAGGCAACCACATGGTGATTCTGGGTTAGAATAGGTCCCCAATATAGTTGGCGGTCAGCCCGATGACGTGAAAGTAAACTGTTCATCAATCACTGGATTGTCTTGTCCAGACTTGAATGCACATACATTCACATATATAACACACAGACTATGGTGTAAAACAACACTCACTCACTCACTCCCTCACTGTCTCAGGTGCTGTTGTTGCTGTTCACCATACTGAGGAAGATAGCCTGGGACTACGGCCGCATCGCTCTCATCAGCCGCACAGAGGAGAAGTAGGTCACGACTGTCTTATGTCATCATGACAAACCAGTGTTCATTGAGTTTTTGTAGTTATTGAATTATGGCCATTTCTATCTAATTGGTTATTACTGTTCATTATTACTGTTATTACTGCTAGTTGTATTTGGTTTTCATTTGAATATTGTGATGCACTTATATTCTCATAGCTGTGAAATATTGTTTGTTGTAAAATCTTATTGTACTTTTTTGATAATGTCAATTCACTGCTTAGCAAAATAGACATAGAAAAAGTGGTTAATGCTTTAAATATACTGTAAACATTCAGCTAACATCTCGATCATTGAAATAGGCTATTAGTATTTGCCACTGTCAAGCTAAACAAAACTTGGTTTGAATTTTAGGCATGGTTTGCCAATAACCATAATAAGATCAGAAACAGTTGTAGAATGTTAATAATTAGCATTGCTTTTGCACAATGCCATTTTATAGTATTTGTCAAAGTGCATATATCCTATGTAGACTCAGTTCATTTGTCATGGCTGACCGTCTGCTTATCTTACAGCTAGGACCTACAGTTATCATTGTGATGTTGAAAAAAATGATTCAGTTGAATAATATGGAAGTGGATATTAATACTTATGTTGAGAATAAGAATGTTGGAAATATCGACCTCATTGAAAAAATGGCAAAATATATTCAAAACACTTTTTTGTGTATATTATTTTTTCTCGTTTCAACAACATGTTCAAGTTTCATGTTTTTTTCGTACGTTTTGTTATTTTTCCAGCAAAGAGTACACAATTTATGTAATTTGATTTCAGGGAAATGTTTTTTGTTTAATGATCACGATTTATGTTACCTTTTCTTTTACGTTCTTGTGTTTTTCCTTTTTTGTGACAGTACCCCTGTGAAAACTGGTGACAGTGGATACAACGTGTATGCTTTTAGTTGGTTTGACTTGTGTGTGTGTAGTGTTGGTGGCCTGTAGTGACCCTCTACCCTTGTTACTCCTTCTACCTGACACTGGATTCCAACACCCTGGTCTTAGCGTTACGACTGCCTACTTCCCATACTTATAAAAAATAACAATTACCGTATTCGACGTAATAAGCACCCTGCTCTAATATGCACCCTTAATTATGGACAATTAAATTCTGGAAAAATATATCTGTCGTATATAAACATTTCAGGGTGTCAGCATAAACCACAAAATTAACGATCTTTCAACTCTGTTAATTTTTTCACCAAAATAATATTCTAATAAGAGCCCTCTATCTCTATTTTTGAGAGCGCACTGGGTGCCTATTACATCAAATACGGTACCCATAAACTTATGTGGTTGTAGCTCTACAATCACTTTGTGAAGGTGTGTCTTGGGCCAATGTGCACAAAACGATCTTAGCTTTACGACTGTTGTAAGTCTGTGTTAGAATATGGGAGATTCGATCGTCGTAGCTCAGCACTAAGATCCACAATGTGATCTTACCGCTAAGATCGTAACTCCCATACTCTGACATAGATTAATGATAATCTGAACACTAATATGGTCGTAACTGACCTACCTGCGACAGTCGTGGTGCTAAGATCTCTTCGTGGAATGGGGCCCAGTTATTTTGTTTGTTCGTCACCATGAATGTCTTGATACTGCAGTGCATGGGGCTTGTAATGTTCTAGACCTGTATGAGTGATCTTAAATGTATAACTGCTGGGGAGACTGCTTAAAGAGATTCAGAATGTTACAATGCCCTGTGATCCAGTAAAATTTTGCCCTAATAAAACAACAGGTTAATACAGATATGTATTACAATATCTATTAATCTGAATTTGGAGGAAAGTGAGTTAACTATTTACTGATATTCTCCTGTCACAGTAAACACCCAATGCTGAAATAATTATTTTTCCTCTTTTACACAAAACCTGAAAATTCCTCACTTTTAGAAGCAATTTTCCAAACGAAAAGACAAAAAAAACCGGCCCGCCTGCTGTTCTAATTTTCAAAAGTAATTGCCAGGAAACTAATTTTGTTTTTTAGAAGCATGAGTGACAAGTCTGCCAATCAGGGCAGTTTACGCAGTGGCAATGAACAAAACTAACTTCCTGGTGCCATGCTTGATTGCTTTCATAGGATGACAGTGACATGCTGACTTTGCATATTTTTCTACAGCGAGACAAATGAGTTTTCTTACTTCTTAATAAACCTCGGTGGAGGGATACGCAGTCAGCTGCACATTTATATAAGTAACAGTAACCATGGTAACAGGAGGCAAGCCTGAGTCCAGGATTGTGTTCTCAAGTTCATCAAAACTCAACAAACACTCCGTCGGAAAACAGTATCCAGGATACTGGGCCTCAGTGTATATATAGACAGTTATTATTTAGGTTACATAATAATCATGCTTTCAAAAATATGCCCATGCAAACATGGGATAGCTTCTGTATTTCGCCTTGTAATAAGGCCTAGGTTCCGCTGATTTGACATTTAACTACACTGGTTTAAGGGGTAGGTTGCACTGGTGTGTTAATATATCAGTGTGTGTTTCTGCGATGTATATATGTGTGATTAATGACTGTCCCCCAACCCTTGTGTTCCTGTATATTTTCTGTTCCGAATGTCTTTGTGTCCAAGGTGTTCGTATTTTAATTTGAAACCTCAGTTGTCTTATGCTATATTTATCATAGTGATAAAAATGCAATAAAATTTCCTATCTTTTCTTTCACTGAATCTTAATTGTATTCATATTCAATGATCAGATATTAGTACTAGTTGTTATGGAGTGTGATGAAATGGTTGATGATGGCTCGTGTTTGAAGATCAACTATGAGCCAGTTTAACCAACTTTGATTTAAACACAAATAACTCCTCTTTGTTATGTTGATAAAATTCTTTTCCGCTACACAACAAAAGAAATCAGAAATTGTTAATAAATCTTTGAAAATTATTTTAAAATTGTGGTTTTATGGTAAGTGATTTTTAAACCAAGTGGTGTTTGATAATTAGGTAAGTATGTTCAGTAACATTCAGAGATATATGAATTTAATTGTCTTTCCAGAATATATGTATTTTTGCATGAATGTGGTATTTGGCATAACTGGGCATTTTAAAGATTTAGTTTTGTCAAGTTCTTGGATGATATAAATCAACAAATGCTACTTTCGAGCCATCCTTTTCATGGCCTTACGTCCTGAATTACCAATATTTCTTCTATCTTGTAGCTACCAGTGAATGCCCTAACGCTATGCATATCTGAGATAGTCTCTGCATAAAATCTTGTTAGTGGGGATCTAGTACTAGTCTAGATTGGCACATGTAATTTTGGGCCAATGCCACAAAGCAGTCTTCATACTTTAACATAGACTCCTGGAGATTCCAGGTAAGGACACAGGTCCCCAGCAACCTATGTTTGTTGTAGGAGGCGGCTAAATGGAGTGGTTGGTCAGACTCAGTGACTTGGATGATTCTAGGTCATTGTATCCCATGTATGGATTGATGCTCATGACGTCAGTCAGTAGATTGTCTAGTCCAGACTGTTATGTACAGACCTCTGTCATATAGCTGGAATATTGTTGAGTGATAACCAACAAACAAAGGTTAACCTAGACTCCAGATGGTGATACCACTAAGGTAACTGTGATAGGGCCCCTCACAATTACGACTGGAACCTGTTAATAAATCTATAACTTTAAAAAAAACGCATCCGTGGTCTAGTGGTAGAGCGTCCGCCCGGAGAGCGGAAGGTCCGGGGTTCGATCCCTGGCCGCGTCATACCAAAAGACGTTTAAAAGATGGTACTTGTTGTTACCCTGTCTGGCACTCGGCATTAAGGGGCTGGTCGGCTCGGAGTCAGTATACTGTGTCTGAGTGGGGCATTCATGTTAAACTGCGGCATGGTATCTCAGTGAGCTAGCACTATAAATCGTCATCAGTCCGGACTAGTACAAGCAGCCACACACACACATACACGTACATGCACGTCGCTATATAAGTGCAATAATCTTGGACGCGACGTTAACCCCAATTTCACCTCACCTAAAACTTTTAAAAAATAATAATTTTAAATTTAAAAGATTTTGCTGTAACCCTTATTGTCTGCACTGACAGGGTTCCACCGTACATGAGACGAGAGGCTGAATACCCTGTGACCGGCATTAGACTGGCACAAGATTTATGTAGAAACCATTCCGTGCCCAGGAACCAGTTTCATTATCTCGATCTGCATGTTTGCACAAACAGGATTAAAAATAACACAATTTGATTGCATCTGTGAAGATTTATTCAAATTGAATGTAAAGGAGACCCGTCAGTGAGTGTTTGGATGTTGTCGCTACGATTGATTAGTAAATAATGCTCAGACCTGATTCTGTGACTGAACCAAACTGATGCAGGACAGTTTGTGTTGAAGTTGTTGTTGCTGTGGTAACCGTCTTCCACTAACAAAGTCACGTCAAGGAATGTTCTTGTTAAAATACACAAAAAGACATAAGAGAAATATTATTGTTCCATATAGGCATCCAAGTCTGGTCTCCAGTATTGACCTTGTCACCATCACAATGTTTGGATAGTAACTCTTTAACTGACAATTCCAGGAATTGGAATTAACCAGAGTACTAAACCAAAATCGGATTTATCCTTGCATCAGAACTAAAGAAATAACTACATGAGAAATAACTGTTGAGATTTGTAACTAAACAAATACATATTGCGTATTATAGAACTTCTTGGTTTTAAAGTTTAAGATTGAATTGATGGATTGAATCAATTCATAAGCGATCTGTCAAGTGTCAGATTTGTCAGATTTACATTAAAAAACAATTGATGATGTGAGGCAGATACATAAGTTATCCTACAATTGGGAGATAACCAAACAATAATTCTTGGATTACATAAGATTTGCTTCTTATCATCCTCATACAAAACTCTATTTCAAAAGTGACCTTTGATAGAAATCTGTGTAAACATGTATGTTAAACACGAGGCCGGTTCCACACCACCATCTTAGCGCTGTGCCTTTTGTAAATTAATGTTAAAGTATGTGAGTTATGATAATCTTAGTACTAAGATTGTTGTTCAATGTGACTCGGGACCCACTTCCAATAGGTTATTATAATACTAAAGGCATTGTAATACTTCATCATAGACTTAGAACAAACATAGCTTTAGGATTCCCTGTGAAAACAGGCCAAAAACTAATATTACTCTTTTTGATTGAAGTAATTATTCTGTTGAGCTTTGTGGAACACAACCCACTCCCCAGCTGCATAATATTATGGCATTGAGACAACCATAACTACCATATCTTTAACTGCATTATAGAAGCTGACGTAGCAATGAAGACAGAGTTCACATGGATTTCAACCTCTTTATTCTTCAATGTGGCATTTCAGTGCAGATGCAAGTAGCTTTGCCATACAAGTGCTAGAATCTGTACCGAAACGTCCTTGTTGTAGGTACTAGCATCTCTACCGAAAAAGGCTGGATTTAGGTACTACAATCTGTACTGAAACTTCACATCGAAAAAATCATCGTTGAAATCTATAAGTCAAATCTGTCTTCATAACGAGCCTACTTTTACACTGACAATGGTAGAGCTCCAAGTGCGGATACAGGTTTATCTAAAGGAGGTGTGCACATCAAAATCACTTTGTGTTTGCTAGTCATGTTAGTTTTGTTGAAATGTCGCCAAATGAGCAACATATAGTGTGTAATAGTTTAAAGGTGACACTGATTACCTATGAAACTTCAAAATGTACCGGTACTCTATGAAGATCCAGGGTAGAACAGGTATGCTTGTCGTAAGTGGCGACTAACGGGATCGGGTGGTCAGGCTCGCTGACTTGATTGATGCATGTCATCATATCCCAATTGCATGGATCGATGCTCATGATGTCAATCACTAGATTGTCTGGTCCAGACTCGATTATTATCAGACCGCCGTCATGTAGCTGGTATATTGCTGAGTGCGGTGTTAAATGACAAACAAACAAACAAACCCTGTTACAAACAAGGTGTGTGAGCACCCCTCGCCAACCTGGATCCGCATATGAGCTCTGCCATCACTTTCTGTGAGTGACTCCCTGAGGGTTGGAGAATGTCTCTATGAACTGTTTCCCCATAGTGCTAGTCCAAGCATGCGTCAGAAGGGTTTACATGATCTAACTACATTACTCCCAGCTCAGCATGCAGGTTGCCATGGATACATATACTAAATGAAGTATACTACTCAAAAGAAGTTAAGGAACACCCGATTATTTCATATTACTACAGTTCATCTTATGGGCGGCCATTCGGTCAAAAAATACAAAGTTGAAAAAAGGACAAAAGTACGCAATTAAGATCAAATATTACGAATAAAAAACTAAATGTTACTACTAAAGGTCAAAATACAAAACAAACAGACGAGGGTTAAACATACAAAGTTGAAACAAATGTCAAAAGTACGCAATATTAATAGTCAAATGTTACGAAAAGACGTCATAAGAAAATAAAGAACAATGTGTACGAAAGAACGTCAGTGAGCACGAAAGGACGTTTTCAATAAAGAACGTCAGTAAGCACGAAAGGACGTTGGCAATAAAGAACGCTAGATGACGCTGCAATTTGTAAAACATCCAAGTTTAATTGCATTGTTCCGCCGTGTATATATGATAACTGCATGCCGAGGTGCACAATGTATTACGTCATTCCTCATGCACTCACCGTCTGGCGTCACACATATATACACATGTGTAATCCAAGATCTGCCTAACATTAGTACATGTATTTTGTATACAACCTTCAAACATTTTCATCAACTTACAAGTTGTCTTTGCCACAAATATAAATGTGGATGTAAACAAGCGATATGAATATGGTTTTAAAACGAACGCTGGCGTCGTAGATGAAAATCGATTTTCTTTATTTTTGGCGAGCTATTTTTCCTAACGAATGTGTAAGTTATACATATGCATACAAATCCATTTGATATATATTTGTTGTTCAGATATTAGGCAGCATTTTGTTCGCACACAGTTTCCGAAAAGCTGTTAAAAATAAAACTCGGCATGATAGCACCCTAGTGTTGCACCAAGCATGAACAGTTATTGGATCATTGTAGATGAATCCTAGATTAGCATGAAGTGAGTGTTTTTTGAAGGTTTTATACAAAATACAGGTACTACTGTTAGGCAGATGTTGGATTACACAGTATACTGTATTTGTGAAAAGGCCCTTTAGCGGTGACAAAGCTTAAACACAACATGTTTATACACAATGTATTCATTATACATTATAAATACATGTATATATATATGTGTGACGCCAGACGGTGAGTGCATGAGGAATGACGTAATACATTGTGCACCTCGGCATGCAGTTATCATATATACACGGCGGAACAATGCGATTAAACTCAGAATGTTTTACAAATTGCAGCGCCATCTGGCTTTCTTTATTGTCTACATCCTTTCGTGCTTACTGACGTTCTTTATTGAAAACGTCCTTTCGTGCTCACTGACATTCTTTCGTACACATTGTACTTTATTTTCTTATGACGTCTTTTCGTAACATTTGACTATTAATATTGCGTACTTTTGACATTTATTTCAACTTTGTATGTTTAACTCTCGTCTGTTTGTTTTGTATTTTGACCTTTAGAAGTAATATTTAGTTTTTTATTCGTAATATTTGACCTTAATTGCGTACTTTTGTCCTTTTTTTCAACTTTGTATTTTTTGACCGAATGGCCGCCCATATCATCTATCATGGCATGACAAATTAACTATACTAATATGAAAGAAACAGGTTTTCCTTAACTTCTTTTGAGTAGTATATATATATCATGTATATATCGACATGTAACTCATTTTAATATACAAGTCGCACAGAATTTCTGCAAAGTAACACATTGTAGAAGGAAATGTTGTTTCTTTTTTAAATACATAAGTATAGTCATGATAGTTCTCTCAATCGTTCACCCGGTTGAAACAACAAACGGTGATGTGACTAAACATTTCAACATCAGTGTAATCGGTCCTTCAGTTGATGATTTGTCTTCAACATTATCATTTGTTCTGAATGTTTTATATTTTATGTTACTGAAACTTCAATCTTTAATGTCACCTTTGACACAGTTGTCAGTTTTTGAAAGAGGGGTAACTGGTACTGCAGTGAGTGATAGCCAGACACACATGTTCCATGGGAGACTCGATCTTGTTCTTTGTCTGCTGTGGAAACATACGTGAGTCACACTTAAAATCATTGACAGAGGGCATGGTGTATTTGTAGATGGACGTCCCTGTTTTATGGAGAGCATGACCAGCGGTCACTGATTGGTTCACAGGAGTCACTGGACACAACGATCCACTCTCAGGACAAGGGGCTGTTCTCATGGATTCCTGCATTCTTCAGGGTCAAGTCAGTATTTTTTGTAGTTTCATCCATCTCCCTTTCAGTTTGGTAATGGTATGGTTACTCCCCTTGGTATTTTGTTTTATAAACATATACACATAGATACACTCAGCCCTCCTCAGTCCAAAAGGTTGTCTCGGCCAGCAATGGGAGAAACCATATTGGATCTTGTTTTACTAGTTTCATTAGTTCATGTGACTATCATATCACATAACACAAGACCCGTGAAGATCTGGGATAGAATAGGTCCTCAGCAACCCATTCTTGCTGTAAAAGGCAACTATGATTGTTGTAAGAGGCAACTAACGGGATCGGGTGGTCAGACTCGCTGACTTGGTTGACGCATGACATCATATCCCAATTGTGTGGATCAATGCTCAGAATGTCAATCATTGGATTGTCTGGTCCAGACTTGATTATTTACAGACCGCCGCCATATAGCTGGAATATTGCTGAGTGAGGTGTTAAACAACAAACAAACAAAGATGATACAATCTGGCAGCAGGGTGATACTTGTCAATGTTGTTGATATCGAATTGTATACCTAGTTTCTATTAACCATTACAGTGATATCATGCTGACTATTGGCAGTAGTTAGTATTTTGGTAGGGACTAGTCCATTGAGGTAGTAGGAGGGTAACCGAATATGTTGAGTTGACCCCCAATGTAGACCCAGTACAATATTGAATGTTGGCTGTAGCAAAATGAATGTGATCATAAACATTTTGCATGATTCTGTATGCTTTAGGAAATACTTAACCACAGATTTGTGAGAACAAAACAAATCAGGCTGTTGTCATGGTTATAGTAAGTTGCTAAAACGGTAGTGATGTACTGTTCCACTTTTACTATTCAACATCCACCGGTCTAGAATACATAGCTACAATTTGTGCCTAACATTCCGCTCAATCTCATTACTATCAGATCTTAGTTCTTGCTACAGCTAAACAAAGATCTGAGGACATCCCATTAGGGGTCACATCAGAACGACCTTTCATCCGACCAATCAGAGCGTAGCTTACCAGATCATGAAAGTGACAGTCAGAATGTGATTTCTAATCATGCAGGCTCGAAAACTTTAAAACCGGGTATTCCAAACGATAGTTACGGGCTTAACGACTAAATCTATACAATCTAGACCATATATTAGCCATTCGAGAATGCTCTTTTGTTCAGGTTTCAAATTTTTAAGCGAGAATTGTCAAAATATGTTTCGAAGCGTAGTCGCCTATTTGAAATTAGTGGGATAAGGCACGAGAAAGCTGCCTTCTGATTGGCTAATGTCGACTTCCTGTCAGTAATTCCATTGGTCGGTCAGAATTTGCGAAAGGTCGGTCTGACGTGACCCGTAATGGGAAGTCCTCAGATCTTTGTTTAGCGGCAGCGAGAACTAAGATCTGATTTTAATGAGATTGCATTCCGCTGAAGTCTGATGCTGAATTTGCTGAACCCTACACAAACTCTGACATTGTGCAAATTACATAATATCATGGAAATATCTTTACCTCCTTTACTAAGCTACAGTGATTTGGGTTCAGCAGTCCTTGAATATATGAATTTCTACATCACATGTTTGTTGAGCAGTTTTCAGGACAATCAGTACACTTGTAAAGTGTTTCAGTAAATGTTGGTGGAATCCCTCCCTTTTCAGTTTATGTTTGTAAAAGAGCTGAGTACCACTTGGTATCATGCGATATGATTTGTATCACAATACAGACTGACGATACTGTAGGTATCACAATACACCACATCAAATAGTAAGAAATGATGAATCACTGAAATACAGCTCTAAAACCTTTCTTCATAAATTTGTTTATTGTTACCGGTATCTCAAAAACTTAAACAATGAAAATCACAAGAAGTAAGATAGTTTTAAATGAAGGGATGGTTATTAAATGTAACAGTTAGTCTGCGCTTCCTCAGCTACCATGTCCTTGTGCTCTGCCATCCTTAGACGTGGCGCTGTGCTACTTCTGCCATTATGGGAGATAACTCTATTAGTTCCTGTTCTATTTACAGCATATCGAGATTTCATATACTGTCAATTCAGATATCATGTGCACCTAAGTATCGATGATATCGAAGGTATCAGTGAATCGTTACAGCCCTAGCTTGTATTCTGTGGCAGTGAGTTGTTGATGTGTGTTGCAGAGATATTGACATCCTGCACAAGTGTGGGAGGGATGCGGTGCAGTATCTGTCCTTTCAGAGGTACCTGCTGGTGTACCTGGTCGTCATCTGCGTGTTGTCCATCGGGGTCGTCTTGCCGGTCAACTTCCAGGGCAACGTCAGTGAGTACCGCAGCCGTCAGTCACTTCACTGCAAGGTTATCGCAATAACAGAGCTTTCTTCATCTAGGTCTAACTTCACATCAAACCCCTGGATCTTTCAGCATCTTATCACCACTGTGTTTGTAACAGCAAGATTGACTGACACGTCATTTTTTTTAAAATCAATTGTCAAAATAAGGTCTCTTCTGTCATGTTTATAAGAAAATCAGAGTAGAGAAAAGCATCAAATAAGTTGTTTCTCCCATCAACCAAATTTTGTGTCACCACAATATCTGACCAAGTATGTCAGTGTACAAGAATGCATTTGATTTGCAATAAACTGATGTAAAGGGTAAGCAAAAATGACAAAAAGATAAGACCCTGATCACATTGTTCTGATTCTAGAGATTAACCCTGGGTTTAGCTATTCTGGAGTCTAAGGGACTCTAATACATTTGAGTTTGGGGATTCAAGGCATAAATATGGGAGACCCGGCTGGCCTGCTTCACTGATTTCCATGATTGTTTTGGTGTCATATCATTTCACATGCCCAGAACCTTAAGCCTGTTATAGATGGGGATTCTAATATTGGATTGAAGAAAGTCAGCCACTGAAGCCCTGAACATTGAGTGTATTCTTACCAGAAAAGGAAGTTATATGTGACGTACAATCTACAATTTTGATAACCTTGTGTCATCCTTTCTTGCATTCAACAGGCCTCTCAGTTTAAATTTTTTAATTCACTATTTGTATATGTGCAAACCCTATTCTAGGGCAAAGAAGGTCCAAAATATTCTATAAAGTATAAGAGGTGTCTAAAAGAGGGTGTCATTATTCCAGTTGTCAACCGCTGCTTTGCTTGTCCCGGATTATTTTAATAGGTCAGCGTGATGTGGCTGGAATATTGCTGACTGCGGCTGAAGACAACATTCACTTACTTAGTGAGGGCAGCTGATCGAGGATGTCTGTGTGTGTCACCATCCCCCGGCGTGGCACACAGCTCCGGTTGCATGTTATAGCTATGGTGTTGCTGATGTAGAAATGCTCATTCATTCGCTCATGTTTGCTGTTTCAGTTGGGAATGCATCTGATTTTGGCCACACTACCATTGGCAACATAGAGCCTAAGTAAGTAGAAGCATATTCTGATGTGTTGTACTGGGGTTTAGAGGGATATTCTGATGTGTTGTACTGGGGTTTAGTGGGATATTCTGATGTGTTGTACTGGGGTTTAGTGGGATATTCTGATGTGTTGTATTGGGGTTAAGAGGGATATTCTGAAGTGTTGTATTGGGGTTTACAGGGATATTCTGAAGTGTTGTACTGGGGTTTAGAGTGATATTCTGATGTGTTGTACTGGGGTTTACAGGGATATTCTGATGTGTTGTATTGGGGTTTACAGGGATATTCTGATGTGTTGTACTGGGGTTTACAGGGATTTTCTGATGCATTGTACTGGGGTTTAGATGGATATTCTGATGTGTTGTACTGGGGTTTAGAATGGATTCTGATGTGTTGTACTGGGGTTTAGATGGATATTCTGAAGTGTTGTACTGGGGTTGAGAGAGATATTCTGATGCATTGTACTGGGGTTTAGAGGGATATTCTGAAGTGTTCTACTGGGGTTTAGAGGGATATTCTGATGTGTTGTACTGGGGTTTAGAGAGATATTCTGATGTGTTGTACTGGGGTTTAGAGGGATATTCTGATGCATTGTACTGGGGTTTAGAGGGATATTCTGGTGCATTGTACTGGGGTTTAGTGGGATATTCTGATATGCTGTACAGGGGTTTAGAGGGATATTCTGATGTGTTGTCTTGAGGTCTAGAGGAATATTCTGTCATGTTGTCATGAGAGTTTAACAGTTTATTCATATATGTTGTATTTGGGTCTAGAGGTTAGTTCTGATGTGTTGTATGGATGGTCCAGAAGTAGAAGAGTATTGCAAGCAATATAATATAGGTGTCTGAACATTTGCTTTGTTTATTTAGCTGAATAATTATAAACAATAGTTTGTTAAGTCAGGGCAGGTTAGTGTCTTTTGTAAGTGCAGGTGGTGACAGCAGGCAATACTGGTGTCCATATTTTCATTCTTAGTCTAGAAATGCTATCATGCTGTTTGCTCCCACCAGTGTTGGCTCTGCTTTGGAAGATGGGCTGTTAAAGGTGTTTCTAGCCAAGATAGCATCAACAGTAATTAACAGGGTCATCAATTACCTAACAGGGTCAATTTAGGGACGGGAGTTTGCATCGTGATATTGATTTCTGCCATCTTGTGTGCAGTCTGAGAGTCTTGTGGAGGACTCTAGACACCGCATCAGACCAGATAGATTAATGTCTATGCGCCGATATAAGTACAAGTTTTTGCCTACCGTCCTCTTGGGGTGGTCTACAGGGGAATAATGGGGGCTAGGAGCAGAAACATTGATGATGCTGGTTGTCAGTGGCCAGAGGTCAAGAGATGCCAAGACTTGTGGTATTCATGAACTTATTTGCAGAATTGTCCTCTTGATACCAGAGATACCTATCTTGCAGAATAATTGTTTTTGATCTTCACATTTCCATTCTCATACTACAAATACAATTCGCTACCAAATCTTTCTTATCTTTAATTTTGCACAGAATGTCTCGTGTTCATGTTTGTAATTTGATAGGATTGCTAATTTTAGTGTCGCCTGTATTGACCTTGCCCTTCAGCTCACCCTTCAGCTCACCCCTACTGTGGGTGCACCTGCTCCTCAGTATTAGTGTCACCTGTATTGACCTTGCCCTTCAGCTTGCCCCTACTGTGGGTGCACCTGCTCCTCAATATTAGTGTCACCTGTATTGACCTTGCCCTTCAGCTTGCCCCTACTGTGGGTGCACCTGCTCCTCAATATTAGTGTCACCTGTATTGACCTTGCCCTTCAGCTTGCCCCTACTGTGGGTGCACCTGCTCCTCAATATTAGTGTAACCTGTATTGACCTTGCCCTTCAGCTTGCCCCTACTGTGGGTGCACCTGCTCCTCAATATTAGTGTCACCTGTATTGACCTTGCCCTTCAGCTTGCCCCTACTGTGGGTGCACCTGCTCCTCAATATTAGTGTCACCTGTATTGACCTTGCCCTTCAGCTTGCCCCTACTGTGGGTGCACCTGCTCCTCAATATTAGTGTCACCTGTATTGACCTTGCCCTTCAGCTCGCCCCTACTGTGGGTGCACCTGCTCCTCAATATTAGTGTCACCTGTATTAACCTTGCCCTTCAGCTCGCCCCTACTGTGGGTGCACCTGCTCCTTAATATTAGTGTTACCTGTATTGACCTTGCCCTTCAGCTCGCCCCTACTGTGGGTACATGCCCTGCTGGCTGTCATCTACCTGCTGCTGGTTGTCTTCATGCTCAGACACTTCTCTGTCAACCTGGAGTTTGATGAGGATGAACAAGTGAGTAACCACAAACAAAATTGTCAGTTCTTTCATAAGCTTTATATGCTGGGAATGGGTTGGTGAGTGAATGTTGTTTATTCAGCAGTCCTCATTATTCCAACTGTAAATCAGCTGCCTGTAAATAATCTAATTTGGACCATGCAGACAATGACATGTGCACACACAGTAAGCCATGCCGTAGAGCCTCACCACCCAATCCAATCCAGTCTTCTACTCCTTACAAGTACTAGCTTACAAGGGACCTATTCTAACCCTTGTCAACATAGACCTTACACAGAATTGTAACACTTCAAGTGCAAGATCAGATTTACAAATGTCATTTCTTATTTTCTCACTATTGCTAAACAAAGATCTGAGGATATCCCGAACGTCAGAATGACCTTTGCGAACTTTGACCAACCAATGAAGTGAATAAGTAATAAGAAGTAGATATTAGCCAATCTGAAAGCAGCTTACTTGAGCTTTACAGAACTAGTTTCAAACTGGTGACTTCTCCAGACTTCTCGGTAAAAAATATTTTGACATTCAAAATTAGAAAATTGAGCAAAATAAAATTTGAAATGTCTATAATAGATGGCGAGATTGTATAGCAGTACTTCTTCCATTTCAAATGTTTATACAAACTGAAGCGATAGATGGACGATTATTTTGTCATATAAATGCTGTGTGGCTGATGCACTATTTTCAACATGTTGATATCACATATTGGATAAATGTAAGATGTATGATGCTTGTTTCAAAATAATAAAGTATGGCGTATCTTCCACAGGTGTCCCGTACACTGATGATTTCCAACATCCCCACCAACAAATGCTTCGCAAATATCATGAAGCAGCATTTCAGGTAGGACGCCACATCAGAGGAGACAATCTGGCATTCTTCTTTCATATATCTTGAAAGTGTTAGAATAGGCCATACAGAGTTATCTCCCTTTGTCAGCTCCTTGGTCAGATGTGATTGGTCAGCAAGAGACCCTGTATAAGTATTGATAAATGTAAACAAATTAAGTTATTTAAATGTGGAGGTAGCATTTGGAGAGTTGAAGACCAACTTAGTTTCTAAGTTTACATTAATTTTATTCATGAAAGTATGTTTTTAAAGGTGCTTATGCCTGACACTACATGGGATTGTTTGCATTGGATTTGTTTTAGAGTTTTGAAAACTATCAGTAAATGTTTCAGATTTGCTTAGTTACAGTACAATATTATGAGTTGTATGTATATATATGTAGTAAAATGTGAAAATTAAATGGGCATATTTCAGACCCCTAAATCCAATAGGTTTCATCTCCATTTGGAGAATGAAAGCAATCACAATGTCACTACTGTGTCTATTGCTGAAAGGCTGAGCCCACAAAAACTGAAACTATATGCTAAAAGTCAGATGAAAGTTATGTCTCTGATCAACTATTTGTAACTGTAGTTACCTATCAGTTAGTTTTCATGTTGGTATGCATTGGCTAGACCAACACGTCTGCTAGTCAGTGTAGTGATACCTCCCTCTCTCCCTGCCGGTGTGTTCCAGAGATGCGTATCCCGAAGTGGCTGTGGTTGATGTGTCGTTTGCCTACAACATCTCTTCCCTCATCACCATGGACAAGTCAAAGTGAGGCTCCTTACACTTCCAGGCTGTTGATCAGAATTTGACAGATTATTTCAAAGCAGTGATGCTAACACCAATTTACCTCAGGACATATTGTGTCCCATTTAAGGCATCTATCTGGCAGACTACGTGTTAAAACAAATCTGAAGATTGTATTAAAATATTTCAAGTTTTTATTTTTTTGTACCTAAACCTAAATTGCTTATCTTTGGTAATCAAGTATGAGATCATTGCATTATACTTCTCTCAGTGCATTAAACTTCTTCCAGTGCATAACTAATCACAATTAACCTCATCAGCATTATGACATATCAGTGAGTGAGTGAGTTTGATTTTACGCCGCTTTTAGCAATAATCCAGCAATATCACGGCGGGGGACACCAGAAATGGGCTTCACACATTGTACCCATGTCTGGAATCAAACCCGGGTCTTTGACATATCAACAGATACTACAGCTGATATCTGGGTGTCTAATACTGTGGTTGACATCATTCACAGGCAACTTGCAGCAGAGGCAAAGGTCTTCTCGGAAGCGGAGTTGAAGAAGACAAGTACACGCCCGTTAATGAGGCCTCACATGTGTGGAGTGCTGTGCTGCTGTTGTAAACAGGTAGGGTTCAGCACCACTGAACACTGATTTTGCAGTGATGCATAACCATATGTAGGTTAGTCTGTACTATAGTACCTGAACCTCTAAATGCTTCATCAGTGAATTAATACATCCATAACTATGTTTTATATCATATGTGCAGCTGAAAAATATATTTCAGTTAACCGTTAAAATATATTGAAGTCACTTCTCATAAATATGTGGACAATAGTACCTTCAGACTGCTTATTTAGTCATTTACACTGAAAAAAATATAGACAATACATAATCAGGGATATCGTTCAGCTTATTAATGCAACACAAGGCCCACCCATGCTACACAACCAATCAGAAAACAGTAGTCCATTTGTAGGCATGGCCCATTTCCTTTTGGTTTATGGAGACATAAATGCTAAAGAAAGTAGGTTGGGTAGCCAATCAAATGCCACGGAAACATTTGTAATTTATTGATTTGGCTTTGCCCATTGTTTTACGAGTATAATGAACATGATTAAATGTACTGTACCTCCATCGGTGTGACTGTAACATGAGTATTTAGTCAGCCCCAGTTCCATGGTCATTCTGTTGTGGCCACTCCAGGTTGATGCCATTGACTACTACACTGATGAGGAGCTGAGACTCACAGACAAGTGTGACTCGGAGAAGGCTCTAGCCTACCAGATACCTCTCGGGATAGCCTTCATCTCCTTCCAGCAGGATCACATGGCAGAGAAGTGAGTATAATGTGCCAGACAACCAACTCAACAGCAGTCATAAGCATTAAAAACAGTTCTTTGAAAGAGCATGTTTTACCAAGTTATTGAAAATTGTTGATTAAACTTTTTTCTTACAAAAATAGTTTTGAAACCAGTGCATATACATTGAGGTTGTTATCACTTATGATGTTTTTGTCAATGTCGTGAGAGAAAAATGAAAACAGTTCTGAAAACAGTTCTTTTTAAAAGCATGTTAAACCAAGTTCTTGAAAACTGTTGATTAACTTTCTTCTTGCAAAAATAGTTTTAAAACCAGTGCATACAAATTGAGGTTGCTATCACTTATGTTTGTGTCAATGTCATGAGGGAAAATGATCAAATGGAAAGGGACATATATTGTTGTGAATATTATGTTCTGTGAACAATGGGTTTATTGGTGGTTGGTACTGTTCCTGAAGGCTGATGCATGTTGTGTGTATTGCAGAATCCGCGCTGACTTCCGTGCCAACTGCAAGGGGTCACATAACCCCCAAACATCCAGTGTGTACTGGGAACTCAATGTTCATGACTGGCAGGTCAAATTTGCTCCTGCGCCGGAAAATATTTACTGGTGAGATTTAGGCTTAAAATACTAATAGTCTTGGTTCTCAGGCACTGTCCGCATCATCATTAAGTTCGCTGCATGTTTTGTTTTTGTTTCCATTTTTAAAAAAGCAAAAAAATCCTTAAATATTCCAAGTCCAACAGAGTCAAATACTGTATTCCAGTATTTTACTCATCAAGGAATGTAGGGAGGCCCTTTCCCAGGTTGATTGTACACAACTGTTTATTTGGTTACACAACTGTTTATTTGGATACATACTAGTTTGAACAACAACAAAAACCACCACCCGCCTACACCCCCGCCCGCACTATGTTTTCAAGTGCCATTGCCTGAAAACCAATTCTTAAATTTTTTTAAGTATTTTAGAAACAAATTTAAAAGTAAATCATAACTTGAAATGCACCTCCCTATGAAGATGACCACTAATATCAAGGTTTGATGTTTAAAGAAAATAAGAGCAATTGATCAAGCAGGGTTAGTGGCCATTCATGTCTTATATCCCTCTGACATTTTGAAAATTCTACAAGACCTAGGCTAGTAGAGATGCTGATTTTAAGCCATTGTGACAAAGTTGACAATTTGTTGCAAAAAATATCCAGCTTTAAAATTTAACCAGTATGAAATTTTATATACAAAAACAATTCAATCTTCATCTTGAGCAATAAGATAACATAATGATTACATCATCAATCATAACATAAATTCAACATGATCTACTTATGATCTACCAGGAATATGGATTACAACACCTTAATATAAGTTGATGTATGAATATTTCAGGGAGAACCTGTCTATTGCCCCGTGGCAGTGGTGGCTGCGAGCTATCCTCATCAACACCATCCTACTCTTCTTGCTCTTCTTCCTCACCACGCCAGCTATCCTTGTCAATGTCATGGATCAGTTCAACTACCAGAAAGCATTTGAAGATCTACATGTATGTATTCTGTATCATTAACTGAATTTTTCAGCTGATTTTATAGTGTGATTTTAGCATTTTGAAATTGGAAATTCAATGTTACTTTTTTAAATCATTAATGTAGATTATTATTTAAACATAGCAAATTTTTAGAGATCATGAATGTTCTGGATATTAAAGCATCCCGCAACGAACAATGACCCATTTACACTATTTTCATCATCAAAAACTAGCTACATCAACTTCTTTGCATGTAACATTATTTGTAATGTAATAGTAACGTTCTTTGCATATATTTTAAATGGCATATATTTCAACAGATCCCTTTATCCACCTAAGGGACATGGACCCATCATTAACTGTTGTCTTTATTCCAGAGTCCCTTGTTGGTGCAGTTCTTTCCCACCATGCTGCTGCTGCTGTTCTCGTCACTGTTGCCCAGTCTTGTCTACTGCTCTGACCAGTATCTTGGACACTGGACAAAGTAAGTCAATTTTGTATGTTCAGTCTTTTGGTCCATCGTAAGCAGTCCACACGTTTGTCCACATAAGTTGGCTCTAGTTTTCCATGTATATTATCCCCCTGGCAAGGGTAATATTGCGACTATTCTTGCTGTAATTATTTAGTCGCTGGAGTTTAACTTACAATCTGTTCAAACAATGAAACTGTTGTGAGTTGAGATAACAGGATTAGGTGCCTATTAGGACATCATTTGCCAAATGACATTGACCAATTCTTGATATGCTAACTGTCAGCCAATCTTATTAAAATCAGATTTTAATTCTCGCTTCAGCTAAACAAAGATCTGAGAACACCCAATTACGGGTCACATCAGACCGACCTTGCCCGACCATTGGAACTACTGACAAGAAGTCAACATTAGCCAATCAGAAGGCAGCTTTCACATGCCTTACGGCACTAATTTCAAATTGGCGACTACGCTTCGAAACATACTTTGACAAATTCTCAAGTAAAAATTTGAAACCTGAGTAAAAGAACATTCTGGAATGGCTAATAGACAGTCTAGATTGTATGGATTCAGTTGTGAAGCCCGTAACTATCGTTCGGAATAACCTGTGTTATTGTTTTTGAGGTTGCATGATTAGAAATCACATTCCGACTGTCACTTTCATGATCTGGTAAGCGACGCTCTGATTGGTCGGATGGATGGTCGTTTTGACGTGACCCCTAATGGGATGTCCTCCAATCTTTGTTTAGTGGCAGCGAGAACTAAGATCTGATTTTAATGAGATTGACTGTCAGCTAGAATAATATATTGATTTGGGAACATTTCCAGTGTGGTAGCCATGTGAGAACACATAGTTTGTAACTTCACTTCTAAAGTTAAATGTTGACACAGGAAAAGAACTAGTATGTCATCTGTTCATGACATTAACATTAATGTGCAATGTGTGCGTGTAATTTCAGGACAGCAGAGCACCATGCAGTGATGAGGAAAACCTTTATCTTCTTGCTGTTGATGGTTCTTATTCTCCCATCTCTTGGACTCACCAGGTACTGCTGAACTATACACACGAGATAAGTTGTAGTTAGTTGGACACGAAGGTAGTGCAAGTGTTTACCCTTCAGAATGTTTCCATATTTATAGATTATTTATAATATGAACATGATGAATGTTTATGACTCTATTTGTTTGCTGTTTATCACCACACTCAAACAGTATTCCAGATATATGATGGTGGTCTGTAAATAATCGAGTCTGAACCAGACAGTCCAGTGATAGACATCAAGAGAATTGATCCACCCAATTGGGATACAATGACCTGCATCAACCAAGTCACCTACCCTTCCCATTTAGTCTCCTCTTACGACAAGCATAGGTTGCCAGGGACCTATATTCTTACCCTCAATCCCCACTATGATTAGGCTCAGTGCATTACATAGTTTGTAAGAGGCGATTTGGATGGGAACTCAGGACATACAGCTTCAGTGTATGGAAGGAATTAGGATGAATGACCATAACTTGTCACCTGATTGATGTAGTTTGTCTATTCCAGATTTACACTGGTAGACTGCTAGGATTTTGTTATGTGGCAGAGGTGGCGGTCAGGTAGCCTACTGGTAAAAGTGTTCCCTTGTCACGCCGAAGACCCGGGATCGATTCCCAACATGGGTACAATGTGTGAAGTCCATTTCTGGTGTGCCCCGCCGTGATATTGCTGGAATATTGCTAAAAGCGGCGTAAAACCATACTAACTTATGTGGCAGACAAAATTTGAAAGATCTTTCAACACTGTTTTTAGTTTAACACATGGGTACATGCTGTAGCATCCTGTATTCCTGTGAGAGTAGTAGTAGTAATCAGTATGTGAAGATTGTGACACTGAAGAGTGTGTGTAAATAGCGCTATATTGAATTTAGAATAGAACTTGATAAACCAAGGTGAACGGGTCACTTCCTACATATCTTTTAAATGTAACAATCCGATTATAAAACATATCTTTATAATTGTTCATTTTCTTGATAATGAAATATGTTGAAGAGAAAATAATGTTTTTTTCAGTGCCAAGGCATTTTTTGAGTGGGCCTTGACGGGAAGGAATCAGACAATGAGATGGGAGTAAGTATGACTCATTTAGAATTCAATACTGTGATAAACTAACATTTACCAGTAATATACACCTAATAGCTATTATGTTATAAATGCACAGAAATGTATGTTTCATACTCCTCATTTAATATGATTTGTTGTCTGATATACTTGTTAGGAATTGATAAAACAGTATTGCACAGGTATTTCTTGAAACATTTCATGTCTTTAACATGACAATGTTAACATGATTGTTACTTGTTTCAGATGCATATTTGTTTCGGGCAATGGTGCTTTCTTTGTCAACTATGTGACAACAGCTGGATTTATTGGCACTGCCCTAGATCTCATCCGATTCTCTGAGCTGTTCATGTATGTGATCAAATTATGCCTGGCTCGATCAGCTGCTGAGAAGTCTGCTGTTAGGAAGGTAGGCTCAATGTACAGTTCCATCTACAACGTTTCCATTCATTTTGAAGTGTATTGAAATTGTTATTAACTTAGTCACTTTTTGGAATTTGTACAGACAAAAAGGTTTATATTTTCACATGAATAATTGATTTTTGTTTGTTTGTGGTTTTCCAGAATGTGTTATGGGACTTCCAATTTGGGTGCCAGTATGCATGGATGCTGTGTATATTTGCCATCACCATTGCATACAGTATACCATGTCCTCTTGTCACTCCTTTTGGTAAGATGTTTAAATTTTTAATCATTTTAAATAGGATCCCCTTTAATGTCTAATTCATTTTAAGCTCAATTATATATATATTATAATGTTTCTATCACATTCACATAAATTGTTACATACTTCAGATATTGATGTTAAATACCGGTAGTTAACATAACATTGTGAGCATAACAATAAGTCAAAGAACCTTCAGGTTATGAGTTGTCAAGGGGCAGTAGCCTCATCTTATTTGGTTGTATGATTGTCATGTTTGTTCAGCTTGTGAATTTCCGTGTTTGTCATGTTGCAGGTTTAGTTTATCTGAGCTTCAAGCACCTGGTAGATAGATACAACATATATTTTGCCTACAAACCTTCTAAAATCAACAAGCACATACATGCCTCAGCTATAAACTTTGTGGTCATATCGGTCATCCTGCTGCAAGTTAACATCGTCTTCTTCACTGGGCTTCGAGCAGGTATGACTAGTCTTAGTAGTAACATGATACACCAAAGAAAGAAATTATAATGATAACAATTAATAACAATTATACATTTATATAGAACTTATTTCCAGTTGATCATTACTGCTCAGAAGCTCTTTGGAGCAATGAATTGTGAACAAAAATTAAAGGAATGTAATACAATGTATCATGTAAGACACAATAAAAAGGTGAGTTTTCAGTTTTGCAAGAACTTGGACATCTTTGTTTGCACATCAGTAGTAACAGGCTTTCAATAGGTGATAAGTATCTTAATGTCATTTATCTGAAATAGGGATTAATGCCTCTGTAAGATGATAATAACAATAATAATAATAATAATAATATCATGTACTCAGCACTTGTTTTTCAGACTTATCATGTTTTTGGTTCACTTAACAAGTAATTCCAGTGACATGTTCTAATGAATTGGTTTTTTTTAATACAAAGTTTATGAAGTGTTACTTTTTACAACTAATTCTTTTCAGGAGGATTTGATAAAGATGTTCTATTGACATGAAGTGAAAATCATTTATTGGTAAAGGTATGCTTACCAAATGTATTTCCGTGATATTGTAGTCACTTTAAATCTTTCTTATTTACAGGCTACACAAGTCCTGTGTTCATCTTCTCCTGTGTGGCCTTATTCATCACTCTTCTTGTGTTCAGTGGCAGGATCGGCTTCGGCTGGTTCAAACACCTCAGTCCCATCAAATACAGGGTGAGCAACACACTCATATCGCTTGTAATCCAGCCTCTGGGATTATCTCCGACAGAGCTTTCCTCAGTAACTATACAGCAGAAAACGGCCAATGTAATCTATTCTCTATACTTGAAGAGTGATTTTTCATTACTAAGTATGGTATTGAAAATGATATATCATCATATCAAGAATGGTCATTGTTTGACCTGATGTTTCCATTGGTATGTCAAGAGAATAATTTGTTCAAGTAAAACCCTGATAAGAGAAGTTAATGGTGGTGCTTTCAGTATAACTCAATAGCCATGTAGCCTAGAGCCGGTGGTGGGTGGTCTATGGTGAATGTGAAAATGGTTATAACACAAAATGGTCATCAATATTCATATATGCTGTTGTAATTATAAAATGTTGCTGTTGATACTAGTGGCAAAAATCCATCATGAACAACTGGTGTTCAATAATTCTTTTGTTAATTGTGAAGACATTTTGATTGTATCTGAAGAGAGATTTCACACGTCTCTCTAATATTGTTTCGCTGCATGTATTTACTTCTGATTTCTTTGATGTTGAAAGCCATTGTTTGTAATCAAAACTTGATAGTAGACTTATTATTTTCAATAGCATTGTGTTTATGTTTAGCCTTTTGGTCTGCTTTGTAGAAATATGACTCTTTGGCATATGATGGAGAGTCTGTTGTAAGACTTGTTTCTCATCTGTGTGTTACCTAGCTAACCCCATTTCACCCTTCACCTGCTTCTACCCAGACAGCTCGCTTCCACAGTCTCCTGTAGAAACTTGTACAAGAGAACTTCTTTCTATCAGGGTCTTTGTAGTCTGTGATTTACTTTTCAAACAGTATATCCAGTAGTATGTAGCATACACTGTACTTGACATGCCTACCAGATATTTACAAAATTTAATGTGTATGAATTGTTCACTTGTCCTTAAATTATCATTTCTTTAAACGAGCCAATTTCCATGTTAATTTACAGAACATGCTAATGCCAGTTTAATATGAACAGCCAATAGAGTAAAAGGGTGGACTAGAAGTTGTGAGATAGTAGCCAGTTTTATAACAACAGTGAATGAAGAAAATATTTGCATGAGGAAATATAATTTTAGATTTTGTGCATGACATGTATTGTCAATGTATTTCCTTTCACTACAATACTAGAAATGGAGAAAATTACCACTTGGTCATGGTTTGGATTTGTAAAAACCCACTTCTTTTATGAAAGAGTGTACACTAGTTGAAATATTTAAGCCTATAACAATTTTCTATTAGATGCTATAAGCAAGATGAGGTGTATTCATTCGCATCATCTGTTACAAATTTCTAAAAAGAACCTGACATGTGTATTATAAATGTACAAAGACACAAAGTCTCCTTCACACGCATTAACAAGATCTACAACACAAAGTATTGGGAAAGCAAATACAAATAGCAAAACAATTTAAAGGAAACATTCTGCCTGAATTCAATACAATAGGTAAGAAATATGGACATATATTACCTTGCTAGCGTAAGCTCCCTGCTGTATGCTTGGTGTAACCTGGTGGTTGGTGTATGTGCATGTTCGTCAGATGTTGACAGTCGTACTACTCACTCACATCTATGACTATTTATTTTTGCCACTCGTTGGACAGACTGGCTTAGATGGGCCTGATTTCTCTGAGTACCAGGTTGGTGATGTTTACATTGTTTTGGTTGTGGAGGTGGATCACCAAAATGTCAGTGCAGAAATTGTTGTATGTACCTACAAATGTAACGACTGACCGTGCTGAATATCCTTTGTATAGGACCATTTCTTGTTTTTTCACAACTGTGATACCTGTATTATCCTCTACCTACACAGGTTCTACATATGTTCTTGTTGATGTCAAGGTGTTTTAATCTGATGAATTTGGTAGGGTGTTATAGGTTTGTTTGGAACATGTGTGCAAGAATGTTCATGATTATGTTCATCTTTAGGTTCTAATGATGTGAAATATTCCAACTGTTCTCCATGTTACCATACCCTGTTCAGGGATTTATCTAGATCTGATAAGAGGCTGATATTTGGCCCTAGGTCTGCAGCAAATGTCAGTAAAAATTCCAAAATTGGATAACAGTACCAAATTAAAGGACAAATTGAATGCAATGTTAAACTACCTCTGAAATTAACAGGACAATAAGAACTTTTATTACAAAATCCCAATTTTGAATATAATAACAGTTTTTCAAAGTTCGCCTGCAGAGCCACTTTGTTTGGAATCCTAGATAAAATCCCTTCTGTTTCCTTCAATCCTCCAATAACATTAACTTCAACTTGTATCCTTTGTACATACATCCAAAAACAGATAGGACCTTGTTTTGCCCCTGTTGATAATGCTTTCATATTATCATGATTACCTGTTTATAGGTTTCCAAACCAAGTTTCCTTCAATAACATTAACTCCTGTATGTACCTGTTCCGCACACATTTATTAATAGGACCTTATCATGCCACTATTGATAATGTTTTCATAGCATGTTAAATGCTGTCACAAATTATGTTTTTACTGTATAAGATATAATATTATTCCTGACTGAATAATCAGCACAATTGTCTTCTCTGATTTGTTAATGCGGTTCTAAAGTTTCTCTTAGTTTAATGTCACTGCATGTTTTGCAAACTGTCAGTCACTTCTAAAACTGACAGAACACATGCATGACAAGTGAAATGCACAACTTTGAACTGACCCCCACAAAATGTTAACTTTTCTTTCAAATAACAACACCGGAAGGTTCGGTGAATAAGTACATATATAATATCTTCTACCATTCAATCTCTTTAAATTGATTAACTATGAGGAAAAACATTGGATATTTCAGCACTTTGCAACAGATGACTCAACAACAGGTGACGGAGCCCCTAAGGTATGTGTATTGTGACAAATCTTGACTGGAAGATTGGGATGTTGATTGTCAATGAGGTCCTTTATGCCAGTGGGTCTGGACATTTACTTGGGATCGGTAATTCATAGTTTCTTGTAAGTTGTTTTTTTCTGGATATACTAGATCTACTAATATGGTGTTGAAAGCTCTTAAAAATAGGTTGATTAATGTAATTGACTATCAAAACCATTATGAATTGTAATGCATTGCAAGATTATCTTGTATACATTATTGCAAGATGAGACTTTAATTGTTCTCTAAACACATTTGGGAGTTGGTATAAAAACATTCCTATAGTTGTTTCAAAGGACGAGATCACGAACAAATTCATACAAAAATATCAAAGTGAACTGAGCACAAAGAGCAAGTCCATGTGAGGAAAGCTGTTGGGGTGCAAGCTTAGGGAATTCAGAGTACACACAAAATTGTGACATTCGGACGCCATGATCAATGGTACTTGTCAATGAATGAAGCTGGTTGGATTAACTGGTTTACAAAATATGATTTATGATCCCTAAAAAAAATAGCAAAATGTTTTTAAAAATTTGTAAGACAAAATATGTATTTGAATCAGGATTTGCAAAAAAAGAAAGACTAAGAAGAAATGTTGAAGATCATTATTTGGTTTGGTTTTGAACTTGATTCTTAAAATAATTTGTTTTAAAATATGAATTATGACAAGGCGACAAATATCTCATCAGCAGTTGATAACAATCATATTTACACTGAAACAACTTCTTGCAGCCATTTGTTGCTGGTGTGCTGCTGGAGAGAGAGGAGGGTAATGAGAACAGTTCCAGGACAGCAGCGTCCTATGGAGCAATGGATAGACCCGTGGACACCGACAACTCCATCAATCGAGAGGAGCCACAGGAGGACTGACGTCAATCAACAGCTGTCATGGCATAATGAAATGTGTGTGCAAGCTGTAAGGCATGGATTCCAGTAATGGTTGAAGTGTTACAGTGTTTTGTTCAAGAACTATGTGCTTGTACTGTTTGAAACAGGAAACTGATTAGGAACACTGCAATCCATTTAAGTCTTTAACATAACAGTGTATATATAGGTATCAGCTATAAGTGAATCATTTGAAATTGCCCTTAATTATGAATTTCATGATGTTTCCCACATCATTATATCTAAGACATTAAGGATGGCTGTTAATATGATGGAGCAGTGTGCAAAATAAAGCTTGAACATCACAGGGTTCTAATGTTAAAAGGGTTTTTTTCAAATTGAGGGGTCACCTTTTATTTTTAACACAGTTGAAGGATGATAGTAATTTCATTGTTTAGAGACATAAGTGATATCAGTGCAAATGAAATATGATTATTGGCAAAAATGTGAAAAATCATATTGTATAACATGAAGAGGCAACAGAAGGGAAATCATAGGATTGTCACATGAATAAACCAACATTTTGTTATATGGGATGAGAAGTAAGAAAAAGGTTCATGATTCTGAACCATGAGACACTGAGGGTGGTTTAATGCTATGATAGCTTTGACAAGCTATGCAACTTTGGAAATGTATACAAAACAGTAGCTAGACTCTAGCGTAGGATTTACCTGATCCACACACTATTACTGATCATAGAGGGAAATCCAAAAGTGAAATGTCTCAGTATATACACACAGACACTGAATAGCTATATCAACATTTTATATTCTTTCAGTTTTTCTGAAATGAAGACCAATATGGTCACATCTCACGTGAGGATTTTTCACTTATTTCAGTATAGTCATTATGTTGATGCTGTGTAGAAATGTGCTCAAACTGAGATTCTTGATAATCAAACAGATTTAGCAAGAGCTCTCTTTGTGAAAAACATTTGACATTGTTAGCATTCATATGTTAGAGTATAGTTATATTTCAAGCTGATCAAATGGAAACATAGATGTAGTTGATTACATAGTTCAAAATAAGAAATTTGGCAACTTTGGGAAAAGATTGAAGCTTCATTAGCATAATAATACAGTGTGATAATTTAATAACTATCAGAAATATGATATGAGTTTCTTGAATACATGTATATAAGAAGTCTTCTGCGTATATATTATAATGTGGAGCTGTGAAACATATAAATGGCGTTGGTACTTACACATATTTGAGAGAAACCTAATGTGATGGACTGGTGGTTTATTATGACAACCATCATTCATGTGACAAGGAGGACTTTGTTGTTCAATCAGCTTGAAAATAATGTATCTAATAGTACTATTTTGTTACATGTTGCAATACCCTTTGTGCAAAGTATGCTATCTCCCGCCATCTATCTATTTACATGTCAATTTAGATAATGACAAACAATCTTAGGTTTCCATGCATGCTTTGCTGTACAAACCCAACACAAAATATTCAATTTAAATTTTCACGTTTAAAGTGTTTATTACTGTTGCCAGAGTTATTGTGTTTCTAGAATTTCTCATTGTATCAAATGGATATTTACGTGACATCAGGTCACAATGATCCAAAGGTTGTGTCTGATCATTTGCATCCCCACCGAAGGAAATTCATCAGATGCATCATGTGATGCTCTTTAAGGTCACAGGAATACATCTGTCTAAATCATGGTTTTGATGGTCTTTATTTCATACCATCATACTGATAATAATGTTGTGTTTTTATCATTTCATAATTGTCTTTTGTCAGTATGGAGTAACAAGATACAACATACATTTGGTTACAAAACATTCAATGGCCATGCTTATGCTTCCATTTGATAGTATTTTGAAGTAATAGTTCTGGTTTGTAATCCTGTTTTTCTGTATCAGCTAAAATTCATTTTAAAAAATTATTTGTGTGGATGATGTGAATGTGCTCCTGTTGAGAACTTGACAAAACATTCATTTATGCTATCATAGCAAATACATTATTTCAAAATTAGCCTTGTTATTGAGAATTCTTAAAACACCTGTATTTCAATTATGGCTGTTATTGATAGACTGAAATAGCAACACATCAATATGGGAATGACAATACAAAGATGATTACTTACCTGTACCTACTTTCTAAATAGTAACCCACTTTCATTAAAATATTTGGTATTATGTCAATAATGGTATAATAACATTGGATGACTAACAAATATGGTGAGAATTAATGGTTGTGGTTGAAATTAAGCATGAAAGTCTAAGGGTCCTTGTCTTAGTCCTAATGTTGAGAGTTAAACATATCCAGGGTCTATCAAATACTATAGAAGCAAACCTTAAGAACACTCAGGATCCCACTTAAATTTGAACAATGGATGATAACATTTACAATAAAGTAATTGCAATCTTTAACAAAATTGTTCACAAGCTTAGTAGTGTTTTGTCCTTGTTATATATAGTCTCAAAGATATCATTAATTGATGTATCAATGTATCGCAGGATTTTTCAGATGCGATGTCAGCAGTGACATTTCCAATCATGATAGCTGGTCCCTATGTAAGTTATGTATGCACTCTCATTATAAATTCATCCTGACAAATGATCTGTTGTACTGATGGAATTTGTCATACCTCTATTAAGAATCTTGCAATTTCATTGGTTAATCTGTACATGACAAAACAATACATTTAAATGTAGACCCCCAAATCATGTGACTGACTCTGACCTTGAATACGGACTCGTCAAATGATCAGATTTGACCAGTCACATGATGAATATTGACTTGTGTGCTAGAAGACAAGATGGCGTCTGGTTCGACATTTCACAGTCCACAGCTAAGTTACTGTAATGAAACAGAGGACAGTTTAAAGACTTCATAAACTTTAAAGTGAATTTTGGTATGACAAAATGAATGGTTACTCTTGACAAGGTAAATATGCAAAACAAGGACCCTTGGACCCGACCCCTTTGGCGGTTTAACCGGACCACCTCAGGGGTCGGGTCCTTGGGTCCTTATTTTTTTGCATATTGACCTCGTCAAGTGTAATTAGTTGCAAAATGTGACGCTGCTGATGTTTGCTTGGTTTGATGTTCTTAACATGAAACACATTAGTTTTATGTGATGTATGTATGTATATTATGGTTTGTGTGCAATAGATTAATTATTGTGATTTAGTTATGATTAACAGTGGTGTAAATAATCAAAGACTATAACCAGAGACCATATAATAATCTATTATATGGTCTCTGCTATAACTTATCAATATCTGGGATTCAACATGATGATAATCTTGCGTTTTCAACTGTGATAGTATGTTGTAGACATTCACGATATAGTGTTTATGTATTTATTATTTTTTATCAGTTCCATTTCTGTGGTTTCTGATAGTTCATACTCCATTAATGCAGATATATTTGTTCAAAAGATTACGAGAAAGTAAGTATTTGACAAGGATACTTTATAATCCTATGATTATAATAATGTACCCCACAGTACATGACAGTTATTAACATGTTCTGACAACACTTAATTTTGTTTAATGAAGATAGTAGGTCCAATACATTTAAGTCACAAGTTGTGATTTCATTTTAGATAACTTCAACTGTTAGCTACTATTCACTCTACAAGTGTAAACTCACCTAAGCTATCCAGCAAAGGGGAGATAATGGATTTGCTTTGTGTCTGTTGTAACTTTTCATATTATGTGATACCTTGTGACGATAGACTGTTCATTATGAATGTTTGTTTAAGACATTTGAATTTGATTTTCAATGAAAACACCTCTATATTCTTTCATATTGATCAAGCGATCTTTGATCATAGTGGAAATGTATGTACTGTATTTAGTGTCCAAATGCCCTTTAGACATGATGTACAATACACCATAGCCGAGCTGGATGACATTCACAGTATCTAACTAAACATGAAGCAGAATGAAGCAAGATGAGCTACAGAGACCTTGGCTCTATTTTTCCTTTCTTGCCACCCTAAGTGCAATTCTTTACAATCGATACAATATAGTATATGGTTGTTACAATAATGACTGTACAGAATTATAAAATGTGAGATTTTCAGCTTATAAAAATTGAGTTGATTACGAACCAGATTATTTCATTAAAATGAAGTTTTAAATCCAATCATTATTGTGATTACTGTTTTGAATTACTTGATAAAGTAAATGATGGTAATTCAAGCTGGGAAGTAAACAAATTGAACTATAAATATGCACATTCTTTTGTATTATCCGATTGATATGATAAATTGCTATCTTCATATTTGTTGCAAAAGCAACTCTTTTTTTAGTTTAGTATCAGTGGACATTGGAACAGTCATTTCCTAAAATAAATTCTTATCAAAAGATTATTCTAGTGTTTCAAAACATTGTTGGAGTTTTCAAAGAGTTACCAATGCATATATTTTGTATCTCTTAGTTATCTATTATCGATACAATTTCCATGATGTTATGATCAACTGCATGCATTATTGTTTTGAAATTAATTCCTGATATGTTTTCATCATTTATAGTAGTGTATGAAATTCAGTGAAGTTCAATGAAATTATTTTCATTGTATACTTGTGAATTGTAAAACTTCTTATAGTAATGATGTCTACATTTTGAAGTTTGTTTATATTTATTTGTTTTGGTGTTAATTGTTTCACTTGAAATTAATAAATCTATCTTCCATGTAAATGTTTGTTGTTGTGATCTTTAAGCGTTAATCGGAATGCTCAAAATAAGTCAAGGAACACACATTACTGTCACCAGAGGTGACAATATGAGTGACCAGGTGTGTTCAATTACTTGTGTCATATTACTGGTACTCCTTTTCAACTCAACTGAGTATCAAGTCAGCTTATGTCATAGAGCCTTGGACCGTCTGTCTCCTCTGAAACTGCAATGCCTATTGGTCTGAAACTTTGTATGAGTGATCCAAGTTATGATGTTTCTAAAACAGAATTCCAATCCAATAATTAAGCATGTTGGCCATATTGAAAATGTCATTTGGGATATTATGATTCTAAGTCCTTGGACCTTCACTCGCCCCAATGTTCTCGTGTTTAACACATTTTTGGCATTTCTGAAACAAAGCCTATGGAGAAGAAATTGTGTATGAATGATCCCAAAGAGGATTTCATCAATCAATCTGATTTTGTAACACATGGCACCCATTATTTCTTCATAATCCAGGTGAGCTTCAGAGCTCTATTTTTTGTTAATCTCTGAGGTAAATGGTTGGTGATTGACTATTGATAGATCATAAGTTTGAGTGTTCTTGACATTTTATCACAAAGAATGATATTAGATACAGGCTGACAAAGACAAAATCACAAATCTTTTAAACTGATTTTACTATCAATCACTGATTATAATCAGTTTGTTCTTGCTGATTAATCATCAAGAATAACTGTGCGCAAATAAATTGTTGTTGTTTTTAAGAAATGTGCAGAAACACAACATTACCTAATATTACTTCTTGTACACTGCACTGAACAAAGATATCAGAATTTTATACATTGTGTATAAGATATACATCTTCTCAGAGGTTATCTGTATGCAGTATATTAATTAGTGCCATACAACATACAAAATATACCAATGTTCAGTGTTAGAAATTAAACATGAAAGTCATAGGGTCCTTGTCATTCTATAATGATAGAAGTAGAAGATGTAAGGATGTAAGGGGTCCCTAGATTCAATTTTTATAGAAGCAGACCATAAGGACACCAGCACACCTTTATTTCAAACACTGAATGTTGAATTGCTTAAACAAGCCTATTTTAGTAGTCTCCAAAGAATTGTTTCAGGTGTACCATTGCTTACTGTTTCTCATATGATATATACCAGTATCTGTGAGTGAGTGAGTTAACACTCTTTTACACTGAAGACAGCAATATTCTAACTGTGTCATGACAGCCTGTAAGTAATTAAATCTTGGACAGGCAAACCCGTTGTTGGTAGCTTGAGAAATAAGCTGATGCAGTCAGCACACACAATTACACAATCAGGCAGGTAACACTGGGTATACAGATTAAGTTTTAATCAACAGTTAGGAAAACACATTGGTTACTTAACACATATCATGTACTCATATGATCGCAGGGTGTGGCTGGAAGCCACTGGGGAAAATATCTTTTTGTGTATGTCTAAGCTACCATAGAAATTGCATCAGAATCCTACATCATTTAACCTTGTCCAATTTTCATCAATAAGACAACAGATTTTCTGATGGTTAAAACAGCAGATTTCTGTCACTGATATTGTGGGGAAAACTTCCAAACTTAAGACTGTGCTTTTCTTTTTATGTATACCAAACAAACTTAACAGGCTTAAAGATCTATGAATTGACACAATACAAATAATTTAAATACAGTCGGTATGGCTATATATACATTCCATATATATATGGAGTAAGTATGGTTTTACGCTGCTTTTAGCAATATTCCAGCAATATCATGGCTTGGGACGCCAGAAATGGGCTTCACACATTGTACCCATGTCAGGAATCAAACCCGGGTCTTTGGCGTGATGAGCGAACGCTGTAACCACTAGGCTACCCAACCGCCCCCCCTATATATATGGAGAAGTTGAAAATATTACAATATACTTAATTTGATAGTATATTAACAAATGTTTGTAACATTAGAATGATTTCTTTAAAAGTATGATTGATAATGTAAATGGGACACATTGTCTCTGTTCATTAGCCAAAATATATTGTGAATTAACTTGCATCTTTATTCAGTATCTTTGAATCTTTGCTTTTTAAAAATACTTTAAAGCTTAAAGTATCAGAAGATGCAACACACACAAAACAGTCTTTAATAGCAATATGTAAGGGTGAGATGATACACTAAAACTATGATACATGGTCTCTGATACGATGCACAATAAACACAAACATGTATCGTGATTCATGACTGCATGAATCTGTATCACAATACATGTTCACAAAATACATATCTTTATCTTTCTTAATAGAATAAGCCTATCTTAATGTAAGCTTGAAAGGCCACCTGCATCCTACAAAAAAGCTGTTTAAGATAACTTGAGATAATCCCTTTTGTTATGGTATCAAAACAGTTAACAAAGAAGAAACAGGATGTTGTCATTTTTTTCCACATATGAACTACACTGATATTTCAATTTATGGCCTTTGTGTTGTTATACTGGCATATCGAGAATCAGATACGTATTATATCATAACCAGAGTATTAAGATACATACTGTATCATGGCCTTCCATATGGTCGCATCCCCGGCAACATGTACATGTGAATCAAGAACAGATCCTCTTACAATTTCCTTTTGGTCCTCCTCTAATGCGGAGGGCCAGTTTCACATCTTGTGGCATGATGGTCACCCTCTTGGCATGAATGGCACAAAGATTGACATCCATGAATAAACCCACCATAAATGCTTCAGTGGCTTCCTGTTTCAAAAGAATGTCAGTTTGAAATAACAAAACCATTAAAAAAAATATGTATCCCAGCAGATCTAGATTTTCAAACTTCAAATTTTTATTTTTTTAATTTTTTGTTTGTGTATGTGTTTCAAACCCTAATTACCTACATTATGTACAATTGACAATAATATGTGAATATGTACACTTTGAAGGGTTTTAGAAAGAAAGGCAGTTCTCATCAATGCAATGCCAATGACAAAAATTGTCTTTTACATAGGAGATAAACAGGTGTCAGAATGCACATGACTTTTTAAAGTTGAAATAGGTCTATATTGTAACTTTCATAATAAATCAGCTGAAATCATATCTTAAAACCTAAAGGATATTCACATTCATGTTAATAGATTTTAGGAAAAAGACACAGCGAATGGGCTTGAAAATTGGGAACAAGGATACCAGGGTAAAGTTTCATTCGTTTATAGCCTAAAATCAAGTAAATTATGATACAATGTATGACTTACAACCAATGGACATTAATTACAATACTGCTAAATGTTCGATACAAATACAAGATAGATCTAGCACCATAACAAAGTTATCTGGTAAATTTATAGATCAACTTGACACTAAATATGTTCAGAATCGCACAATATGACATTGACCACAGGACCATGTAACAATAAAAATTAAAAAAGTCGCAAAAAAATCTTAGATGAGGCCAAAAGCCTTTGGCCTCGTCTATGATTTTTTGCGACTTTTTTTATTTTTATTGGCCTTTGGCCTCGTCTATGATTTTTTGCGACTTTTTTTATTTTTATTGGCCTTTGGCCTCGTCTTTGATTTTTTTGCGGCTTTTTTTATTTTTATTGTTACATGGTCCTGTGCATTGACTGACTTTAACTATGATCTTCAACTTCTGATAAAACCTTAAGTATCTTCAGGACATTCCGAGACATATTGTTCACGAAATGCTACTGTACCTGAAGTGCCAGTAGAGCTGGCATCTGCATCCTCAGCCCTGACTGGATTTTACCAGCAATCTCCTTCACCAGTCTTTGGAAGGGGAGTTTCTTCAGGACCAAAGCTGTGCTCCTCTGGTACATTCTAATTTCTTTGAGAGCATTTGTACCTGCTCTCCATCGTCTAGGCTTCTTAATTCCTCCAGTTTTTCCAAGTGTGGACGAAATGTTTACTGTATTACGGTTTCTCTTTGTAACTAGTAATTTCTGAAGGGATGACTGGCCGTTTTCAAAATTCAGTTTGGGGGCTTGTTTGGTACGGGCCATGACAGTAAAAATAGTCTATCGTCGGCAAATCTATATAGAGTCCGTTGCAAAACAGTGATAAAATACAGTCTAGATATACTTTTGAAACAAAATTACCAACACTGAATCTGGTTGGATTGTTCAGGTTTCCTTTCTCCGGCGTTCAGCGACTTGCGTCGTCTGCTATGGAGGTTGCACGTGGGTTTGTGTTGATGACGTCAAAACGTAAACAAATGGAACTCTTCTGTCGAAAGAGGTAGGTATGTTTGTTAGTCACGTGACCAAGCACTTGCACGTTTTACCATGGAACAGGTGGAAATACGTCGTTTAAAACTTGAGCTAGAGGCCAAGGACAAAGAAATTGAAAGACTGAGAGCAGCGATAGAAGAGCAGGTACCTTGTTATATCATTGTTACTGTTTATATATGTACATAATCACACAGAAAGAGATCTGTCTCTGATAGCGGCTCTCGATCAAGGTAGATAACTCTTTAATTTTTTCTTTCGTCAATCTGACACGTTTTGTAGAATATTGTAATAATTCCGTTACAATGCGACATGATGCAGATCTTGAATGGAATATGCCCATTTTAAATACCACAACCTAATATAATACAGACGTGTTTCGATGTCACTGTCGTATCAGAAAACTGCAGGATAAATTATCATCCATTGAATATTGTACTTTTAATAACAAAACAAGTAATATACAGAAAATGTAGGAAAGGACTAATGCCCCATTTTGAACACATACAGCATGAGATAATTAGTTATTACAATGCTACAAAGGTAATGTCATTTACAAATTGTAACTATGCAAACTTTTTTACAAGGTAGACACAATTTTATGGATAACAACTTCTTTAAAACTGTAAAAAGCGACGTTTCGGTATAGATCCTTCTATGTACCACAATGTTCTTGACATGACATGTATATATAAATGCTGTACCTGCTGAGATGAATAAAGAATGAAAAAAAATTAAAAGAAATGATAAATTATAACTGAACACCTTCTTTAGGGCGGATAATACCTATGCCCCATAACTATTTACAGGTAATTCAGACCTCCCTTTCACAGGTAACAGGCAATTTTTCCACCCATTTCACTATCAAGGATAATTAATGTGTAAATTAAAACACTGTCGCAAATGCTAGAAAGTGTTTTGCCAGTGAAAACAAGATAGAATTGTTCACAGATTGTCACTATTAAAATATTGAGAAACTACTGATCCACCTACCTGTTTTTTGACATATTTCAGACACAAGAAGTCCTGTTGACAATTTTACAGGATAAAAATACCAGCATGTTCAGATTTATTCATCAAGTCCAATTATGACAGTCTAAAACGGACTATAGTAATATGTGCATGTGACTCCCTTATAACAATAATAGTGTAGTCATCATAAAACATCTAATCCACAAAACACAAGTCAATTGGAGAAAATTCTAGATGTGCATCTTAGAAAATAACAAAATGAGCTGCACTTGTTTTGTCAACACTGCCCCCATGATTGCATAACACATACATACATAGTCACGGTACACGACATGAAATCTGTTGTAGGAAATGTATACATGTCCTTTATACTTAATTGAGGGAGATAGAGGAAAACCATTTATTAGTTTAGATAGGGTCTATTACAGAAATGCCCAAGCTCTGCAGGGCTTTCCCTACAATGTGCTAAATGAAACAAGGAAGGTAGGGGTCATCTCAAAAACAAAAACTGTGACGTAAGAGGATATTAGACAGCTTTGATACAGAGGTGATTAGGCATACAGTGGACAATCTTTATTAGCAGAAGGTACATGTAGTAGAATTCAGGGAAGAAATTAAGGACACAAATAATGTTTCCCGGACTACATTAATTTTTGCTCTCCATGAGATGGGACTTCGATACACTGCACGTGACGGTGGCTGAGCAGTTTTTCAGGGAAAAATAAATATTCCATCTTGTCTATGAGGTCAGATTATCTCCGCTCCATTCATGACTATCTCATTCTGGGCTCCAGATCATTGACTTTGATGAAACCAGGGTGAATAAGAATCATTCCACTGACTTCATGTGGCTACCATGAGATTGACAAAAAGCACCCGTGGTACCATCAGGTACCAATGATCTGGAGCTTTTTGATGGATATGAGCTATAGCTTTCGAGGCAAAAAAGAAAACTGAAGATTGTCAAAAGTAAATGAATGGTAATGTGCTCATAGACTGGTTGGAATATCAGCTACTGCACAATATAAACAACCCTAGCGTCCAGTTATCATAAAGCCCATGAACCAGATACTGTCGCGCCAACCATGAGTAATCTGAACATGCTGAAAGCAACCATGCAGGAATATCTGACATTTTGCAATGTCGTCTTCACACCATCTGTAATGAAAGTTAAACCTATGCAGAAAATTTGCCTGAAAAAGAACCCAGTAAAGTAGATGACAGTTGTGGTGGCACAATACTGTCACATTGTCTTACATATGCCAGGCAACCCAATTGAGCTTATCTGGGCTAACTGTAAAGAGTTTGTGGTAGGGCTGGGATGGGTAACTCGGGGTACCCAAGTTAATGTGAATTGCGTTTTGTTTGCCTCGATTTTATCTGTGTCATATGTCATGAAAGTTAGTGAGTGAGTGAGTGAGTTGAGTTTAACACGCTTTTACCAATATTCCAGATATATAACAGCGTCCCAGCTTAATGTGGGAAGAAAGCCCGAAGTGATGCAGGTCTTACATGTCTGCCACTTTAGTGAAACAATGACTTATACAGGTGATGCACTGAGTGTAAGGATTTATGCAACAGGCAATAACATTGTCTAATTGTCAGATAGATGTAATGATGAATATCGGTAAACTTAAATAGACGTTTGATTGTGTTGTCCTGTTACCAGGACTGTAGGGAAATAACTTATCACTGTTAACTGTTAATGTGAAATATTGAGCCGGCCCAAATAAAAAAGGCCAATAACGTATAACGAAATAGGTATTCCTTACCACACGTGCAGATGTGGTATTTAAAATGTCCAAAACACAATAGAATGACGAATAGATGAGGGAAAGAATATTGGTAACCCAATGAAAAATAAAATAACCCAATTAAAATAGAAACCCTAGAGTAAAAACTCAGTTGCTCAAAAAGTTATCTGGAGCTCTGCTGTTTACTGTGTTTTCATTTTCTGTCAGATTTATTCAGTTAAGGTTTGTGCATTTGGAACTGGTTCAGAATTATAGCCCTCAAATGCTACTAATCAATGAGGACGACCATCCTTGGAAGTTTACTTGTCATCCACAGAATTTAGTTGTCTTGGCCACCGGAAGAGCATGACTTTCTAAGGCTGTAATTACAGTGATTGTGTTAACATGGTTAATAGTTTGTCTGCATGTTTTGATTCAGTTAGGATTCATGGTTGAACAGAAACTCTAAGAGTAATATTGTAATGTTTTCACAGCAAAGTAACTATGGAAACAATGCAAAAAAAGATCATGACACAAGTATCAATATGTTTACCAAGGTAAGAGGCCCCCGTATTATAAACCAACAAAAATTCCCTTAGACTATTGGTTAATGCTGTACAATGATTTGGTGCAAATATTTCACTTACTACAGAAGTTTAAACTCAGATTACCAAACTAACTACTGAATAAAAGTTACAGTATGTATACATGGTATACAATGCAAGTTGGATTAAGCACAAAATCTTTTTTGTTTCCTTGAACTCAGGCTGATTTTGAAACAGTGACTGAGGTCAGTGGTCCATCAACAGCAACAAGCAAAAGAATTGTTGAGCTGACAAAAGAAGGTATCGCTCGCTACAGCAGGCAGCTCATTCTCCCTGAGATAGGTGTTCAAGGTGAGAAAATGCTTTCCTCTTTTTGTCCCCCGCCGCGCGAAAGCGCGAAGCGGGGGATATAGTATTCACGACCGTCCGTACGTCCGTCCGTACGTCCCACCTGTTTGTTGCCGCGATATCTCAAGAACTAAACACTGGATTGTCTTCATATTTGGAACTATGGTGTATATACAGACTCCGCAGACACCAGTCGGTTTTGGTGACCTTGACCCCATTTTCAAGGTCACAGCAGGCAAATCTGCTTTTGGAGTTGGAAAACAGAGTTGCCGCGATATCTCAAGAACTAAACACTGGATTGTTTTCATATTTGGAACTATGGTGTATATACAGACTCCGCAGACACCAGTCGGTTTTGGTGAACTTGACCCCATTTTCAAGGTCACAGCAGGTAAATCTGCTTTTGGAGTTGGAAAACGGTGTTGCCGTGATATCTCAAGAACTAATCGCAGGATTGTCTTCATGTTTGGAACTATGGTGTATATACAGACACCGCAGACACCAGTCGGTTTTGGTGACGTTGACCCCATTTTCAAGGTCACAGCAGGCAAATCTGCTTTTGGAGTTGGAAAACAGAGTTGCCGCGATATCTCAAGAACTAAACACTGGATTGTTTTCATATTTGGAACTATGGTGTATATACAGACTCCGCAGACACCAGTCGGTTTTGGTGAACTTGACCCCATTTTCAAGGTCACAGCAGGTAAATCTGCTTTTGGAGTTGGAAAACGGTGTTGCCGCGATATCTCAAGAACTAATCGCAGGATTGTCTTAATATTTGGAACTATGGTGTATATACAGACACCAGTCGGTTTTGGTGACCTTGACCCTATTTTCAAGGTCACAGCAGGCAAATCTGCTTTTGGAGTTGGAAAACGGTGTTGCCGCGATATCTCAAGAACTTATCGCAGGATTGTCTTCATATTTGGTATTTTGGTGTATATACAGGCGGGGGACATTTCGTCACTTCTGTGACAAATACTTGTTATGCTTTTATCCTCCATCAGGCTGCAAAAAGTCATTCTTGGAAGTCACTTGTGAATATATTTCCTAGGATTTGCCGCTGAGAGATTAAAAAAAATATATGTCTTTTTCCAGGTCAGTTGAGATTACAGAGGTCCTCTGTTCTGATTGTTGGGGCCGGAGGTTTGGGGTGTCCTGCTGCAATCTACCTGGCGGCAGCAGGGATAGGTGAGTCCCTGACATAGTGTAAGCTCTGATTGTTGGGGCCGGAGGTTTGGGGTGTCCTGCTGCAATCTACCTGGCGGCAGCAGAGATAGGTGAGTCCCTGACATAGTGTAAGCTCTGATTGTTGGGGCCGGAGGTTTGGGGTGTCCTACTGCAATCTACCTGGCGGCAGCAGGGATAGGTGAGTCCCTGACATAGTGTAAGCTCTGATTGTTGGGGCCAAGGTTTGGGGTGTCCTACTGCAATCTACCTGGCGACAGCAGGGATAGGTGAGTCCCTGACATAGTGTAAGCTCTGATTGTTGGGGCCAAGGTTTGGGGTGTCCAGCTGCAATCTACCTGGCGGCAGCAGGGATCGGTGAGTCCCTGACATAGTGTAAGCTCTGATTGCTGGGTCCGAGGTTTGGGGTGTCCTGCTGCAATCTACCTGGGTTATGGTGATTTGTTGTCCATATGTTACTCAAATATACAACTTATCTGGTGCTCTGACAGCTAGTTTGATATTTATATACCCCCATTTTGAAAAATGGGGGGATATAGCAATCGGCCAATGTCATCTGTCCATTTTCCATTTCCGGAGCAGAACTCCCAAATTGTTAGAGTGAGTGAGTATGGTTTTACGCCGCTTTTAGCAATATTCCAGCAATATCACGGCGGGGGACACCAGAAATGGGCTTCACACATTGTACCCATGTCGGGAATCGAACCCAGGTCTTCGGCGTGACGAGCCAACGCTTTAACCACTAGGCTACCCGACCGCCCAAATTGTTAGATATTTCTTGTTTGAAACTTGCTAAACAAATCAGTCTTGTGGTGAACTGGTGCCTTTTGATGATATGGGATTTATGTTTTTTTAACTGTTTTGTTTTCATGACGACAAGTTGGACTCTGTTGAATATTTCTTGATGGAACTTACTATATAGATCAGTCTGGTGGTGAACTAGTTCCTTTTGATGATTTGGGATATTCAAATATACTGAACAACATATTTTTGTTTTTACTGAACTGAAGGTATCAAATAGCAAAGAACCAAAAGGCAAACTACATTTCAGAATTGCACCAGATCAGGGTTCTATGTCATCTCCTGATGACTCTTGTTGGGGTAAGCTGGTGTGATGTAGCGGTATATTTGTGATGCATGGTTGTATATTTCAGGTAAGCTGGGTGTCATAGACTACGACGAGGTGGAGCTGAGTAACCTGCATCGTCAGGTGCTACACACAGAGGACAGAGTGGGTGTTGCCAAATCAGCGTCGGCCACACATGCTTGCAAGAGGGGAGTAGTAGCCTCGTACTGTACACACAGTGACAGCATAGATACCTGTATAACATGTTTTATGGGAGGTAATTGAGTGTGACGTGGCAAACACTGCATAAGAACATTGTGAAAAGATTGTGTAAAATGGATTTTCAGATTTTATGAAAATAGGTTCAGCACTGTAAAGTTATACCAATTATAAGGAAAGGCAAATTTCACCTAAATAGTAAATGTTTATAACTGCATCTCTTTGAGTTTCCTCACCCAAAATTAAGCTGACACATTTCAAAATATTTTTGAAAACTTGAATACTTTTCAACACGGCCAATTCACTCTCGACCAAATATCTCTGAGAATTCAACCTCCTCATATCAATATCACCAAATTCCTGGTACAGTTTGATCAGAATAAGTCTGTTTGCCTTGTTACAGGCTGAACTCTTCAGTACATTACATCCCGTATCGCCTTCAGTTGGACAGCTCCAATGCCCTGGCCATCATCTCACAGTATCCTTCAGTGCTAAGACTCCCCTCCGTGTGGGTGACATGACCGGTGGTCAAGCTCTTCACAGCGATAGCCCGTTGGTGGAGCTCTCTTTATTATTGCTGCCACCTTTAAAGTTCCCCACTTTTATAGGTGGCCCCAACCATGCTGGGAGTTGAACTCGCAGCCGACGGACCGTTGTTACAAATAAGTGATGACTGCCTTGACACCGAATACACTTAACCTAACTAAATTACGTTCTTTGTTTGTCGATTTGAATTTCTTTTTCATTTCAACTATCATGTAATTGGTATGGTAAGAATGTAAGGGGGAAGTTGGGTGATTTTCTGTTCATCTACAATCTTTGATCAAACAAACAAAAAGTTAGATTCGTCAGGGTAATATGGTCCGTTGTAAACCTTTTCAAAATTCACTATGATGGCATTTCAAAAACATAAACGAAAGTACAAACGTTTGGGGTTGGAGGGCAAATTTCAAGGTTCTTGTAATGGCCGCACCCAAACTGACGGCAACGTATTACTGAGAGCGTAACGAAGGTGTCAAACGCTTGGAAAGAGCTTGGATTGGTGGTGTGTGTCAGTGAATGAGAGAATGCTGCTTCACACACAGTTACCAATATTCTAGCTGTACCACTGCAGACTGACTAGATAATCCAGTCTGGGGCAGACAAACCCAAATCCTGATCCACAAAGCTTTTGAAGCCGCAGACAATCGTGACTGTTGGTTTAGCCTAAACTTATGACTGTCATTTCACTCAAAATCTTTGTGGTCCAGAGTTGACAGTATGAGCATCAGTGTTGACATTGGGGTTCAATGACACACAATCAACCAGGTCATCGCCTTACCCATGCCTGTTGATTTCAATAAAGTGGCGAAAATCTAGAACTTGCATCACTTTGGAATTTACTTCTGATTGGACTTCACAGGACAAACTTAAGTATCCTGATTTATGTTTACAAACAGAAGTTTGTGTCTGCTAACATTGAGAAAACAGTTTGCCAACTCGTTTGACAAATGGTAGGTGAGAAACAGAATCGGTCTCTATTCTCACCAATAATTTGGCCAACTTATAGTGTTTGGAATCTTGATTTTAATGTGTGAATGGTTTTTAAGCAGGTTGGTCGATTACAACCAATCAGATACTGCGTAGTATAAATAGGCCATGGCCAGTTTAAATGGACATGAAGACATCCTTTCCTGTTGTGTGTCAGTCAGTTTTTCAATGTTAGATTTCTTGCAAATTCTCGTAAGTAATCGGACTGGTTGAGGATCGGTCTGTTAGACTGAGTAGCGTATCAAATCAAATTGGCTAATGAACTCAAGGGTGAGTAATTTGAAATTGTGAGAACCACGGGAATGGATCCAAGGGTTGTGTAGACGACCGAAATGCGACCACTGGACATACAGAGGATATGTTTGAGAACGCCTACAAGTTTTTTTATGTGACCCTTAACATGTAAGGTATGATGTTGTGCTGGATGCTAGTGACAATGTGGCGACCCGCTACCTTCTGAACGATGCCTGTGTGCTGGCAGGGAAACCCCTGGTGTCGGGCAGCGCCCTCAGGTTTGAGGGGCAGGTGAGTACAGGACACAGGGACAGCAGGAATCAGCCATGTCTCAGTTGTCACAGGTCATTGGTGCTTTTGTAGATCTGTCTGTTGTCATTTCATAGGTCTTTGGTACTTTTGAAGACCTGTCTGTTGTCATTTCATAGGTCATTGGTACTTTTGAAGACCTGTCTGTTGTCATTTCATAGGTCTTTGGTACTTTTGAAGACCTGTCTGTTGTCATTTCATAGGTCTTTGGTACTTTTGAAGACCTGTCTGTTGTCATTTCATAGGTCTTTTGTACTTTTGAAGACCTGTCTGTTGTCATTTCATAGGTCTTTGGTACTTTTGTAGACCTGTCTGTTGTCATTTCATAGGTCATTGGTGCTTTTGTAGATCTGTCTGTTGTCATTTCATAGGTCATTGGTACTTTTGTAGATCTGTCTGTTGTCATTTTATAGGTCTTTGATACTTTTGTAGACCTGTCTGTTGTCATTTCATAGGTCTTTGGTACTTTTGAAGACCAGTCTGTTGTCATTTCATAGGTCATTGGTACTTTTGAAGACCTGTCTGTTGTCATTTCATAGGTCTTTGGTACTTTTGAAGACCTGTCTGTTGTCATTTAATAGGTCTTTGGTACTTTTGAAGACCTGTCTGTTGTCATTTCATAGGTCTTTTGTACTTTTGAAGACCTGTCTGTTGTCATTTCATAGGTCTTTGGTACTTTTGTAGACCTGTCTGTTGTCATTTCATAGGTCATTGGTGCTTTTGTAGATCTGTCTGTTGTCATTTCATAGGTCATTGGTACTTTTGTAGATCTGTCTGTTGTCATTTTATAGGTCTTTGATACTTTTGTAGACCCGTCCGTTGTCATTTCATAGGTCATTGGTACTTTTGAAGACCTGTCTGTTGTCATTTCATAGGTCTTTGGTACTTTTGAAGACCAGTCTGTTGTCATTTCATAGGTCTTTGGTACTTTTGTAGACCTGTCTGTTGTCATTTCATAGGTCATTGGTGCTTTTGTTGATCTGTCTGTTGTCATTTCATAGGTCATTGGTTCTTTTGTAGATCTGTCTGTTGTCATTTCATAGGTCTTTGGTACTTTTGAAGACCTGTCTGTTGTCATTTTATAGGTCTTTGATACTTTTGTAGACCTGTCCGTTGTCATTTTATAGGTCTATGATACTTTTGTAGACCTGTCCGTTGTCATTTCATAGGTCGTTGATACTTTTAAAGACCTGTCTGTTGCCATTTCATAGGTCGTATGAGATATGCTCATGATAGCGTTGAGATAATGGATATCAGATTGAGATATGCATGTAGTTGATTCACACTATTATGTCAATACCAGTGGCTAGTTGTTAATTATCGTATATTATTACTTATTGTATATTATCAATCATTTATAATTAATTTAACATTTTAGTCGGTTTGTGTTTTTGCCAGTTATTTTGACATTTGTGCCATGTTGAACAATACTAGTTAGTTCTATGATGCAAGGGTTTCAGGAACATGAGATAAAACTCATAACTCAAAGGACGAGGTAGGATAAGGGTCCTGTTTGGCTCATGGAAATATCAAATTTAAATTTTCAGAAAACTTTGAAATATTGGTATGACAATGATCACACATATTCAAATGGCTGACAACTCGCCTTTTTTCTGTCTTACATCTACAAGGTTTGGACAGCTGTTTTAGCTGTACCTAAGCATACAGTGCCTCCCAAACATGCAATTATTAACATGAACCGAGTCTAATTCTGAACACATCTGATAACTTGCATAATGATTTATATCAATGTTTTCCATTTTTAAAAAATTAAATGCATAACATGCAGTCCCTCTCACCTCCTCCTTTCTCACGTGGCTGTTTTGGTTGGATCGCATGGTATACATATGACAGTGTGCGATACAATTTTCAATGGAAAGTGTGAAGTGTTTGTATGGTATATAAAAAAGTACCAGACATGTCAGCCAGTTCCTTGTAGTTTTTAAATCATGTGATCTTCTTCCAGCTGACCGTGTACAACCACCGAGGGGGCCCCTGCTACCGATGCCTGTTCCCCAAACCTCCGCCGCCCGAAACAGTCACCAACTGCTCCGAGGGTGGTGTGCTGGGAGTAGGTCAGTACAGCGACACCTGCAGATGCAACAGCTACAAGGCTATTACAGCAACCAGGGCGTTTATGACACGCACAGACGTCCAGCACGTACATATGTAGAGAATGGATGCAGAGATTCATTGTACCTACAGCGTATGAGGAGCAATTATGGGTGTCTGTTATTTCATCCATCAAGTCCTATGATTCATTCAAGGCTCTAAAGTAATTGTCTAAACATACAGGATCTGTGAAGATTTGGGGTAGAATAGGTATTCAGCAATCCATGCTTACCATAAAAGGCTACAATGCTTGTCGTAAGAGGTGACTAACGAATCAGGTGGTCAGGCTCACTGACTTGGTTGAAGCATGTCATTGTATCCCAACTTGGTTGAAGCATGTCATTGTATCCCAACTTGGTTGAAGCATGTCACTGTATCCCAACTGCTTGTCAATCACTGGATTGTCTGGTCCAGACTCGATTATTTACAGACCGCCATCATATAGCTGGAATATTGCTGAGTGCGGCATTAAACAACAAACAAACAAATCTATACATACAGTACATGCATTTCATTACTTGAGAGGACACTCATATTGCCTGCAAGGATCCTTAAAATTAACTATTAGGGTCCCCTTGACCCCCATGTTTGTTAGTCCAGGTAAAACCGTGAGATAGTGTTGCATCCTGCATGACTCACAGCACAACATTAGGGATAGAGGGCACACCGTCCATGTCAACATTTCGTGAGTGACTGCCTCCGTGATCATACGGATAGAGTGTCTCGCCAGAGAGCAAATGTTGGTGGTTTGATCCAGGCCATGTCATACCAAAAGACATTAAAAGATGTTACTTGTTGTTTGCCTGCATGGCACTCGGCATTAAAGGGATAAAACAAGGACTGATCAGCTCCGAGTCAGAATAGGAGTATCAGTGTTAGACTGTGGCATGGCATCTCGGAGTCAGAATAGGAGTATCGGTGTTAAACTGTGGCATGGCATCTCGGAGTCAGAATAGGAGTATCGGTGTTAGACTGTGGCATGGCATCTCGAAGTCAGAATAGGAGTATCGGTGTTAAACTGTGGCATGGCATCTCGGAGTCAGAATAGGAGTATCGGTGTTAGACTGTGGCATGGCATCTCGATGGACTAGCAATATAAATCCAACATTAGTCCAAACTAGTACAAGTAGACACATTCCACCTCAACTCACTCCACGACTTGGGTAGTGTGCCCCGCTTGTTTGAAATTGTGGCTCTAACCCTGGAGTGAGGTAGTTATGGCAAGGCACTGTAACCATGGTAACATGTTCTTGTGTTGCAGTTCCTGGGATCATTGGGTGTCTGCAAGCCCTGGAGACTGTCAAGATCGTGGCCGACATCGGCAGTATCCTTGGTTAGTGGTGTATTGGTGTGTGGTAGGGCATCTTCGGGATGAGCTATTCAAGGAAATTAAGCAGAAGCTGATAGTAGGTGTATGTTTCATTGACCCGGAGGTAACCTAAACTTACTATCTACCGATGATGAACACTGTGGGGATTCCGGGTTAGAACAGCTTTAACAAATGATATATTTGCGATAACACTTTCTTAGTAAAGTACAGATTCTGATACTTTTTGGGTTGAGTCCAATCCGTAATTCGAACCCACACTGCCAGAGTGTGGCACTTTATCACCAGCACACAAAGTCAGTGATCTAACCCACTCAGCGACCAAGGCTTCCACAAAAATGAAAGTCTGACAACTGGTAGTCTAGATCATGTACTTTGTGTACCCCTCTGACAAGTGTGTCCATAGAATACCTTTAGGTCCCCATGAGTGTATGCTGGTCTAAGTGACCAAATGGTCAAGCTCAGTCACTTGGTTGATAGCAGGGCATCGTACTGTGGACTGCTGCTCACAGTAGTATCGATCACTGGATTGTTTGGTCTGTCTGTATTGTGTTGCATCACCTTTAAGATGTGTACAGACAGTATCCTCTTTCGGTTCATTATCTATGATGAGTAAACACATTATATATGATGATTTTGCTACAGTGAGAGCAAATAGGTCATATTTTGGATGTTTTTTCTTCATGAATATAATTAAAAAAATAATTTACAAAATAGGAATCTAACCATCTAACCATGTCTGACCAAATCTGGGGGCCGTCGGGTAGCCTAGCGGTTAAAGAGTTAACTCGTCACGTCGAAGCCCATTTCTGGTGTCCCCCGCCGTGATATTGCTGGATTTATTGCTAAAAGCGGCGTAAAACCGAACTCACTCACTCACTCACTCACTCACTGACCAAATCTGACTCTTGACAAATCTGATTATGCCACAAGACAGATAGTCACAGCAATGACATCATGTAGTGAGAGAATGCATTGTTACAAGTTACTTAGCCCCCTACAGCTAGTTCCAGCCAGCGCCTGCTGCTGTTTGATGCCCTGGATGGGATGTTCCGCACCATCAAGCTCCGTCCCCGGCAGTCCAAGTGTCCTGTGTGTGGAGACAACCCCTCCATCACCCAGCTCATGGACTATGAACAGTTCTGTGGGGCCCGAGCTACTGACAAGGTGATGAGAGCTATGTCCTCAATGATTCAGAAGGTCCCCAGTACGACTGTCTCACAAAGAAGATCACTCGTTGGAAGTCTCGCTATTTGACTTTTTTTCTCCTGATGTTGCGTTATATGAATCCTCTTTAAATCAAACACTTCAAACAAATTACTTTGAATAGGATGAGGACAGATTTAGGTAACACTTCCTTATAGAACTGCATCACTGGCATGACTTCAGTCCTATATGTGCCAAAATCTTTTGAGGCTGCAAGTCCGAAATTGTCCATTAGCATAATTTGAATCGATTTTAGTGTTATTAAATGGACTAATATTTCTGTGCTTACTCGACCGAACAAAATTTTACTCAGGTTTTGGACTAGCGGGTAATGGCACAGTGGTACTTAAGACTAGATAATTACAACATCTCACAAGACTGTAAACTGTCTATCTATGAAACTTAAGAATATGTGACCATCTGAAAATTTCACAGTTATGAGTTACAAATCGTGAAACTGTTTCAGGAACATGCTCTAACAGTGTTAGATGACTCCGAGAGAATATCCCCAAAGGTAAATATGATGTTAAACATTCATTTTATTAAAAGTTTCATTCAATATTGTGTACAAATTAATATTATCAAAATCAGTGTGAACTGATCAGAATTTCAAACTGAGAATTAAAATTTAAAAGTAGTCCATTCCCCAGATTTACAGACAAAAATATTGACATTTGAATTATGGACATATTAAGTATTGTCTTTTAAAATCATTAATCATTTCGGCAAAAAAGTACATTGAAAAGAAAAAATATGTACAAAAACTTATTCCACTATGTTATCAAGAACATTCAGTGCAGTGGTGCTGTACATAGTGTTTCATGTACATGGCATGTGTTGTTAGTTTCCATGGCACCAGCTGGGCAGCAGGATCCTATTGTGTTTGCAACGACATATGTGTCACCTTGAATTGAAATATCACTTCAATAGGGCTGTATAGACCTTTTGGGTCACATTATATGTTTGTTGTCATTGTTCTTGAGCCAGTGTGTGCAAGTGAAGAGCAACTTCAGAATGTTAATGTACATACATGTGATTAAGGAGACAACAATTGTCAATACCATCAGAGATAATTATCCAGAAATTGGAGAAAGAGAACTTCAATGACAATGGTTATACAAAGTCGTTGCTGTCCATTTAATTGGACATTTTTCAGGATCGTCATTTATTGCTTCATATGATTCATGTGCCAGTGCTTTGATTCAGATATTACGATGTAATATAATATTCTCTGAAAGTAGTACAAATACAATGATGGCATATGGGTTGCTATGGCAACAGAAGTATATATTTCATTGCTTCAGTGTACAATTACCGGTAGATTACAGCTGCTTGTCCTTACATTTCATGACGTGGCTATAATAATACATGTAATTATTTTGGGTTTGGTAGAGAGTTTGACAGCTGCCTCTGCCAGTGATTTCTTGGGTCAAAACCACCAAAGTTATTGACATTAGAGGATAAACTACATGACCTTGGGGTGTTATTTTGACACATGGCATGAGGTCAAAGGTCATGAGAAAATTACTAATGTTGTGATTACATGCTTCTTTTTTCAAAAGTATTCATACTATCATCACTACACTTGATATATACCTTGTTTGGGATTTATCTCTTTATAAACATGAAACTTATATCTAGAAATCCTGACACATGAGCTTGTCAGTGGACTGGCAAAGGTCAGGGTCATTGTGGAGCATGGATGATAAATTATGCATGCAGAACATGCACTCAATGCCAAGACTACCAATGTGTTGGAGTGTTATGAGGTGAGGTAAAATGGGGTTTAACATTGCGTCCAAGACTATTGCACTTGTATAGCGACGTGCATGCACGTGTATATATGTGTGTGTGGCTGCTTGTACTAGTCCGGACTGATGCCGATTTATAGTGCTAGCACACTGAGATACCATGCCACAGTTTAACATGAATACCCACTCAGGCAATGTATACTGACTCCGAGCCGACCAGTCCTTGTTTTAGCCCTTTAATGTCGAGCGTCAGACAGGGTAACAACAAGTACCATCTTTTAAAGTCTTTTGATATGACACGGCTGGGGATCGAACCCCGGACCTTCGGCTCTCCAGGCGGACACTCTACCATTAGACCACGGAGGCGGTCTGGAATGTTATGAAGCATGGGACACTGTAATGCCAACCCCTGTTAATGCTGGTCCTGTTAACCCTGGTCCTGTTAACTCTTCAGTGATTTGGTTGTTCATTTTCTGTTTGACATAGGTTTACCAAGAGATGATGGTGAAGGGGTCACCCCACATTCTGGTGGACGTACGGACAGAGGTGGAGATGGGCATCTGTCAGCTACCACACCCTTCAGTCAGTATCCTTGTCATCACCCAACTCCATTATTCAACACATTACCACTATCGTATAGTTTTCAAGTTGATTAACAGTAATTATCTGCAAGTCTTGGCTTCCATGAAAGATTGAAATTTTCTCAATTCCTAAATAAGGACACCCTTAACATTTTCATATGTCAAGCATTTAATTAACTTAAACAATTTATGTGTAGTACGTCTCTGATTATATATGAAATAGTAAGGAGAAATAAAATCTTATGTTCCTATATTGCAGGATAAGATAACTAAATTGCAGTGGAAGAAATAATTTGTACATTTCTTGACCAATCTCAGATATACCAATATCTTCAATAGACAAAGCTGATTGTGTAGAGAGGTTGAAATCAACAGTAAAGAAACAACCAACAGGTGGCAACAGCCCAGTATCGGTTGTGCTGGTGTGTCGTCGAGGTAACGACTCTCAGAATGCAGTCAGGTCCCTTCAACATTCCTTGTCAGACTGTAATGTGACACTAAAGGACATCCGTGGAGGTCTGCATGCCTGGGCCAGGCAGGTGGACAAGAACTTCCCTGTCTACTGAAGGACGTCCATGGAGGTCTGGCCAGACAGGTGGACAAGGACTTCCCTGTCTACTGAAGGATGTCCATGGACGCCTGGGCCAGACAGGTGGACAAGGACTTCCCTGTCTACAGAAGGATGTCCATGGAGGTCTGGCCAGACAGGTGGACAAGGACTTCCCTGTCTACAGAAGGATGTCCATGGAGGTCTGGCCAGACAGGTGGACAAGGACTTCCCTGTCTACTGAAGGACGTCCATGGACGCCTGGGCCAGACAGGTGGACAAGGACTTTCCTGTTTACTGAAGGATATGCATGGAGGTCTACATGCCTGGGCCAAACAGGGGGACAAGACCTGTGTTGGTCACTGAAGGACACTTGTAATGTAACACCCCTGTACAAGTACTACAATCCATAGTGTGGTTGCAGGAGCACTTTGTATCATAAAGATGTCATTTGGGTTTGATGCACATTAAGTTTTCAGTAACCAGAATATAATTATCAGTTACCTACACGAGGCAATCTGGAGGAGGCTAGCCATTGGTTGACAGTGTGAGAACATTGTTTTATCCCTTACAGGTCTGGTCACCACTGGCAATATTCACTCACTCAGAAGTATGTATTGGGGCAGGGTAGATCTGAATTAGAACAATTTCATTATTTTATGTATAGGTCATTTTATTTACACATCCATGAACAAATAAGCAACTGTTAATTTTCTGACTTGGACTTTTTGTTGTTGTCATTTTATCTGCAATGAAAAAGAATTTTTATGTGCAAATGGTATTGTCAGTCATTGAGAAGTACAGTCAAGTCTTGTTAATCCGACAATCGGCTTTATCCGACACAAATGATGGGAACTGATTAAATCAGTGCTATTTAGACACCTTAATCCGACAGTCTCGCACTCCGACACACCTAATTTGCAACGATTACCGGAATCACTCATTAATCAGTCTCGTTAATCCGACACAGTGATCAGCGTACTCTGTGGTCATCTGCCCACAAGTACACAGCCCCGTGTTTTGATGCAAGACAAGTCGGCGAGTAGCTGCATATTTTTATGGCTGCAGAGATAAACTTGCTTAACAATTATTGCTTTAAATAAGCAAAACAGGATTAATCACATGCCTAGATTGAAGTAATCTCATTAAAAGTTCTCGCTACTCCTGAGGACATCCCATTACAGATCACGTCAGTTTTGTGTTTAAAGTTTGAGGTTGCATGATAAGAAAACATATTCCGCTAACAATGTAACACAATAATATGAATATTTCCTTTTTCCTTTTTTTATTACAACATGTTTGAATCATTATCTATAATGTAGTTTCCAATTTCCGATCACGAACGTTGATACTACCTAATTTTGTTTGTCCGACATACTCGTTAATCCGACATAATCATATGCAACCAACAATGTCGGATTAACCAGACTTGACTGTACTTTGCATTGCAAAATCTTATTGAACACATGAAAATTAAGGTTGTATCCAGCACAAGCGTGAGATAGGTGATATGCAAGGGTATCATTACTGACTTCAGTAGGGTTTAGCCTGCACATACCAGTACACAACCCTCACTGAACTTCCTTCTTTCACATACGGAACACTCACGTAATTTCTCGGTGTGATTTCCTCTCAAAGAACTTTGGTCGCCTATTCTTTGGTTTCCTGCAAAATAGAAAAGATTCACTGACAACCCAGTATCTAGGAAAGAGCGAAGTGAAATAAAGCATTACTTTGTTTCAGTAATATTGTGACAATAATCTAGGAAAGATTTTTGTTTGTCTGTTGTTTAACACCACACTCCGCAATATTCCAGTTTGACAGTGGCCTGAAACAGACAATACAGTTATTGATATTGTGAACATCAATTACTGTGGGCGCACTATCAACCAAGTGACAGGCCCTGACTGGTTGCTGAGGACCTATTCTTACCCCGAATTCACGCAGGGTTGCCTCTTACAACCAGCATAGGTTGCTGGGGACCTATTCTAACCCAGAACTCCACCTGGTCGCCTTTTACAACCAGCATAGGTTACTGGGGACCTATTCTAACCTGGAATCCCCGCGTGGTCGCCTCATACAACAAGCACAGGTTGCTGGGGACCTATTCTAACCCGGAATTTCCACAGGGTCGCCTCTTATGACCAGCAGAGGTTGCTGGGGACCTATTCTAACCTGGAATCTGCATGTGGTCGCCTCATACAACAAGCACAGGTTACTGGGGACCTATTCTAACCCGGAATCGCCAGATGAAATCTAGGAAAGACCTCCATCACAACAAGTAGGAAGCTTATGCCACAGTAGTAGTATTTAAGCCATATTGCAGAGGTGTAGTTCCAGTGTTTTTAAAGTGTGAACATGATCCATCCTGTCTGGATACGATGACACACTATACAAGCCTGGTCCTGTTCCACAAAGTGGTCTTATCGCAAGAAGGATGCTAGACTTAAACAATGAATGAAGACAGACATAACACTGAGATTGCTTCATGGGGCCTGGGTCTAACAACAGCCCTGCACAGGGGACAAGGATTTGTTTGTTTTGTTAGTTGTTTAACACCGCACTCAGCAATATTCCAGCTATAAGACGGCGGTCTTTAAATAATCGAGTCTGGACCAGATAATCCAGTGATTAACATCATGAGCATCAATCCAGCCAATTGGGATTCAATGAAACGCATCAATCTCATCAGCGAGTCTGACAATCTGATCCTGTAGTCGCTTCTTACAAAAAGTATAGTTGACTTTGCAAGTATGGGTTGCTGAAGACGGATTCTAACCCCAAACCTTCACGGGCACAGGGGACAAGGAATCCCTGTAGGGATCATAAGTAGGAAAAGGGTTAATGAACAACAATAACACTTACTTGGCCTTCTCCCTCGTCTCAATGATGTTCCGCTTCTGTAGACTGTGGAACATGTCCTTGATGAGATAGCCTTCAGGCTAGAAGGAAAGCATTCAATGTCGCTAGATTAAAGATGAAACCATCCTCAAATACAAGTGTTACGAATTTAAAATGATTTTATTCTTGCAGCAGAAGACATTGTTCAACAACCAGACTCAGATGCTACTAAAGAACAAATGCAACACACACACACACACAAAAATAATAGACACCACACTGGAAACTAGGATATTTACTGATTCACAGAAATAAGTGCTTTTCAAATTGATACAAATCGTCAGGGCCTGTATGTATTAATTCTAAAATGAATTCAGAAAATACTCCATTCTGATTGGTCAACCAGGTAACACGCAAACAGCGTCATCACTATCCCCTAGCTGCCATGGGCACATTTGAAGGTTTGTTCATGTAGTAGTGAATATAAAAAAAAGCCTTTATAAGAGATGGAAAAAAATGATTAAATGTGACATTTATACACACAAATGGCCTCCAAAATAAATACCTCAGTCTTGATAAATATCTCTTGTATAAGCTAACTATTTTCTGAGAAAAGTTGTCCCCACTGCAGACACTATGCACTAAGTAAAATAACATGGATGAAGAGCAGTAAATAATTGATCTGACCAATTTTCGAATTTAGTCTTGACAAGTATCTTTTAGGCAAGCATGAAAACTTTCATTCATGTAACTTCAGAAGTTTCTGAGAAAACTTGTCCCCATTTCACTCAATATGCACCAAGATGAAAGGCATGGAACAAGGGCCATAACACTAATTTTCAAACTCATGACCAGTTACATCAGTGTGTAAAATTTCATTTCTCTTACTGAAATAGTTTTGAGAAAATTTGTCCCCTTTGTGAAGCATTTGAATGGACAGACGAACTCTGATCCTATAGGGGATAATAACCACCTGATTCTAACAGCTTATTTGGCCTCTGCATCACAGCAACAACTAATATCTGTAGAAAAGAAAAAACTAACAATTTAAGATTAAATCTACTGGTAACCTAGCTCTACATTGACAACACAGTATGATTATCTCCTAAATATATATGCATTTTCAAAACAAACATACCTTCAATAACCTCAGTGACCCAGGCAACTCCTCGCCAAGCTTAAGGTCAAGGTCAGGCTCTACATATCTAGGTCAGGTCAAGGATACTGACTTGCTGTATAAATAAAAACTAAGTTTGTGCGAATTACATAGTCACTCTCCTTGTAAAAGAATTCCTACAACTACATAGCAAGTGCACCTCTGTATGTGTGGCATGTTAAACACAGCAACGAGGAAGTGATCTATCCATGTCGTGTTCTGCAGCCAATGTGGCCAGATCACAGATTGTGTCATAGCTCGAGTCAAGCATGACAAGCACTGGGTAACATTTTGCTACGGAAACCCTCGACAGATGACAAGACACCTCAGCTCTGTAACCCAGCTTTTTTTAAAACTCAAAATTTACAAGTCTTAATTACAACAGTATGGAAAGCAGAAGGTTGGTGTTTCGATTCCCTGGTCATGTCATACGATAAGATGGGACTTCTTGTTACTCTGCCTGGTGTTCAGGACAGAAGATGGCGCAAGTCTGGACGCATGCAAGCACGCATCACCATATATGCATGATAAGTGCAATATTGTTGAACACCATTTCACTTCATCTTCACCTTAGGAGTAACAGTCATGGATATGCATCTACTAAGGCCATATATATTTTTAGTTGGTTTACGAGAACGTCCAACAAATAAAACCATGAAATTAGAAGAGAGAAAAATTGTGCTCACTGTTTTACAATTAGGTGAAATGAATAAAACATGGGAATTTATAACCACTGTTCATAAGATATGGTGATTGATATGTATATAATCTTAACCCAAACAGAATTATCATTCAGGAACTTGCCATGATAAAACATGCAGGTTTAACATTCATTACTGGCAGTACTTATCTGGAAGTTGAAATTTGTTTTACTTTTTGACCACCTTCACTCAATTTTAGGCCCTTTTTTTGTGTGAAAACAAATAACAAGCCTAAACACTGAGCAACTGACACAGCCCATATTTCTGTACAGTTCGCCACTTGTAATGTCAAGGATACTTGTGTTTGCCAAGCTTCTTGGGTTTGTCTTTATTCTTCTCAAGCTGTTCCTCTTTACGTTTGGCGCGTTCCTCCGTTGCCAACTCTTCCTTACGTATTTCCTTCTTTATGGACTTCAACCTGCAACATACTCGACACAATGCATCATTGACATCAACCAGCAACATACTCGACACAATGCATCATTGACATCAACCTGCAACATACTCAACACAATGCATCATTGACATCAACCAGCAACATACTCGACACAATGCATCATTGACATCAACCAGCAACATACTCGACACAATGCATCATTGACATCAACCTGCAACATACTCAACACAATGCATCATTGACTTCAACCGGCAACATACTCGACACAATGCATCATTGACTTCAACCTGCAACATACTCGACAAAATGCATCATTGACTTCAACCAGCAACATACTCGACACAATGCATCATTGACATCAACCTGCAACATACTCAACACAATGCATCATTGACTTCAACCGGCAACATACTCGACACAATGCATCATTGACTTCAACCTGCAACATACTCGACAAAATGCATCATTGACTTCAACCAGCAACATACTCGACACAATGCATCATTGACATCAACCTGCAACATACTCAACACAATGCATCATTGACTTCAACCGGCAACATACTCAACACAATGCATCATTGACTTCAACCTGCAACATACTCGACACAATGCATCATTGACATCAACCTGCAACATACTAGACAAAATGCATCATTGACATCAACCTGCAACATACTCGACACAATGCATCATTGACTTCAACCTGCAACATACTCGACACAATGCATCATTGACTTCAACCTGCAACATACTCGACACAATGCATCATTGACTTCAACCTGCAACATACTCGACACAATGCATCATTGACTTCAACCTGCAACATACTCGACACAATGCAGCAACATACTCGACACAATGCAGCAACATACTCAACACAATGCATCATTGACTTCAACCGGCAACATACTCGACACAATGCATCATTGACTTCAACCAGCAAAAATACTCGACAAAATGCATCATTGACTTCAACCTGCAACATACTCGACACAATGCATCATTGACTTCAACCTGCAACATACTCGACACAATGCATCATTGACTTCAACCTGCAACATACTCGACACAATGCATCATTGACATCAACCAGCAACATACTCGACACAATGCATCATTGACTTCAACCTGCAACATACTCGACACAATGCATCATTGACATCAACCAGCAACATACTCGACACAATGCATCATTGACATCAACCTGCAACATACTCGACACAATGCATCATTGACATCAACCTGCAACATACTCGACACAATGCATCATTGACATCAACCAGCAACATACTCGACACAATGCATCATTGACATCAACCTGCAACATACTTGACACAATGCATCATTGACATCAACCAGCAACATACTCGACACAATGCGTCATTGACATCAACCAGCAACATACTCGACACACTGCAACAACATACTTGACACAATGCATCATTGACATCAACCAGCAACATACTCGACACAATGCAGCAACATACTCGACACAATGCAGCAACATACTCGACACAATGCATCATTGACTTCAACCTGCAACATACTCGACACAATGCAGCAACATACTCGACACAATGCAGCAACATACTCGACACAATGCATCATTGACTTCAACCGGCAACATACTCGACACAATGCATCATTGACTTCAACCTGCAACATACTCGACACAATGCATCATGAACATCAACCTGCAACATACTCGACACAATGCATCATTGACTTCAACCTGCAACATACTCGACACAATGCATCATTGACATCAACCTGCAACATACTCGACACAATGCATCATTGACTTCAACCTGCAACATACTCGACACAATGCATCATTGACATCAACCTGCATCATACTCGACACAATGCATCATTGACTTCAACCTGCAACATACTCGACACAATGCATCATTGACATCAACCTGCAACATACTCGACACAATGCATCATTGACATCAACCTGCAACATACTCGACACAATGCATCATTGACATCAACCTGCAACATACTTGACACAATGCATCATTGACATCAACCAGCAACATACTCGACACAATGCGTCATTGACATCAACCAGCAACATACTCGACACACTGCAACAACATACTTGACACAATGCATCATTGACATCAACCAGCAACATACTCGACACAATGCAGCAACATACTCGACACAATGCAGCAACATACTCGACACAATGCATCATTGACTTCAACCTGCAACATACTCGACACAATGCAGCAACATACTCGACACAATGCAGCAACATACTCGACACAATGCATCATTGACTTCAACCGGCAACATACTCGACACAATGCATCATTGACTTCAACCTGCAACATACTCGACACAATGCATCATGAACATCAACCTGCAACATACTCGACACAATGCATCATTGACTTCAACCTGCAACATACTCGACACAATGCATCATTGACATCAACCTGCAACATACTCGACACAATGCATCATTGACTTCAACCTGCAACATACTCGACACAATGCATCATTGCCATCAACCTGCATCATACTCGACACAATGCATCATTGACTTCAACCTGCAACATACTCAACACAATGCATCATTGACATCAACCTGCAACATACTCGACACAATGCATCATTGACATCAACCTGCAACATACTCGACACAATGCATCATTGACATCAACCAGCAACATACTCGACACAATGCATCATTGACATCAACCAGCAACATACTCGACACAATGCAGCAACATACTCGACACAATGCATCATTGACTTCAACCTGCAACATACTCGACACAATGCAGCAACATACTCGACACAATGCAGCAACATACTCGACACAATGCATCATTGACTTCAACCTGCAACATACTCGACACAATGCATCATTGACATCAACCTGCAACATACTAGACACAATGCATCATTGACATCAACCTGCAACATACTCGACACAATGCATCATTGACATCAACCTGCAACATACTCGACACAATGCATCATTGACATCAACCTGCAACATACTCGACACAATGCATCATTGACATCAACCTGCAACATACTCGACACAATGCAGCAACATACTTGACACAATGCAGCAACATACTCGACACAATGCATCATTGACATCAACCAGGAACATACTTGACACAATGCAGCAACATACTCGACACAATGCAGCAACATACTCAACACAATGCAGCAACATACTCGACACAATGCAGCAACATACTCGACACAATGCATCATTGACATCAACCAGCAACATACTCGACACAATGCATCATTGACATCAACCTGCAACATACTCGACACAATGCAGCAACATACTCGACACAATGCAGCAACATACTCGACACAATGCATCATTGACATCAACCTGCAACATACTCAACACAATGCATCATTGACATCAACCTGCAACATACTCGACACAATGCATCATTGACATCAACCTGCAACATACTCGACACAATGCATCATTGACATCAACCTGCAACATACTCGACACAATGCAGCAACATACTTGACACAATGCAGCAACATACTCGACACAATGCATCATTGACATCAACCAGGAACATACTTGACACAATGCAGCAACATACCCGACACAATGCAGCAACATACTCAACACACTGCAGCAACATACTCGACACAATGCAGCAACATACTCGACACAATGCATCATTGACATCAAACAGCAACATACTCAACACAATGCATCATCAGCTTCTATAACACAACATGACACAATGCATCATGGACAGAGCAGCAAGATAGGATGAGAACCAATGAGGTCTCTTGACTTTATGCCCCATGAGTAGTCAGACGGTAAAGTATGGCCTACATTCATTTGCTGAAACTTTACTTATTCAATACATGTTTTAACACAATGTTATCTCAATGATAAGAAGTGACTGAATGTCATCAGGAACCACAATCAGTAAAAGCTACTTCACTGCATACTTAACATTCTAGTCTAATCAAGTCATTGGTTGTTTGTTGTTAAACGCCGCACTCGGCAATATTCCAGCTATATGACGGCCGTCATGACATCATGAGCATCGATCCACGCAATTGGGATGTGATGACATGCATCAACCAAGTCAGGGAGCCATTCTTGTTAGTTGCCAACAGTGAGTGAGTGAGTGAGTTGGGTTTAACGCCGCTTTTAACAGTATTCCAGTTATATCACGGCGTGTCAGCTTAATGTGGGAGGAAAGCCCGAAGTGATGCAGGTCTCAGACGTTTACCACTTCGGTGAAACCCACGAGCACGGGTATGGTGCTGACAAACCTAGAAACATAATCGGGGCGAACCGGGATTCGAACCCACAATCATAGGTTTCTGGCGTGCCCAAGGGACGCAACTCTGCACAGCGAATCGCGGCGCCTTAGACGACTGGGCCACCCGTGCCCCCTAGTTGCCAACAAGCTGCTGAAGACTGATTCTAACCCGGATCTTCACAGATAAATCAAAACATTGGTTGATGCATCAGATAGCCATTCACAAGCATCGATGCTACATCTGCCTAGCACCATCAACATCAAGGCCAGGTTGGCAAGTCAACGTAGGACTCTCATGAAAGACTATACCTGTTAAATTCATTCTTCTTCTGCTTTACCACTTTGGTTCTGGCTAACCTCTTTGCCTGAAAAAAAAAGATGATACTTGCTCTTTTACTGCTGTCAGCAACACTCACACCCAACCTAACTCCTTTCCTCAAATAATGGTTGTATTATTCAGTCCTTGTTGCACCTCAACTTGTAGTCTGAGAAGTCTTGATTATGATCAAGGTCAAGTAAATGTTTTTGGACTGGAGGTGCTTGCTAGTATGTTATGACTTTGGGCCATTGAGGAAATGCCAGAGAATCATATGTTGTCATTTGTGTGCCTATTATACTTCTTCAGGGAATATTTCAAAGAAAACACTGTTAATGACACACTCAACAATATACAAGATATGATTTTTTGTTTTTTATTTAACGCTGCATTCAGCAATATTCCAGCTATATCTTGGCAGTTTGTAAATAATTGAGTCTAGACCAGACAATCCAGTGATTGATGTCATGAACATCGATCAACACACATTTGGATACGATGACATGCATCAACCAAGTAAGCAAGCTTGACCACCCAATCCTGTTAGGCCCCTCTAACGACGAGCATACTTTGCTTATGGCAAGCATGGGTTGCTGAAGACCTATTCTACCCCGGATCTTCATGGGCATTCCAGATATGAGGGAGATCTGTAACTAATTAAGTCTGGACCAGACAATTCAACAGTTGTCAACAAAGTCACCGAGTCTGACCACCCAATAAGAAGTGTTCTTACAAGAAGCATAGGTAACTCAGACCTATACTTCTACTCTGAATCCCCAGGGGTACATAACTGAACTTTTCTCAGCAGTAACAAACCTCAATTCTTCTCTCCCTCTCCTTCCTTCTCTGTTTTCGTGTCTTGAGGTCCTCCCTCCTGACTGGGGGGTTGATGGAGATCTTGTCAAGGTCCTCTGTAGGCAAAGCGACCTCGTCCTCCCGGCTGGGGTCCGTGTGGAGCCCGGCAGACATCTCTTCCAGCCATGTTTGCTGAAAGATATCCGTACAGGTCGTACCATATATCCTTACTTCAGGCACAGATACCCTCACGGGCAACCCTGTTTCCATCACAGATAACCAACCGAGTCCCAAAGCCTGACCATCTGACATGTCTGATACATTTAGTCGCTTCGTACAACATAGGCTGTTGCAAAGGACCGGTTCTAACCCAGAATCCCTACAGAGACACATGTAAAAAAAGAAAGCCAGCATGACATCACAGTGTCAATCCATATAAGATCATATTCAATGAACATGTTCAAGGAGGTGATTATAATTTGTGTTGTTTCAAAATTAAACAAGAGTTTGCCACTAACGTGGCTATATCCCCTGCCCCTGTTGCGGAATTTATGACATAATTAAATCTTAACAAACCCTAACCTTTTTTAACCAAGGCGGAACTTGTCTTGGAAATTGTAAAAAAAAGAAGTCCATCTTGTTGCCATGGAAACGTAAAAAATAAAAATTTCTAAATAGCAAAAGGCACCAGTTCAGCATGTACTGCAAAGTTTCATGGAAAAAATATTGAATGGTTTCTGAGTTATGCTCCGGAAACGAAACGTGACAGACGGACGTACGGAGCCTGTTTCTATATCCCCCGCCAACTTTGTTGGGCGAGAGATAAAAATACAAGGACTACCAGTACTTGAAATATCGTCTCATCAAGGTTCAACCAGTACCTGTGTTGGTGCATCGTGTTTAGATGGAAACTTGGCATCCAAGGCGTTGAACAGCTTCTGGATGGCCTTCTGCTTCTTCACCTCTACCTCATGGGCCTTCCACAGCAGATCCTGCACAGAGAGCAAACATGACTGGCAGGGTCGCAGAGACAGGAGCAGTAACCATGGCAACTCCTGGGACACAGGCTTTGAATGCACTCAGACAAAACATGTCACAGACATCGGGTTTGGCAACACTACAGTATATGATGTGGCCTTTGATAGGCATTTAGGTATATGGTGTGTTTACTGTGGAAGAATTAGTTTGGGACACAATCTCGTTACAATCAGATAGTTCACTCCAATACAATACCTCTCCATCAAGATCTGACATCTCCAAAGGTCATGTCAGGTAAATCCTCATCAACATTTGACCTGCCAAATCTCAATTAAACATGACTTGGTCCTTGAGTCAATCCAAAGTCAGATTACTAATTTGATTTTGCTTTATTTCCTTACAACCTTGATTTGGACATTTCAAGTCTGTTTTGCTCTCTTAACAGTAATATAGACGCCTCACTCTGATTGGCTGATGAGAAAGTGCACCTGGTGCTATCTTCTATAGAAGTGTCATCAGATCTTCTCGTATCTTGTCAGAGTAAAAGATCTGAATTTTACTGAGAACAAGGGGGACATTGATAGCTGTTTGAGGCCGTGGGGTGAGGCACCACCATGTGATGTTCTTACAGTGTAAATTCAGAGAGGGCACATGAGGAGAACTGGCATAATTACTTACTCTTGCATTTAAGGACCCCCTTAAAGTGTAACATCACCAGTACTCTGCGATCAGGTTTATGATGCTTATGACAAGAGCGACTTCACTTTTCCACTTAATTTGCCACACTTCTTACCTGATGGTCGTCATATGCTGGGTTGTAGGAGGCTCCGGGATGGGGCACCTCGACTGCTGGCAGACTCGTTGGCTTCTTGTTATAGTAAGATGGCACCTGCAATACAAACAGTTACATACTGTTGATACTGGTTAACACTGTTGTGTCGAATTATGATGTGTCAAACTGACGATTCTCGAAAGCTTTGTCCCTGCGTATTTCTTCATAATTTTCGGTTGTGTCGAACTTCTGATAACTCGAAGTATTAACATGGGTCTCTTCAACGTCGACACAACAGCCCTTGACTGTACATGATACGACACTGAGGTCATAGGTAGGTTTGTTGTTTAATGCTGCACACACAATATTCCTGCTACAGTACAGTGGTCTGTAAATAATCGAGGCTGGACCAGACAATCCAGTGATTGATGTCACTAGCTCCCATCCCATTGAAGTACGATGATATGCAATCATCCAAGACATTTACCCTGACCACACAAATCAATATAGTTGCCTTGTACCATGAGACAAATCGTCACCCAGAATCTCTGCATGGGCCATAACTCTAGGTTCTGGCACATGCGTGGTGTGCATGTCATACACAGACAAATACCTCTTACAGACAGATTTTTCTTGTTCACAAAATGTAATTCAAAATATCCAGAAGCTGCATAATATAATTTCACAAGTTACTTTATTCCACACTGAATAATAAAAGTCAACACATTTGTATGAAAGCAATAATGTAAATACAGACATGATATGTGTTCAATATTGACGCAAGATAATTCTATTCCTCCACAATATCCATGATATCCCGCCCCTCTCTATACTAACATTAGTGAGTGAGTATGGTTCTACGCCGTTTTAGCAATATTCCAGCAATATCACGACAGGGGACACCAGAAATGGGCTTCACACATTGTAGCCATGTCAGGAATAGAACCCGGGTCTTCAGCGTGACAAGCGATTGCTTTAATCATTAGGCTACCAGACCACCCCCTTCAATCAAGAATGGCAGAAGATAGTTCTCTTCCTCCACCATATCCCCCACTCCTCTCTATACTCACATTAACTCTCCTCTTCTTGGTGACCAGGCGGTAGTGTTCATCCTCATCCTCATCCTCCTGGCCAGCAGTCTGGTCTGCAACAGGAACATGATGAGTGAGTGAGTGAGTTGGGTTTAACGCCGCTTTTAACAGTATTCCAGTTATATTGCGGCGTGTCAGCTTAATGTGGGAGGAAAGCCCAAAGTGATGCAGGTATCAGACGTTTACCACTTCGGTGAAACCCAGGAGCACGGGTATGGTGCTGACAAACCTAGAAACATAATCGGGGCGAACCGGGATTCGAACCCACAATCATAGGTTTCTGGCGTGCCCAAGGGACGCAACTCTGCACAGCGAATCGCGGCGCCTTAGGCGACTGGGCCACCCGTGCCCCCCTCACTGTTTAAGACAAGACTCCAATACTCACCATCCCACAAGTCAGCGTTCACTTTCAAGTTCCATCTCCCCACTCTGTTTTTAATCCTTTCTGCTCGGGCATCCGTGCTCTGTTTCTGGGCCTGCAGCTCTTTGGCTGTTGGCTTCTTGTTGGCTAGCCTGTCCCTCTCCTGCACCGACAGCCTCGGCCTTGCCCGGATGTTGTGAGGTCTTCAACAAACACAGTTCACTGTGGCTATCACACTCCTGTATTTCAAGACTCTCACAAACAAGCATGAAATACTTGTATCTCCAACCAATATGACATGTCTGGTTGTGTGCAAGGCAAGAAAACATTTATGTTTTTCAAACACCACCGCCAAAATTCAAGTCATTGCCATGGAAACTCGAAAAGTAATTTTTTCAAAAATCCCAAACTATCAAAAGGCACCAGTTCACCACTAGACCTATCTATATGCCAAGTTTGGTTAAAATATCTTTCAGTTTTTTCAGTTCTGCTCCAGAAACAAAACTTGACAGAAGTACGGAAAGATTGAAGGAGGGAAGGACAGACAGCACCCATTCTTATATCTCCCTTCCACTTCGTGGCGAGTATAATAACCCAGGAACCCCAGCTTGATTACAGAAATTAGCACTAGCATGCCAGTCTGACCAGTTTTGTTTATGTTAAAGGTATCCTAACGGCAAGTAGAGTTTGAAACATTTTCAGGGGCATTTTTGTGCAACATGCAGAAATCCATGGTCCACTGACAGGCCGTCACGCATACGCATTGCTTTTTGTTGTCACTATTTGGCCTAGTAGACTTTCTTGGTTAATTTCTACCACTCACTTTGTAGGAAGAGTGATGCATTTAAAAACATGATTTATTTGATGCTATATTATCAGACGATACACAAAAGTAGAACCAATCGTTTCTTACTTTCACAAATATATGCTTGTTAGTTGTTTAACTCACAATGGAAGCTAAACAGCTGTATGACAGCAGCCTTTAAATAATCGAACCTGGATCAGACAAAGTAGTGATTGATATTGTGAGTATCAACCAATTGGGCTATGATGACACACTATTCAAGTCACCAAGCCTGACCATAGTGAGTGAGTGAGTTGGGTTTAACGCCGCTTTTAACAGTATTCCAGTTATATCACGGCGTGTCAGCTAAATGTGGGAGGAAAGCCCAAAGTGATGCAGGTCTAAGACGTTTACCACTTCGGTGAAACCCATGAGCACGGGTATGGTGCTGAAAAACCTAGAAACATAATCGGGGCGAACCGGGATTCGAACCGACAATCATAGGTTTCTGGCGTGCCCAAGGGACGCAACTCCGCACAGCGAATCGCGGCGCCTTAGACGACTGGGCCACCCGTGCCCCCCCTGACCATAGTTAACCTGGGATCAGAATCCCAATGGTGCCACAACATGGATCTTACACCACTGCTGCAACTATATGGTACAAATATCCAGTTAAGACTGACAGCTGCATCATGTTGTAATCCTGATAGTGCATAGCAATGTGTTCTAGGCCTGGAGTGGGCTTGGGGTACACTGACACACACACACGGTACATCACACTATGTTTCCCTCACCTAAGCCAACAGCTTACAATGCAATCTGTTATTTTCATTAACATTGTTTTTAGGAATAACATGTTTTTTAAATTTAGATTCAAATCATGATAAACATGAACACTGATGAACATGATGAAATGCACAAAACATAAGTAATCAACTACAGATCTGAGAGACTCTTTTATTTAATTAATTGGTTGGAATTGTGTTGGATACTTACATATGAGCTGGTTTGGTGTGTGGGTCAGGTTCAAGGTTATTGAAACATCTAAGTGACCTGTTTTTCCGTTGATTTCTCCTCAGAGGAACTTGAACAACACCTGTCAGTTGAAATACCAAATAACTTAATTTAAGGAACAGAAAAAAGATATACCGTATAATGTTCAAAGTTGAGATGACATTTTAACAAGCTGCTAACTAACTCTACATCACATTCATGTCCTACTGCTTATAGTCATAATCTTAAAATCTCTTTTAAACCAAAAGATTCACACTATTTGACTGAACATGCTGAAATTGAATTGATCATAATCCAACAATGTTGTAGACAGACATCCAATATGTTATAATTAAGTGAAATCAAGTACATCATAGCTGTCAATGTGGTTATTTATACAAGGTGTGAGTACTGGGTTGACTGCCGCTTTTAGAGGTGAGGTGAAATGGGGTTTAACATCGCGTCCAAGATTATTGCATTTATATGCCACGTGCATGCACGTGTGTGTGGCTGCTTGTACTAGTCCAGACTGATGACGATTTATAGTGCTAGCACACTGAGATACCATGCCGCAGTTTAACATGAATACCCCACTCAGACACAGTATACTGACTCTGAGCCGACTAGTCCTTGTTTTAATCCCTTAATGCCGAGCACCAAACAGGGTAACAACAAGTACCATATTTTAACGCCTTCTCTCCGGGCGGACCCTCTACCACTAGACCACGGCAGCTTTTAGAAATACTACAGTCATATAACATGATCATGGGCCTTTGGTATGATGGGCCAACGCTTAAACGATGTTTACCACTACAATACTGTATTGAATGATGTCATAATAAATCATGATATTGTTAACATGGTTTATGAAGTTTGCTGTTTTCATGACAAATTGCAATAGATAATAAATCCGTGTAATGTCATAATTTACAATGTTGGTTCGAGAGAGTGTTGCTACTTGACATGCCTTTTTGAACTGGGTCATCATCTTGCTCTTCAGGCTTTTCTTTCACAGTCTTGTCAACGAAGAACAGACTGTCATCTGTTTTGTCTGCCACAAGACCACTGAAAAAATTAAAAACATACCGTCATCGGCTAGTTGCGTTCAATAACGTTCTTTCATGAAACACGTCGAGAGTCAAACAAGCGAAGCTGTTTCAGTACTTTTACGTGTAAATTACTGAGTGCGGTTGTGTCGAGAATAAGCGAGCTTTGGGCTGTTTACTAACACAGAGAACACGTGTTGTGAAATTGGTGTCACGTGGCTACTTTACAACCTGAATGTCAGCTTAATCGGTTATGAAATCACATACCCAGTTCTTTCTTGCAGCCTCTCATCTTCCAGAAAATCTTCCAACTCGGAAATATCGACTTTTTTCCATCCCTTTTTCTTGCTTTTCGCGGCAGCTTTCCTCTTACGATTTGGCTTGATGGAAGCAGCCATCTTGTATTGCTTTTTAAGGGAGAGAATTCAGGAAAGACTCTTGGATTCAATGTGACAAAACCTGTAATCTCTTTTGAAGTGTTCGAGTCTTCGAATAAATTTGCAAATGATTTTTTATCGATATTTTCATCTTCAGAGGAATGTGCTTTTGTTTTGGGTGTAAAAATAACTCAGAAATAATTTTAGCTAAATCAGCCTTATATGTTGTGTAGTTCTAAATTCGATTGTAAAACGCATTTTCTAGATTCCAGACCAGACCCTAATACCAACTCTCACGAGCTACGAAGACAGGCAAAAGATAATTAGCTAGTTCTCGGACCTAAAGGTTATTTAGGTCCGTGGTTAGTTTCAGCCCCATGTTACAAAACATCCGAGAAGAATCATGGCAGCAGTGTCCCATTCCTGGTTCTTTTATGTAATTTGTTTCTTAACAACAACAACAACAACAACAACAACAACAATAATAATGCACCAAATCCACACCATAAAATCATGCTCAAAGCGTTACATCATTACGACAGGCAATGGATCAGTGTGCACTAAATTTTCGTTCTCAGCTCCCCGGGGAGTATACAACCGAAGCTGCATGAGAGGCGCTAGAAGGTTAACAGACATTATTATCTCATCCTACTGGGTACATATTATGTCGAACAAACACTCTAGCCTTAGCTAGGAGACACCACATGTGCTTCATGTTCTTAACTTTGGGACATGACCAAAGCCCTAGAAACTCTCAGCAGACAAGCGGCCGAACGTCACCCGTCCGCGTCCAACGTTACTTTACGTATATTAGAGACATTTATTGAATCTAATTTAACAGTATAGATCTAAGCTGGGCGTTTACTGATACCCATCGCAACCCCCAACCGCAGCAAGGATACACACAAGCAGAGTTCGAAATAGACATCGGCCCGAAGGCCCGAGGCCGACAGAATTGTTCTCGGGCTGATAGTTTTAAATTTCAGCAGGCCCTTAGGTCCTGCAGTTTATTTAAGTCATTATTTATTAAACATTTTTAAAGTAATGTGATAAACATTACTTTCATATTTATAAACAGTAGGATTATACTTTTCATGTAACATGTAGTCGCAAAGAGGTTTTAGAAGCCGACAATGTCCTGATAAATTTAGGCTTCATCTATCACCACCGAGACTCTGATGTAGTAGCAGTACAAGCTTCTGGTTGACTGGTTGTGTTTTGTGATATATATTGCAAGAGCATGTCGTACTTACTTACATTGGAGATTTTACGTGCGCTTTCCGACTGAGAGCGTATTTCGCACACGGTACAAGAGTATGTATCCCTGCTTCAGCTTAAATGTTTGGGCCTACATTTTTTCCATTGGGATTACAGTCTTTTAAATGTGCTGGTCCTGAAGGCTCTCAGTTTACTCTGCTGAGGTTCAGACACTGCAGACACGTGTGTCATACTCAATTTAACTGTATATCTTACATGTGGCCCGTTAAGATCCGGGGTAGAATAGGTCTTCATCAACCCATGCTTGCCGTAAAAGGTGACTATGCCTGTCGTAAGAGGCGACTAACGGGATCGGGTGGTCAGGCTTGCTGACTTGGTTGATGCATGTCATCGTATCCCAATTGGGTAGATCGATGCTCCTAATATCACTCACTGGATTGTCTGGTCCAGACTCGATTATTTACAGACCGCCGTCATATAGCTGAATAGTGCGGCGTTCACCAACAAACAAACAAACAACATAGTTCTGTTCAATAACCTCTTGGAGATTCCGGGAAAGAATTGGTCCCAAGTCCGGCGTTAAACATTGTTCGTTTGTGACCCAGTGATTGACATCATGGGCATCGATCTACGAGATTGGGATTTGATGACATGCATCAACCAGGTCAGCGAGTCTGACCACCCGATCCCGTTAGTCGCCTCTCACGAGAAGCATAGTCGCCTATTATGGCAAGCATGGTTTGCTGGAGACCTATTCTCTTCTCGGATCTTCACGGAGATTTAACAGTAATGACCATTGCAGATACACAAACAAGTTCATAATCTCTGTTTATAACAGTTTACTGTCTAATGTGCAGGGGCAAGGGATGCCCAGTCATCTAAGGCGCCGCAATTCGCTGTGACGAGTTGCGAGCCCAATGGTACGCCAGAAACCTATGATCTTGGGTTCGAATCCCGGTTCACCCCGATTATGTGTTTAGGTCTGTCAGCACTATACCCGTGCTCGTGGGTTTCATCAAAGTGGTAAACGTCTGATTACATTCGATGAAGGCTTAGTGAGTTATGCACATATTAATTGAGATCGTTCTACTGACAGAGAAACAATGTAATACGCTAGTCACGCGAACAGTGAAAATGGTGAAACCAGTTCTCTTTTTTTAACGGACTTTAATCACTGTTTAAACTTTCGATTTTTTTGTTATTTTGAATAGCAGGCATCAATCGTTTTTGAAGAGGTGTGTTGCATTGGTTCGGAAAAACTGTCAGCCATTGGAACCATGAAATACAATTGATGTAACTACTCCTTTTACGAAATCTTACGCCATGTTGAAATATAAATCACCTGATCACTCTTCTTCCATCAATGTTAACATCTGTCGTAATGGGCTCCGTCCTCAAAACCAGATGATTTGTCTGCCATGTGCCAAACGACCCCATGCAAAGCAATCAGTGGCTTCAATATTGAACAACGTACAGTTAAAAAAGTATGAAATTTGATCTAGGCAGTATTGAAGCGCACATGCGCCTGTCTTGCTTTTTGAATGCGATTGACAAAACCATGACTACCTAAAAATGCCGTAATCTTAGGCTTCGCATGTTTGTTGAGCGTATAAGTGCCAAGGTAACAGCTATTGGAAATCATGGTGCTCATTGAATATATATAACCTTACTTAGAATGTATACACATTTTATTACCTGTTGGTTACGAAATTTATCTTTTATCTCGGAAGGGGTGTCAGTTGCTACTCAGTGTGGAACGAACAATAACCGCGTAGCCTAGCGATCCCGATTCAACGTTACACCATACTTCTATTGCATTTGAATATCTCAACGACTTGAAGATATGTTTTTTATCTCACCGACCGGAAGATATTAGTTTCTTATTCCACCTGCAACATATTAGTTTCTTATCCCATCAACTAGAAAGACATTAGTTTCTTTTCCCATTAATAAGAAAGACATTAGTTTCTTATCCCACCAATTAGAAAAAGACATTAGTTTCTGATCCCATCAACTAGAAAGACATTAGTTTCTTATCCAACCAACTGGAAAGACATTAGTATCTTATCCCATCAACTAGAATGACATTAGTTTCTTATCCCATCAACTAGAAAGACATTAGTTTCTTATCCCATCAACGAGAAAGATATTAGTTTCTTATCCCACCAACTAGAAAGACATTAGTTTCTGATCCCTACAACTAGAAAGACATTATTTTCTTATCCCACCAACTGGAAAGACATTAGTTTCTTATCCCATCAACTAGAAAGACATTAGTTTCTGACCCCCCCAACTAGAAAGACATTAGTTTCTTATCCCATCAACGAGAAAGATATTGGTTTCTGATCCCACCAATTAGAAAAAGACATTAGTTTCTGATCCCATCAACTAGAAAGACATTAGTTTCTTATCCAACCAACTGGAAAGACATTAGTATCTTATCCCATCAACTAGAATGACATTAGTTTCTTATCCCATCAACTAGAAAGACATTAGTTTCTTATCCCATCAACGAGAAAGATATTAGTTTCTTATCCCACCAACTAGAAAGACATTAGTTTCTGATCCCTACAACTAGAAAGACATTATTTTCTTATCCCACCAACTGGAAAGACATTAGTTTCTTATCCCATCAACTAGAAAGACATTAGTTTCTGACCCCCCCAACTAGAAAGACATTAGTTTCTTATCCCATCAACGAGAAAGATATTGGTTTCTGATCCCACCAACTAGAAAGACATTAGTTTCTGATCCCTACAACTAGAAAGACATTAGTTTCTTATCCCACCAACTGGAAAGACATTAGTTTCTGATCCCATCAACTAGAAAGACATTAGTTTCTGATCCCATTAACTAGAAAGACATAAGTTTCTTATGTCACCAACTAGAAAGATATTAGTTTCTGATCCCCCCCCCCCCCCCCCCCCCCCCCCCCCCCCCAACTGGTGAGACATTAGTTTCTTATCCCATCAACTAGAAAGACATTAGTTTCTTATCCCACCAACTGGAAAGATATTAGTTTCTTATCCCATCAACGAGAAAGACATTAGTTTCTTATCCCACCAACTGGAAAGACATTAGTTTCTTATCCCACCAACTGGAAAGACATTAGTTTCTTATCCCACCAACTGGAAAGATATTAGTTTCTTATCCCATCAACTAGCAAGACGTTAGTTTCTTATCCCATCAACAGAAAAGACATTACTTTCTTATCCCATCAACTAGAAATACATTAGTTTCTGATCCCACCAACTAGAATGAACATTAGTTTCTTAACTCACCAACTGGAAAATATTAGTTTCTTATCCCATCAACTAGAAATACATTAGTTTCTGATCAAATCAACTAGAAAGACATTAGTTTCTTATCCCATCAACTAGAAAGACATTAGTTTCTTCTCCCACCAACTGGAAAGACATTAGTTTCTTATCCCATCAACTAGAAAGATATTAGTTTCTTATCCCACCAACTGGAAAGACATTAGTTTCTTATCCTATCAACGAGAAATATATTAGTTTCTTATCCCATCAACTAGAAAGATATTAGTTTCTTATCCCATCAACTAGAAAGACATTAGTTTCTTACCCCCCCCAATTGGTGAGACATTAGTTTCTTATCCCAACAACAAGAAAGACATTAGTTTCTTATCCCACCAACTGGAAAGATATTAGTTTCTTATCCCATCAACTAGAAAGACATTAGTTTCTGATCCCTACAACTAGAAAGACATTAGTTTATTATGTCACCAACTAGAAAGACATTAGTTTCTTATCCCATCAACTAGAAAGACATTAGTTTCTTATCCCAACAACAAGAAAGACATTAGTTTCTTATCCAACCAACTGGAAAGATATTAGTTTCTTATCCCATCAACTAGAAAGACATTAGTTTCTGATCCCACCAACTAGAAAGACATTAGTTTCTTATGTCACCAACTAGAAAGATATTAGTTTCTGATCCCATCAACTAGAAAGACATTAGTTTCTTATCCCCCCCCCCCCCCCCCCCCCCCAAACTGGTGAGACATTAGTTTCTTATCCCACCAACTAGAAAGACAATAGTTTCTGATCCCACCAACTGGAAAGACATTAGTTTCTTATCCCATCAACGAGAAAGACATTAGTTTCTTATCCCACCAACTGGAAAGACATTAGTTTCTTATCCCACCAACTGGAAAGACATTAGTTTCTTATCCCAACAACTGGAAAGACATTAGTTTCATATCCCACCAACTGGAAAGATATTAGTTTCTTATCCCATCAACTAGCAAGACATTAGTTTCTTATCTCATCAACTGGAAAGATATTAGTTTCTGATCCCACCAACCAGAAAGATATTAGTTTCTTAGCCCTCCCCCCCCCCCCCCCAACTGGTGAGACATTAGTTTCTTATCCCATCAACTAGAAAGACATTAGTTACTTATCAAACCAACTAGAAAGACATTAGTTTCTTATCCAACCAACTGGAAAGACATTAGTTTCTTATCCCATCAACAGGAAAGACATTAGTTTCTTATCCCACCAACTAGAAAGATATTAGTTTCTGATCCCATCAACTAGAAAGACATTAGTTTCTTATCCCCCCCCCCCCCCCCCCCCCCCCCCCCAAACTGGTGAGACATTAGTTTCTTATCCCACCAACTAGAAAGACAATAGTTTCTGATCCCACCAACTGGAAAGACATTAGTTTCTTATCCCATCAACGAGAAAGACATTAGTTTCTTATCCCACCAACTGGAAAGACATTAGTTTCTTATCCCACCAACTGGAAAGACATTAGTTTCTTATCCCAACAACTGGAAAGACATTAGTTTCATATCCCACCAACTGGAAAGATATTAGTTTCTTATCCCATCAACTAGCAAGACATTAGTTTCTTATCTCATCAACTGGAAAGATATTAGTTTCTGATCCCACCAACCAGAAAGATATTAGTTTCTTAGCCCTCCCCCCCCCCCCCCCCAACTGGTGAGACATTAGTTTCTTATCCCATCAACTAGAAAGACATTAGTTACTTATCAAACCAACTAGAAAGACATTAGTTTCTTATCCAACCAACTGGAAAGACATTAGTTTCTTATCCCATCAACAGGAAAGACATTAGTTTCTTATCCCACCAACTAGAAAGATATTAGTTTCTGATCCCATCAACTAGAAAGACATTAGTTTCTTATCCCCCCCCCCCCCCCCCCCCCCCAAACTGGTGAGACATTAGTTTCTTATCCCACCAACTAGAAAGACAATAGTTTCTGATCCCACCAACTGGAAAGACATTAGTTTCTTATCCCATCAACGAGAAAGACATTAGTTTCTTATCCCACCAACTGGAAAGACATTAGTTTCTTATCCCACCAACTGGAAAGACATTAGTTTCTTATCCCAACAACTGGAAAGACATTAGTTTCATATCCCACCAACTGGAAAGATATTAGTTTCTTATCCCATCAACTAGCAAGACATTAGTTTCTTATCTCATCAACTGGAAAGATATTAGTTTCTGATCCCACCAACCAGAAAGATATTAGTTTCTTAGCCCTTCCCCCCCCCCCCCCCCCCCCCCCCCCAACTGGTGAGACATTAGTTTCTTATCCCATCAACTAGAAAGACATTAGTTACTTATCAAACCAACTAGAAAGACATTAGTTTCTTATCCAACCAACTGGAAAGACATTAGTTTCTTATCCCATCAACAGGAAAGACATTAGTTTCTTATCCCATCAACATGAAAGACATTAGTTTCTTATCCCATCAACGAGAAAGACATTAGTTTCTTATCCCACCAACTGGAAAGACATTAGTTTCTTATCCCACCAACTGGAAAGACATTAGTTTCTTATCCCAACAACTGGAAAGACATTAGTTTCTCATCCCACCAACTGGAAAGATATTAGTTTCTTATCCCATCAACTAGCAAGACATTAGTTTCTTATCTCATCAACTGGAAAGATATTAGTTTCTGATCCCACCAACTAGAAAGATATTAGTTTCTTAGCCCCCCCCCCCCCCCCCCCCCAACTGGTGAGACATTAGTTTCTTATCCCATCAACTAGAAAGACATTAGTTTCTTATCAAACCAACTAGAAAGACATTAGTTTCTTATCCAACCAACTGGAAAGACATTAGTTTCTTATCCCATCAACAGGAAAGACATTAGTTTCTTATCCCATCAACAGGAAAGACATTAGTTTCTTATCCCATCAACTAGAAATACATTAGTTTCTGATCCCACCAACTAGAATGAACATTAGTTTCTTAACTCAACAACTGGAAAATATTAGTTTCTTATCCCATCAACTAGAAATACATTAGTTTCTGATCAAATCAACTAGAAAGACATTAGTTTCTTATTCCATCAACTAGAAAGACATTAGCTTCTTCTCCCACCAACTGGAAAGACATTAGTTTCTTATCCCATCAACTCGAAAGACATTAGTTTCTTATCCCACCAACTGGAAAGACATTAGTTTCTTATCCCATCAACGAGAAATAAATTAGTTTCTTATCCCATCAACTAGAAAGATATTAGTTTCTTATCCCATCAACGAGAAAGACATTAGTTTCTTATCCCACCAACTGGAAAGACATTAGTTTCTTATCCCAACAACAAGAAAGACATTAGTTTCTTATCCCACCAACTGGAAAGATATTAGTTTCTTATCCCATCAACTAGAAAGACATTAGTTTCTTATCCCACCAACTAGAAAGACATTAGTTTCTTATGTCACCAACTAGAAAGATATTAGTTTCTGATCCCACCAACTAGAAAGACATTAGTTTCTTATCCCACCAATTAGAAAGATATTAGTTTCTTATATATAATTTATATATACAGTACTGTGTGTTGAACGAGATTTATGTAGTGTTTATTGGACCACATTTTGAATATGCATGTGAAGTGTTGGGTGGTTGTACCAAAGAGCAGAGTAACTCCAACTAGAAGCAGCAAGAATTGAAACTGGTTTACCAAGTTATACTTCTGTTAAAAATATTTGGAAACTTCATGCGAGCAATATGACACCATCATACCTTAAAGATCTAGTACCCCACTGTCGGGACAAACGGTATACAACCTTAGTGCTGTTCATTATGTGACCATGCCTATATTACGTACACAGAATTCAGAATCCTCGTTCATACCTCTGATGGGGGCACGGATGGCGCCGGGATTTGCTGTGCAGAGTTGCGTCCCTTGGGTACGCAAGAAACCGTGGGTTCGAATCCCGGTTCGCCCCGATTATGTTTCTAGGTTTGTCAGCACCCTACCCGTTCTCGTGGGTTTCACCGAAGTGGTAAACGTCTGAGACCTGCATCACTTTCCTCCCACGTTAAGCTGACACGCCGCGAAATAACTGGAATACTGTTAAAAGCGGCGTTAAACCCAACTCATTCACTCACAACCATCCTCTATTAAATTGTGAAATACATTACCCATTCAACTAAGAAATATTGAGACCTTCTCCAAATTTAAATCCAGTCTCAGAACTGATAAATCTACAGTTCCACTATATATCTAACATAATACGTACAAAATTAAGACATGGTGACAGTGAAATAAAAAATGATTTATTTAGAAAGGGTTTAAACGAGGATCCAAAATGCCAGTGTTGCAACCCATATGAAAATTCATATATTTTCATTAATAAGTGTCCATTTTATTGAATAGCTAGAAACGAGTTGAGGCACGCAGTAACTGTGAAAACTTCTTGTGATGTTAATATTGACGAGATGATAGTAGGCTTTACCTAAACATGTGTACGGAAAGGTTTTTAGGAATGTACATACGTATATAAAGAAAACGAAAAAGGTTTGAGTGAGCAATGTTAATGTAAATACGTTTCTCTATTTCTCTTCCTTCTCTTCTGCCATTTAATTATTAATTGTAAATATGCATTCATGTAAATCTATGGGAGAGGGCATTCTAAGTTGTGATAACTTGTGCCCAATCCTGTTCATGAGAACAAAATATGTTTAAACTTAAAACAAACAACAGCAACAGTGCGAGTTTCTTATTGCACAATTTGTTTTTATTGCCATTTGATGTCAATATAAACCAAAGCAGATATTATCCAAACCCAAAAATGACATTTGGTCAAACATATAAATAATAATATTGAACAATTAAATATTAACCTTCATACAAGTGAGCAGGGGTAGCCTAGTAGTTAAAGAGTCAATCTCATTTCTAGGATACGACACCTCTCTGCACGAAGATCTGAGATCAGCCAGTCAGCGTTTAGGCTTTTAAATGTTCGGTACCAATGACAAAAAGTCCCACCCATCCTTCGTTTAGATTGAGCGACCAGCGTTGACTCAGGGTTCACCTGACGTGACGTTCTATGGATGTGTCAGATATTCACGCAGAAATATTGTGTCGGACTAAAAAATCTGATTGTAATGACATTGTTAAAGCGTTGGTTCGTCACATCGGTACAATGTATTATAGGTGTCCACCCGCCGTGATAGTGCTGGTATATTTCTAAAAGCGGCATAATACCACACTCACTCACTCACTCACTCACTCGCTCACTCACCCACCCACCCACTCACTCACTCACTCACTCACTCACGCACGCTCTCATGTACATTCATACAGGTATACATTGTCACAGTCGCCGCACTGACGTTTAAGTCAATACATGCTACCAACTGGAACTGGCATAAAGAGAGCAACTCAATATCGGCACACCATACCGGGCTGCGTACCGGGACCTCCCGTATTTAGGCCCGCGCGGGATTACGCTCATACGCTTAAAAACGGAAAATATTTCCGTATTTAGGGCCATGGGCTTAAAGTTGGATACTAATTTTGGCGTTATCTTCCTTCTATTAATACCTTACACCCTTCGAAAGTTAATACTTGGCGATGCACTACACATGGCAAATCCTACTGTACATTCAACAGTTAGTGCAAATCTATACTGTAAGGAGGCACACTGCACGATGGTTAACGTAATGCGATTTCGGTACTGTCCTGGAACTAGCGTCGTCATGAAGAGTCTTTGGACTTTTTGATGGTATTGACGACACTTTGTTTTAGATTCTTGAGGCACACGTTGATCTGGTCTTCAGTTTTCACAAGGTTCTCGCTCTGTTGTTGCAAGGCTGCCTTCAGGTTACCGTTCTGGACATTACTGGACTGGGCTGTGGTGACTGTCAAACAGATAATACACACATGGTGTAATGCAGGGAAACATCACCAGCACACGAGGCGTAAAGACATGGTACCTTGACTAACGTTGAGTAAATATACGAAATAGTTTCATCGCCGCTTCAGATCAATTGGCTAAATGATATTGCGATCGAAAATATGTCTGTACTATGAATGTTTGATGTCTTACCTCGTACTGTGAAGATGTGAGGTTTTAACCTCATGGATATCCGTGTACTATGATAGTGTAAGGTTTTAACCTCATATTTGTCTTGGCCTATGAATGTGTGAGGTTTTAACCTCATGGATATGGCTCTGTGAGGTCTACGTTCTTAAGAGTTTGACCGAAGCAGAACAGGCCCCAGTATCAGTTGCGTATCCTAGAGCCTACTCAAATGAATGGGTGATGGAGTCAGATAAAATTTAACGTCGCAGTGGCATTATTTCAGCCATACAGCGACGAGAACAGGTTGATGTATATAAAATTGAGTCTTGAATACAATCTACTCAAATGAGGATCGGGTGGCCGCTCTATGTGACTGGACTGTCTGTGTGTCAGCCTACAACGACAACGCGTATTGAAACTCCGCCGTCATATAGCTGATATTGCTGACTGTGGCTCACTGAATACATATAATATATAACACTACCTGCAGTTTTCATGTCCTTGATCTGCTGTTGTACACTCCGCATGTCCTGGAAGAAGGTCTTGATGCTCTTGGCGAGCTCCACGTCCAGGCCAACCGCGTGTGTCTTCGGTACATCTCCCGAGTTGCTGCCACTGGAGGTAGATCGCGACACCGGGAGCTCATTGAAGCTTCCTGTTGCAGATTGAGAATACACACTGACAATGCGGGTTGAAAGGGAAATATCTGACTTTATACAGGGTTGTTTGTTTTTTGCCTAACGTCGCACTCAGCAATATTCCAGCTACATGACGAGGCCAAACCAGTAATTGAGATCATGAGCATCGGCCAACTCTGTTCGCATATGATCACATGTAATCAACTGAGTGCAATGTTAAACAACACACAATCAAATATTAAAGAAGTTGATGTCGGAAGCAGGCTGGACTTACCTCTCCCAACACGGGCTAGTTTCACTGCCTGTTTCTGTCGCTCCAACTCTGTTCTCAGCTTAAAGTTTTCCTTCTTTAAAGTTGCCCTCTCATCGTCAATCTCTTCAAGCTGTGTGTTCTAAAAAGGCATTAAAATTGCTAAAATTGCTATTCCAAATAGACCTTTTCTCTGTTAGCTTAAAATGAGTACCATTATAAGAAAAAGAATTTTCAAACATTATTATATATGAACACTCATCACCAGCACACCATATATGTTCTGCGACTCGCTTCACACCAACCCATGGGTTAATAGGTGACCTTCCATCGTTGAGACCAGTGTTCTGTTGGAATTATTTTTTTAAAGTGATAGATTTTTGATTGAGCCAAAGAATTTTTGTTTTCTTTTAAATATAAATTTGAAAGACATCGTTTGGACACGGGGAGGCGCAGTTGATCGGATACACCTATTTTATAACATGGCGTCAAAAGATGCGGCATAGTTCACCTTTTTACACCACATCCAAGAAGTTTTAGTGCCTAAAACCGGATTAGTGTATGATTAGCTAGAGCAGGTACATCAGTTTTAGCCACAGAGGGTCATCGTCCTCTCCTTGGGGTATGTGTGAAGCGAGCAGAAAAACACATGGGTTTAATGGATGTCATTATATAAGAGTTAATCGTATATTGTTAAACGAAACTACAAGATTTACCCATAGCCACTGAATATGAGAGCGAACAAAGACAACCAATACCCAAGAAATAATGTCAGCAATTAAAGTGTTAGACCACATACCAGTTGTTCCAGTTTGTTAGTAAGGGCTGTTACATGCTGATTCTGCTGTGTAAGAAAGGGGAAGACTACAGAGTTTCAACCACCAAGTATTATGAATTATACTAGAAATACTATTCAGACATATATATTAACGGCCGGGCAAACGAAAGTATATACTTGAAAATTGACCCAAAAGTACAAACGTTATGAAAACGTTACTAGTCTGGAAACAGTCCCGGAAGCATAACTATGGCACCCCTATCAATAAGACCGCCATCGAATAACCATTTCTTGTTTGTTTCATTTATAGTGTGCGAGTGAGTATGCTTTTACGCCGCTTTTAGCAATATTCCAGCAATATCACGGCGGGGGACACCAGAAATGGGCTTCACACATTGTACCCATGTCGGGAATCGAACCCGGGTCTTCGGCGTGACGAGCGAACGCTTAAACCACTAGGCTACCCGACCGCCCCTTGTTTCATTTATAGTCATCATCAAACATGAGTGTATACTTTCCTTTGCCCGGCGGTTGAGTACAGCATCAAAGTGTTACGAGAAATGTAACAAGACCACCATCTTTCCGTGCGGATGAATACATCTATGCCATTATTTATACATAATGATAAAACTCTTGAAAAGATAAACTCGTGCTGTTAACAGTGTTTCTATGAGTGAACTACTGCCTTCCTTGGATGTAGGTAGCTTACGTTTCCATTTTCCTGAATACCATTTGTATGCCGAACCTCCTTTTCACCTGCAAATGATATAGTTGTATATGATCAGGTGCACATAGAGGAACTTTGGTCCTGCCAATACAAGCCATCGCATCCAAAAATAAGAGCGATGATCAAGTCTAACAATAAATCGTTTTTGCCCTTGGGTATGAATACATATTGTAAAATGTTTACAGAGACAATAGTGCTTTCTGAAAAGAGAATGTTTTTCAACGTCAGCAATATGATAATAATGATCAGCTATCCACGCCATCGTGGTACAAGGGGAGGCAATCAACCAAGTCACTGAGCCCAATAACCTGATTCATTTTGTCGCATCTTACGACAAGCAGAGGTTGCTGGGGTCTTATTCTGACCCGGAATCCCCATAGCCCTTTGAACTTACCGAGTCCAAATCAGACAAACCAGTGATTGATATTACGAGCAACGTCCCACATCGTTCCAAGTCCTCAAACCGGACCTAGGGATCCATTTAGCCGCAAGCATAGGTTACTTAGGACAAATTCTTTTCCGGAATCTCCACGTGGTTAAGAACTATGTTGTTTGTTGGTTGGTTGGTTAACGCTGCACTCAGCAGTATGCCATATATACGACGAAGGTCAGTAAATAATCGAAACCTGACCAGACAATTCAATGATTGACACCGTGAGCACCGATCCGTGCAATTTGGATAAGATGACATGCAATCAACCATGTCACCATTTAGTCGTCTCTTACCACAAGCATGGGTTGCTGGGGACCTATATTCTGTGCCGGAACCCCAGGGGTAATTGAAAAGAATCACACAGTTAGCATACCCTGTGTTCCCCACAGCTCCACCACTAGGGACTCTCTCTGGAAATACTGAAGAAGGGACATCGGCATCTTCATGTAGGAGAAGTGTTTCTGGTAGTTCAAGCTGGCCATCGTGGATCCCCACACCTTCTGGGAACACAGCGGCTCCTTTTCCTCAAAGAACCTCAGTCTGATGGTAGAAGAAATAATATTATACTTACATTTCAAATGTATTTATACAATGTTATTACTGTACTGCAAGGGCCTTCTGTAGCCATGTTGGAAAGCGAACCTCCTTCTTAACTGACGAGAACGCCTCCGTGGTCTAGTGGGGAGAGCGTCTGCCAGGTGAGAGAAGGTCGATGATTCGATGCCCGGCCGCGTCATACCAAAAGTCATTAAAGGTGGTATTTTTTGTTACCCTGCCTGGCGTTCGACCTTAAGGAGCTTAAACAAGGATTGGTCGTCTCGGAGTAAGTATAATGTGTCTGAGTGGGGTATCCATGTTAAACTAAGGCATGGTATATCAGTGGTCTATCGCAATATACTGGAACAGTACAAGCACATACATACACACGTACATGCACGCCGCTATATTAATAACTTCAATAAATATTGTATTGAGATAGTATAACAGTTGTCCCACTTGTCCATATGCAAAGATTTATCTCACGTATTGTACTCTTGGCCATGCGGCCTTTGATACCGAATACATTTCTTCTTTTTCTTCTTCTCAATAACTTTGAACGCGACGTTAAACCCCATTTCACCTAATCTCACCTTATCTGACGAGGAAACACTACCTTGATATTTATTACTCTAACAACTTGTCATACAAGATGCTTAATTCAACATGCTAGATATTAGTTCTATTCATCAGACATTTTTAAGTTAAATCCTGAATTTCACAAGACGCACGATTTGCGACGTTGTTGTTTTTTTAACAAAAGAAGGTAACTGTCCTAGTGTGAACAACCAAATTTGTGGAAATAAATTTTAACCATACGGTTACATGGATGATCAAACTATTCATGAATGTGGGGAATCATCGAGTTTTTAAGAGATGAATTGTAATTCATGATCACCTATTCATATTTTTCATACGAGTGGCACCATGCATGGAACCCATAATCCATTGGCATTGTTCTGAAGTGTCTGTTCTGAACTCACTTGCACATAACCCCTCTCGTCGCGTCCTCCATCGTCCATCGAACACTCATGCAAGTCGGCACTTTCAGCAAAAAATAGAAGGCTTTGTCTTTAAGATCCTCCGGTTCGAACACCATGGATTCTCCCTGTAGCGGGACCCCAGCTTTGTCGCAGGGCAGGAGCTGCACGTGCACCACAGCTTCTTCCTTCCCGTGGTAGTTGTGTAGTGTGAAGTGTTCGTCTATCTCGTCACTGTAGGCCAACATCTTCAGCCACACGTGGCAACTGCAGTATCATAAGCCATGACATTAGCAGTCTATCCAACAGGATACACATATCTGACTAACCCCTTGAGCTCACTGGCCATAGTGGTGGAAGAGGTATAAAAACTAAGTTAGTGAATGGGTTTAGTTTTAGCAATATATTGGCCATATCACAGAGGGATGGGGGCACCAAATATGAACTGATCACGTTGTGAGTGAGTATGGTGTTACGCCGCTTTAGCATTATTCCAGCAATACCGCGGCTTCACACAAGGTACCCATGTGGGGAATCGAACCTGTGTCTTCAGTGTGACGAACGCTTTATCACTTATACAATATCCGACTGTCCCCGAATAGGTTGTTTGTTTGTTTATTGTTTAACACGGCCTCAGCAATATTCCATCTATATGATGGTCTGTAAATAAACCAGTCTGGACCAGACAATCCAGTGATTGATAACATGAGCACCGATCCACGCAATTGGGATAGATGACAGGCATCAACCAAGTCAGCGAGCCTGACCACCCGATCCCGTTAGTCGCCCTTACGACAAGCATGAGTTGCTGAAGACCTATTTTACCCCGGATCTCAACGGGGCCCCGAATAGGCGACAGAACTGCAACAGGGGAATAAATGATTGGATATAATGGTTTGAAGGCTATTTTCTCTATCGTCCTTGCGAAGCAGTGTCAGTACAGGTTTTGTCTTTCATGAATTGGTTAGGGAGCAACCATTTGATTAACAATGAGGACTGACGGGATTTAGGTTTGCGGTTAGCATTTCTTTTAAATTATTTTTTTCGAACACGAACAGGTGTTTTTTCTACAATGCGAGGCGTATGTAATTTGTTGAAATCATCCTGATACCTTTCCTGAAAATGAAGTGGTTGCTTCCTTCCATCGTTGAGACATCTATTCGCTGAAGTAAAACCGAATGGGTGTTGCAGCTTACCTTCCCAGAAAGATGGGTTCGACTGGGTCCCAGAAAGGATCCTGATCCTCAGAGACTGTCACTTCACCCTGTTCCATAAACTGCGTGTACAGACCATTCATGATGAGCTTCCGGTGGAGAAACTTGCTTTTTGACCAGATCCAAACCTAGTTTAATAAGAGAAATTATTTCTCCACATATATGCGAGTGTTGTTCCTCGCAGAGTTTTTGCATGTAAAGACAATGGGATGAGAACTGTACAATTGTATTAATAAGAGGAATCTAGCAGATCTTCTGTATGACAAACGAAAGCTTCAACGACTAGACTGTCCATTGCCCCGATTGGTATTAAGTCACCAATATACCAGCTACGTAAGGCGGCCTTCTAGTAATTGAAAGGACTGGACAGTACGATGATCAAAAACGTTGCAACAATTTGTCACACGATCAACAAAGTAAAACATTTTAACACTCAAATCGTTATACAACAACAAACAAAGGATAACATATTGGGAGTGGGGAACACATATAGAAATTAACGTAATGTAATTAGTTCACAACACAAAAATCAGCTTTAACTGATGTAAGAGTCAACATGTCCCCTATAAGTCTTTATGTTAGGAGTACCCTATAGATATACTAGTATTTCGTTGGCTACTTACTTTCTTCGTCTGGACATTAGTAACTCGGACTATGATCTCCTTCTCCTTTGCCTTGGCCTTGGTGTCATGACTAGATTGGCTTTTTACTTCTGGCTCGAACTTTAATTTCTGATAAATGAAAGAAGGACAGAATAATTAACAATGTATGCCTTCCCGAAGATATACTGAATGAACATGCATTGTTCCTTCGATGTAAGGGTCCAGTCACACAGGCAAATCCTCATGGAATTTGGCTCACTTTGCACTAATGTTTGAATGTTTGTTTGTTGTTTAACGCTGCACTCAGCAATATTCCAGCTATATGACGGCGGTCTGTAGTGAGTGAGTGAGTGAGTATGGTTTTACGCCGCTTTTAGCAATATTCCAGCAATATCACGGCGGGGGACACCAGAAATGGGCTTCACACATTGTACCAATGTCGGGAATCGAACCCGGGTCTTCGGCGTGGCGAGCGAACGCTTTAACCACTAGGCTACCCGACCGCCCCGACGGCGGTCTGTAAATGATCGAGTCTGGACCAGACAATCCAGTGATTAACATCATGAACATCGATCCACGCAATTGGGATCGATGACATGCATCAACCAAGTCAGCGAGCCTGACCACGTTAGTTAGTCGCCTTTTACGACAAGCATAGTCGCCTCTTACGGCAGGCATGGGTTGCTGAAGACCTATTCTACCCCGGATCTTCACGGGTCTCCAGAGGCAAGGGAGTTAACTGACTGTAAAAGTACTTTTAGAGTAAGTCAACTCCCTTGCCCCGGGAAGATGACAATACGCCAAATGAATCAACACTGTGAACATTGAACATGACGTAAGTACATATACCAACCTTATTCAGCTCTTCGCTAATGGCGTTTGCTTCTGCTATAGCCGGCATCAGATCAACATATTCTTGGTATACTACAGTGGTCACGTGATCCTCCTCTGTGTCGAAGTCACGTGGCGTGTGTAATTCAACCGCAATACCTTCATGTTCGGCTAATTCCGTCATGAAGTAGTCAAAGCTGTACTTCTTCACTTGGTCCAAGTCTGATCTATTCTCTTGAAAGCCGATATACAGGAACAGGCTACTTGACCCCAGTTTAACTCTGTCCTGAAGACAAAACATATATATGTTAAGATCATAGTTTGTCCAGACAACACGCATCTCCTTCTGTGCTAATGCAATTCTGGAGATTCCAGAGTAGAAGGCCCCGAATAACTGCTACTTGTGTTTAGAGTCAACTAAATAGGATTGTGTTGACAGGTCCTGTGACTTGGCTGATTGGTGTCATCGTCCCCTGACGGCGTGGATCATTGCCCATACTTTCAGTCACTGGTTTTCCTGGTCCAGACTTAATTATTTAAAGGCCGCCGTGAACTTTGTCTTTATGCCATTGTTTACTGTTTAACGCTACACTCAGCAATATTCCAGCTATATGACGGCGTTCTGTAAATAATCGAGTCTGGACCAGACAATACAGTGATTGACATCATGAGCATCGATCCACGCAATCGGGATGCGATGACATGCATCAACTAAGTCAGCGAGCCAGACCACCCGATTAGTCACCTTTTACGACAAGCATGGGTTGCTGGAGACCTATTCTACCCCGGATCTTCACGGGTCCGCCGTGAAATGGCTGTGGGCTACGGGGCTACACAACTGTTTGAACATGCTTTCACACTGTTAATGCAATTGCATATCACAAATGTTTCATTGAAGGAAAGCGTTGGAATAGGCATTATAGAAAGGAATGAAAAGTGGTTGTCCCATAATCACCATGTGATGTAGTTCTTGTTTTTGTTTGACCTTTGACCCGTTGATGATAACTTGTGCATGGGCAACACATGGTCTAACCCACACGGACCCGCCGTCATTCTCAACGATCGCGTGACGTTTCTGGATTCTGTGTATAAAAACAACAATCATGAAAAGATGACAAATGAAAATTTGATTTTATGTTAGTTACCTTCACAGAATGAGCAACGCCATCTACAAATTAGCTAAAAGGGGCACTAGGCTTGGATCAATCGGCAGCCCTGGCCAATTTGATTCAAGTCATTCAAAACCGACTTTGTCTGCTAGGGACATTTTAAAGATGGTAATGGTTACTTTAATTACAGGGAAACGGTGTCTCAGTTTCACGCAATGAAATTGCATTGGACCGGAACACATTAGGGCACAGTCAGTCCCTCTTTAATAGTCTCTCTTGACTAATTTACTGTTCAACGGAACCATCATTAAAATCAACTGTGAAAGAGATCCATTCACTATCCCGTTCAACATGCTAACAGTGTTTTAGGCACTATAGATGTCCAGTTTCATTTGCAACTAAGGGACCGACCATATAATTATTCTGTGGGAATATATTTAAAAAAATATAATTAAGAGCCTTTAGATTTATTAAGCAGTTTGCAAAAACAATTGTTTCCAAATGTCAGAAGCAAAATCTTTTTTCAAGCATTTGGGGAACAATTGGTTTTTTTAAGACAAAATCCCAGGAACCTCACATTTGAATAAGTGTCACGGTCTTAATAGCGATCATAACAATGTAGGTATTACCCAAGTCCTTTCAGTGCTATATTGATCTCGGGGTCTCCGGATTTACCAATTGTCATCGAGCCTGAAAAACAAATACATTTCAAATGAAAAATAGAAATATATATTTAAATATAAAGTCACGCATATGACATTGAAAACATAAGTCAACAACAAATGGTATTTATTAAAGCACATTCTTTACAAAAACACTGGGTAAAAGAAAGTATGCACATGAAAATTGGATTTGACCGAAAATTACAACGTTATCAAAACGTTACTAGGCTGAAAACAGTTGCCGAACCACAATTATTATACCCGTATGAAATACGTCACCGTCGAATAACCTGTTCTTGTTTGGTTAATTTCTAGCCACTATCACACATGGGTGTATACTTTCTTTTGCCCGGCAGCTTAAATGTGTCACAATGTTGCAATGGGCGTCATCAAATCAGACATACACTGGGTACGCCTACATACCATCTTCGTTAGATCTAGGTGTCATCGAAATGAGCATGGATCTCTTCTGTGTAAGAAGGGCAAGGTTAGAATTAGCCACTGACCTTCAACCAGTGCGTGTTTCACCACGCCCGTCAGCTGAGGGTCTTCATTCACGTTCATGAGATAGGGATTTATTTCCCACTCATTGCGGTCAGTCCTCAGGAATTCCTTTTCCCAGTCTCGTCTGAAAACAACCATGTACCGTCATAACATGCCTGTTAGATCTGAAGTATATAAAATAGTTGACTATCACGACATATGCTACTCAATAGAACCCCCTATCCTTTCATATGGCTGTAGTTAATCTGTCATGACATGTCATATGGAAAATTCGGGTGTTCTTATTATATTATATTAACTTGTAATAGCGAGGTTTGTTGTGCACTAACCTGGCTGCCTCCAGTCTGTGATCCCATGACTGCTGCATTTCCGACATCTTCCGCTGATTCTCCTGCAGCTGCTGTTCCAGGAGGTTCGTGTCCGCTACAACAGTGAGTGAGTGAGTTGGGTTTAACGCTGTGTTTAACAGTATTCCAGTTATATCGCGGCGTGTGTTTGATGTGGGAGGAAAGCCCGAAATGATGCAGGTCTCAGACGTTTACAACTTCGGTGAAACCCACGAGCACGGGCATGGTGCTGACAAACCTAGATATATAATCGGGGCGAAACGGGATTGGAACCCACAATCATAGGTTTCTGGCGTGCACAAGGGACGCAACTCTGTACAGCGAATCGAGGCGCTTCAGACGACTGGGCCACCCGCGCCCCCGGGCTCCAACAGATCACAGCTATCCACTGACCACACTACCCCTACACCCAGTGCACGTCCAGACGCAGCTGCTGACCACACTATCCCGACACCCAGTGCACGTACTGACGCAGCTACTGACCACACTATCACTACACCCAGTGCACATACTGACGCAGCTACTGACCATACTACCACTACACCCTGTGCACGTACAGACGCAGCTACTGACCACACTACCACTACAACCAGTGCACGTACAGGCGCAGCTACTGACCACACTATCACCACACCCAGTGCACGTACAGACGCAGCCACTGACCACACTACCCCGACAACCAGTGCACGTACAGACGCAGCTACTGACCACACTACCCCGACAACCAGTGCACGTACAGACGCAGCTACTGACCACACTACCCCGACAACCAGTGCACGTACAGACGCAGCCACTGACCACACTACCCCGACAACCAGTGCACGTACAGACGCAGCTACTGACCACACTACCACTACAACCAGTGCACGTACAGACGCAGCTACTGACCACACTACCACTACAACCAGTGCACGTACAGACGCAGCTACTGACCACACTATCACTACACCCAGTGCACGTACAGACGCAGCTACTGACCACACTACCCCTACACCCAGTGCACGTACAGAGGCAGCTACTGACCACACTACCCCGACAACCAGTGCACGTACAGACGCAGCCACTGACCACACTACCCCGACAACCAGTGCACGTACAGACGCAGCCACTGACCACACTACCCCGACACCCAGTGCACGTACAGACACAGCTACTGACCACACTACCACTACAACCAGTGCACGTACAGACGCAGCTACTGACCAAACTACCACTACAACCAGTGCACGTACAGACGCAGCTACTGACCACACTATCACTACCCCCAGTGCACGTACAGACGCAGCCACTGACCACACTACCCCGACAACCAGTGCACGTACAGACGCAGGTACTGACCACACTATCACTACACCCTGTGCACGTACAGACGCAGCTACTGACCACACTACCACTACACCCAGTGCACGTACAGACGCAGCTACTGACCACACTACCCCTACACCCAGTGCACGTACAGACGCAGCCACTGACCACACTATCACTACACCCAGTGCACGTACAGACGCAGCCGTGGACCACACTATCCAGACACCCAGTGCACGTACAGACGCAGTTACTGACCACACTACCCCTACACCCAGTGCACGTACAGACGCAGCCGCGGACCACACTATCCAGACACCCAGTGCACGTACAGACGCAGCTACTGACCACACTACCACTACAACCAGTGCACTTACAGACGCAGCTACTGACCACACTATCACCACACCCAGTGCACGTACAGACGCAGCTACTGACCACACTATCACCACACCCAGTGCACGTACAGAGGCAGCTACTGACCACACTACCACTACAACCAGTGCACGTACAGACGCAGCTACTGACCACACTACCACTACAACCAGTGCACGTACAGACGCAGCTACTGACCACACTATCACTACACCCAGTGCACGTACAGACGCAGCTACTGACCACACTACCACTACACCCAGTGCACGTACAGAGGCAGCTACTGACCACACTACCCCGACAACCAGTGCACGTACAGAGGCAGCCACTGACCACACTACCCCGACAACCAGTGCACGTACAGACGCAGCTACTGACCACACTACCACTACAACCAGTGCACGTACAGACGCAGCTACTGACCACACTACCACTACAACCAGTGTACGTACAGACGCAGCTACTGACCACACTATCACTACACCCAGTGCACGTACAGACGCAGCTACTGACCACACTACCCCGACAACCAGTGCACGTACAGACGCAGTTACTGACCACACTATCACTACACCCAGTGCACGTACAGAGGCAGCCATTGACCACACTACCCCTACACCCAGTGCACGTCCAGACGCAGCTATTGACCACACTACCACTACACCAAGTGCACGTACAGACGCAGCTACTGACCACACTACCACTACAACCAGTGCACGTACAGACGCAGCTACTGACCACACTATCACTACACCCAGTGCACGTACAGACGCAGCCACTGACCACACTACCCCGACAACCAGTGCACGTACAGACGCAGTTACTGACCACACTATCACTACACCCTGTGCACGTACAGACGCAGCTACTGACCACACTACCACTACACCCAGTGCACGTACAGACGCAGCTACTGACCACACTACCCCTACCCCCAGTGCACGTACAGACGCAGCCACTGACCACACTATCACTACACCCAGTGCACGTACAGACGCAGCCGCGGACCACACTTTCCAGACACCCAGTGCACGTACAGACGCAGTTATTGACCACACTACCCCTACACCCAGTGCACGTACAGACGCAGCTACTGACCACACTACCCCGACAACCAGTGCACGTACAGACGCAGCCGCGGACCACACTATCCAGACACCCAGTGTACGTACAGACGCAGCTACTGACCACACTATCCAGACACCCAGTGCACGTACAGACGCAGCCGCGGACCACACTATCCAGACACCCAGTGCACGCACAGACGCAGCTACTGGCCACACTATCACTACACCCAGTGCACGTACAGCCGCAGCTACTGACCACACTACCACTACACCCAGTGCACATACAGCCGCAGCCACTGACCACACTACCCCTACACCCAGTGCACATACAGCCGCAGCTACTGACCACACTACCACTACACCCAGTGCACGTACAGCCGCAGCTACTGACCACACTACCACTACACCCAGTGCACATACAGCCGCAGCTACTGACCACACTACCACTACACCCAGTGCACGTACAGCCGCAGCCACTGACCACACTACCACTACATTCATTACATGCATTGGTGCAGAACACCGACAGACACTGATCACACACTGTACCTACACCCAGTACATTGGGCAGACACAAAATCCATAGTTCGTTGTTTACTACAACCTCGTGGATGCACAACAAAAGAACTGGGACTTGGATCTGCATGCTGCTCATATATTAGTAACACAGCGAGCGTTTTTCGTTGTGTTTATATATAATGGTAGAGAATAGGCTTTACATTCTGACCTAAACTACATATTTCCAGCACCAATTTTGACACCTCACTGAAACGTATTAAGTTCTTAGCATTAACTTTATTACATTATACTGTTATTATATAACATTACGCTATTTTGCCTTTTACGTCTAATGGAATGTGTTTCGTGATATTCGGGTTATAGACAGGTTATTCTCTGGCGTTGTCGTGTTATATTCAGTTATATCACGTTACGTTAGCTCAATGTGAGATGAATAGAATACTCAGAGTGACCTTTACCACTTTGGCGAAAGTTGGAGCTGACAAACCCAGGATCAGAGATTATCAGCGGAATAAAGCACGGCCAATTCTGCACAACCTCCTCAGCGTTAGAAATTGGCACTAGTCCTGTAGTCCTCTCCAAACTACCCAATAGTTGAGGTATCATAAGGATTAGTAGAAATTTGGCAATTTGGGTGTGTGTGTGTTGCAAAATGTTATCATTATATGGACAAGTGGACTAAAACGTTAGTGTCTACCGCTGGAGTCCTTATAGTGAGGAAATGATATTGGTAACTGTACCACCATATGTATGTACTCTATCAAACGTATTAAATACCTCCAGGTTTAGCCCCCTTGCCCCCCAACAAGGCCATAAGCTTGGCGTTCTCTTCTTTCAGTTCACGTATGAGGCGGTCGGTGGGACTCTCGTTGACAACAGCTTTGTTCTGGATCTTCTTGGCTCTATTAAATTAGTAATGATAAAAAAAGAGATTGTAAGAACTAAATGTGTTATCAATATTGTGTGCGTTTATACAAAACTTATTCTCATCCTCAAGTAGTTAATTGACTTGTGGTGCAGCTATGTTATTGCCTTAGGCGCAAACAAAATTCGCTGGAACAAAACGTATTTTGGATTCAGAGTCACGTATCATACTATAGTGTCTCACCTATCTGCATATCGAAGTGTGGACAAGGTTTCGTCATAGTTGATATCCGCTGGACTGAGTGCAGCGATCTGAAAGTGAAACCAGAATTAAGCAGCTAGCCTCGCGTGTTTGTCAACCACTCACACCTTCAGGCAACTATATGCATAATGAATGGGAGAAGCGAGAACGAACACACAAACCAGCGTGCACACACACACACACACACACACACACACACACACACACACACACACACTTCATCAGCGCGGAACCTATGTCATTCGTATAAGATGACGACTGAAAATGTGGGGAAAAGAATTTTAGTCATGTTTATAGTTTTACTTCTTGAGACGTTTAGCGCTTGAACTATTTGTTGAATACAGTCAGAACGTTTACTGATTATATAGTCAAGTAGAGCATGTGTGTTAAGTTGACAAAGTTAAAATGTATATGAACGTGCAGACGGATTTGACTTAATCAGCCATATCTCACACGTGGTGTGTTCTGTTCAATGAATTACACTGACTATTTCAACAATATATAGTGAATGTTGTTTGATAGGCATTACTTAGAAGTTGACGGATGACAAGGTAGACACAATTCTATGGATAACAACTTTTTTAATACTGTGAAAAAAGCGACGTTTCGGTAAAGATCCTTATACCGTTGTTGCTTGACAACGGTATAAGGATCTATACCGAAACGTCGCTTTTCACAGTATTAAAAAAGTTGTTATCCATAAAATTGTGTCTATAGTGAATGTTCTTAAACATAAATAGCCTCATTTGGGTTTTATTCATAACAGGACACACAGACACCTGAGACAACATCCGTGGTCTACTGGATATAATATTATACTTATTTATCAAATGTACGTGAAGCTTTTATTCGATGTTGTAATTGTATCGCATGGCCATGTTTGGAATCGAACATCTGTCTCAATGACGAGACAGCCTCTATGGTCTAGTGGAGAGAGAATCTGCTCGGAGAGCGGAAGGCGGTTGGTTTGATGCCCGGCTTTGTCATACCCATAGACATTTAAAGATGCTACTTGTTGTTACTCTGCCTGGCGCTTAGCATTGTGCCAATAAAACAGGTAATGATTGGCTCGGAGTCAATATACTGTGTCTGAGTACGATCTTCATGTTAAACTGTATGATATGTCATTGGGCTAGCTCTGTAAACCGGCATTAATCCGGACTAGTACACACACCTGTGACGGACGCACGCAAGTACGTACGCACACACATTCATGTACGACTCTATACATATACAAAAATCTTGAACGCGACGTTAAATCCTATTTCATCTCACCCCACGTTTAAAAGACAGGCACCTTAACAGACGTTTGTCCATGTATACTGACCATAATCGTCCTGCTGTTACCCCCGAGCGCCGACTGCAGCAACTTGGTCAGGACGGAATCTCTGTAGGGGACCATGACTTTCTTCTTGCCCATGGCCTGGTCAGCGAGGGCACTGCAAGGAACAATCGTAGGTAATATATACTTTAAACATTCTGCAGGAGGGACATTATACTTCTAAAGATATAAGATAAACTATACTTTACCTTTAAACATTATAGAATCTTCAATAGATGTAAGGATGGTTGGTTGGTTGGTTTGTTGTTTAACGCCGCACTCAGCAATATTCCAGCTATATGACGGCGGTCTGTAAATAATCGAGTCTGGACCAGGCAATCCAGTGATTAATATCATGAGCATCAATCCACGCAATTGGGATTGATGACATGCATCAACCAAGTCAGCGAGCCTGACCACCCCATCCCGTTAGTCGCCTTTTACAGCAAGCATAGTCACCTTTTACGGCAAGCATGGGTTGCTGAAGACCTATTCTACCCCGGAATCTTCACGGGTCTGTAAGGATGGTGTTAAATTAATATGATACTATGTTCAACATCCTGCTGATCATATCCCGTCTAGATATAGTCACAGTGATAAGTGTTTTTGTCAACCTGAGAAAACTATCATCAATCTGATACATTTATACAATAAGGTTTAAATTGCCATGAGGTGCATGGGCCACTTGAGTCATTAATGTTGCTGGAGGTCCCAATTGATCCGTCCTTGTGTCACATTCTACCACGGCATGATCGCAGTGTGTCCTGACGCTGGGTGTATAAGTAATAACCTACACTTTGGGGGAATCAGTAACATCTCTGTAGAAATGCTGCAATGCCCCTTTTCCTTAAATACATTACAGAATAAGTGATTAAATTGAGTCGGACTATATCGTGTGATGCTGAGGTAAGTTAAAAACATGTGTAGACGTAGAGTTGGTTAAGACGCTACATATCCTAAAGAATTGTAATTCAACGTCAACGTGACGTCAATACCATTAATGTTTGGAGCAAATCAGGCAGGATCTGTGATATTGATGTACTACTCAACAGAAGTCAAAGAACATAAGACTTTTCTTATGACTCTTGTTAATCTACCATGGCTACATATATATCAATGTACATGTTCCTGTCACACTTTCAGAAAAGCTAGCGAGACTAGAAAAGCTACTTCATCGCATAAACCTAGAGAAGATTTTTTTAGAAAGTGGGAAAGTTGGATGCCGCTTTAAGCAGAAGTAAAGCGACGTAATGTAGGTGGACATTGATCGAGACGTTCAAGTGTTCAACTCAAATTAGATTAACTGAGACAGTGACTTGACAAATGACCACTCAGGTGCACGGTGCAGCTGGAGAATGTACCTGATAACATTGCCAAGCGACGATAAGCTCTGGTTTATGGCTGAGCCTTCCTTCAGGCGATCACCCGTTGCCCCCGTGGAGTTGGCTCTCTCGCTGCCCGCCAGGTCTACAAGATTGATTTCACTGCTCTTTGTCGTACTTTGACCCATTGCATTTGGAAATACCTGCAGGGGGAATGTTAAATACACTCTATAGACCACGAGGTGGTTGATCTTAAAACAATCATGGTAACAGTTAAATGATTAAATGTAAAAACAGTCTACCTGTTTGTTTCTGTTTAAAGGTTCAGTAGAGCAGCTGATCTTTGACAAAGTGAAATTATGCAGCGCATAGGCGGATCAAGAACGGTCCAAACCCTCCTCCCCCCCCCCCCCCCCCCCGCCACACACACACACACACACACACACCTGTTTTTTTAAAAACCAAATGTAGTAGTATGTTGTAGGCAGTAACATTGACTGAGAGAAGATTTTGATATCTTGGACCCCTCCCTTTTAAAAAGGCTCGATTTGTCCTTATTGCGATACTTAAGTATAAATATGTCTACGCATCAGAATACTGAGTACACGGTATGTGTAGTGGTTGTGTTTATTGCCAGTGATACACAATGCTAGTGATTTCACGATTCTTTCACATCACTACTGTTAATCTGTCATGGCATGTGAGTGAGTGAGTATGGTTTTACGCCGCTTTTAGCAATATTCCAGCAATATCACGGCGGGGGACACCAGAAATGGACTTCACACATTGTACCCATGTCGGGAATCGAACCCGGATCTTCGGCGTGACGACATACGCTTTAACCGCTAGGCTACCCGACCGCCCTGTCATGGCATGTAAGAATCGGATGATGACCGACGCACTATAGTAATATGAAAGAATCGGGTGGCATGACAGATGTTCTATAGTAATATGAAAGAATTGGGTGGCATGACAGATGCACTATAGTAATATGAAAGAATTGGGTGGCAAGACATATGTACTATTGAATATGAAAGAATTGGGTGACATGACAGATGTACTATAGTAATATGTAAGAATTGGGTGGCATGACAGATGTAGTATAGTAATATGAAAGAATTGGGTGGCATGACAGATGTACTATAGTAATATGAAAGAATTGGGTGGCATGACAGATGTACTATAGTAATATGAAAGAATTGGGTGACATGACAGATGTACTATAGTAATATGAAAGAATTGGGTGACATGACAGATGTACTATAGTAATATGTAAGAATTGGGTGGCATGACAGATGTAGTATAGTAATATGAAAGAATTGGGTGGCATGACAGATGTACTATAGTAATATGAAAGAATTGGGTGGCATGACAGATGTACCATAGTAATATGAAAGAATTGGGTGGCATGACAGATGTATTATAGTAATATGAAAGAATTGGGTGGCATGACAGAAGTATTATAGTTATATGAAAGAATCGGGTTCCATGACAGATGTACTATAGTAATATGAAAGAATTGGGTGGCATGACAGATGTACTATACTAATATGAAAGAATTGGGTGGCATGACAGATGTACTATACTAATATGAAAGAATCGGGTGGCATGACAGATGTATTATAGTAATATGAAAGAATCGGGAGGTTCTTAATGTATTTTGAGTAGTATATGTAAGGGGTGGATAAAGCTATATGAAACTACCAAACGTAGCACCGGCCTGCCGCGCAGCTCATGGCATCGACACAAATATAATGTAAGATAGCACTGCTGATACTGTATCAACTGTTGAATGTATTGATTGATAATGGCCATAATTCTATTGACAGTATATAAGGTATAATACTCAAATTACCACAACTCATACCACAACAATATATTTAGCTTGATGTGTTCGTTAGTTGTTGGATTTAAAACAAAATTTTGAGTCAAGGTTAACGTCTGAATAATAATTAATTTAATCAAAATTAAAATATATATGAAACATTATGACACACTCATACTACAGAACATAACCCTAGGATTCTCCCGAACTAAAAGGTATCTACATTAATACATGTGCGCCTGAGTGGATTCTCTCATCTAATCTAGTAGGGGCGGTCGGGTAGCATAGTGGTTAAAGCGTTCGCTCGTCACGCCGATGACCCGGGTTCGATTCCCGACATGGGTACAATGTGTGAAGCCCATTTCTGGTGTCCCCCGCCGTGATATTGCTGGAATATTGCTAAAAGCGGCGTAAAACCATACTCACTCACTCTAATCTAGTAAACTCCTACCATGGTGCAATTCACTATTTCAAGTCCATTACTGGATGTAATTTAATTTCTTTCGAATAAAAACAACCCCTGACAGTTATTAAAAACCCGGATGATATATTGCAATGTGATCGTGAGTTTGAGATAAGTTTTTTTTAAAGCTGATTCTGGTCTGCCAGGTACGGTCATGACTGCATGGAACGCAAGTGAGCTAGCGTGGCGCCACGCTGAACAGACGATGTGTATTCTTACATTAGCATAACGCACATAAAAATATGTTCAGACCTAAGAAGTTTGCATTTTGTATTACATATCGCCTGACAAGTCAATATTGACTCAAAGTGTAAGATTAATCGTATTAAGGTAGACTCTTGCCAAAGCGTTTGACGTCTGATGAAATGTCTATATTTACATACATGTAAGGTGAACTTGAAATTATAATTAATCTCCGACTCTGATAATGTCTGCTGTCGTATTTCACCACGGCATTCAATGTTCAATTTGTAATGAAATTCAGAGAGTCAAATGCCATATCTATTTATCAAAGGCAATTTTGATAAGGGTACAGTTTTGCTGTGAATTGGGTTACAAGACATATCAACCATCGTCTAATAGGTATATGTATATGTATATATTGTAATAATTAGATAAGTGGAAGTGGAAGAATGAGCTCAGTTTTAATTGGCTTGCGCTTTCAACTCGTATGAGTCTCATCAGGCCTTATCTGTACTGTAACTTTACTGCTCTCTCTCTCTCTCTCTCTCTCTCTCTCTCTCTCTCTCTCTCTCTCTCTCTCTCAGTTCACAATGTCATTTAGATAGTGGTCAAATGTAACAAATAGTGGTCAAATGTAACAAATGTTATATTTGGGATAACACGTAAAGTGCTTCATAAAGAATGGTATTGGCCTGCGGTTAATGCGATTAAGTTTTAGCTGACCGAATATCTTGACTGCATGTAATACGTGAATTGTTTAGAGACTTGTGATTTGTGCTGATTTATTTTATTTAGTATTCCAACTTTCATAAATGAAAACGCCTCCAAAATTCAAGAAGCTAAGATAATACCTTGACAGGGTCAATAAAGTTAGTGTTCCACGTGAACCCAAGCCAAGCTAATCCTCTCTGTTTCAGTTAACCTCCTGTTTACTGGCAACATGGTGTCTGAATAGTGGCATGTCTGATAAATGAGAGGGAACCACTTACATGAATCATATGTGTCAAGAACCATTCCTTTGATGCGTCAGTAACATCTGCTCCTAATCTGTCTTTTTTATGTTTGTCTGTACACGTTCCTTTGCATGCACAACGACACTCAGATAGGCGAGTGAGTGAGTGAGTTTGGTTTTACGCCACTTTTAGCAATATTCCAGCAATATCACGGCGGGGACACCAGAAATGGGCTTCACACATTGTACCCATGTTGGGAATCGAACCCGGGTCTTCGGCGTGACGAGCGAACGCTTTAACCACTAGGCTACCCGACCGCCCCCTCAGATAGGCGAATAAATACCACAAGGCAATAACGCGTTCGTGCTGCTACATGCAAATCAAAGGATTCCATATCTATTTGTTTGTTATTTAACGCCCCAGTCTGTAATATTACAACTATAAGACAGTGATCTTCAAATAATTGATTCTGGACCAGACAATGCAATGATTGACATCATGAGCATCAATCTATACAATTGGGATACGATGACATGCATCAACCAAGTCAGCGACCCTGATCACCTGATCCCGTTTGTCACCTCCTAATACAAGTAAGTGTTGCTGAAAACCAATTCTAACCCGGATCGTCACGGGTTTGAAAATCAGTGGTGTAATAATTAATAACTAAATACCAAAATGGTATCTGCGTCATATTCAGCACGAATGATATTTGTGTGGAAGTGGAGTTGGTAAAAGTAAGGCTGGAGGTAGGTTGTCATGGAAATACAGCACAAAGACAATGCAAGCTTCCATGAAACAAGGTCCAAGCACCAGCAACTAACCCGATCCTCACAAGGTCCTTATCTATAGTTCCACTAATCACACCTACCTGTTCAAACTTGATGGTGATAACCATATGCGACCTGCTGCTGGTGGCGTTCATGTTGGTTGAGGCGGTGGTTCTGTTGTACGTGCCCTGTTCCATGAGTTTCTCTATCTGCTTGTAGTTCTTCACTGGAACTAGCTGGAACACGTGATGAAGCCTTGCATTAGAGACTGCAAGCGGGGCGGTCGACGTATCCAAGTCTATATGTATGAATGATTTATATATAAAAATAAGTATACAAATAGTATATTAGTATTACACATACCTTGAGTCCCTCCACATAGAAGCCAATTTTGGGATTCAGTCTGACTTTGAGTCCGCCAATCTGCTGTTTCCCCTTGGCAAGAAGGTCGCGCACCTGTTCGTTGTAAATCTCCAACATACTAAATGACACCTGTAAAACAAAAGACACTAACTGTTATATACCCCCCTTGCATATTAAATTATCTTTTTGTTATTAACTTAGTCGTTTCAAGGACGTATTGCTTACAATTTTGTATTTCCAATAAAAAAGCTTACAAAGAATAATTTACCAGCTGTGTTTCCTTAATCTGATTGCTGGTCCATTGCGACAATGTCAAAAGAGGGAACCTCATATATATGATCCGTCATGCTTAATAATATAAGGACGTACCCTAAGTTGTTTGTCGTTGTCTTCATTGTCATCTATAGCCTTGAACAGCTCGCCACACGTAATGGGGACGATGCCCTTGTTGGCGTTGTAGCCGATCATTGAGTAGCTCTTCCCAGAACCTGTCTGCCCGTAGGCAAAGAGGGCAGCGTTGTAACCCTGCCATGCGTTGTCCAGCACCCCCTGGCCGAGGTCTTCAAATACTCGTCTCTGAACACAAACATCATGAGAAAATAATGCTCGTCTGATAGTCCGTAGCTACTAAGGATCCAAAGGGCTAGTGGAGTGTTGATGGCCATCTTGGCGTGTTCTATCTCACAGAAAACAATAGTAGCCTAATATTTGTGCTTTCAATTGCTTGTGATTCACACCAATCTGTATCTACGTAGTTTTTTTCACACCATGGATATAAACCTCAATAGAGGCACGATACAAAAAGTTAGGACCGGTTTATGTTGACTGAGGATAGTAAATGTTCCTGACTAGCAGCCCGAGTTACAACTGAACGTTTTGTGTTGACAAAGAACAGCGTAATTAAATAGCCTTCCTGGGTAGTCTTTATGGATTGTGCGTAGCATAGTTCCGCAAATGACATTATACTTTGCATATTCAGTAATCGGTCTTTGATAGCACTTGACTGAATATATGAATCGTATGTAAGATTTATTCATTGGTATAGTAATTATTCACCATCGATTATTACACTGGCTAACTTGGAATATAGGACTGGGCGCCGTTGTACAAAGCGATCTTAGTGCTAAGGTGATCGTAACTCCCATACCTTAACATAGACTTACGACAGTCGTAGCGCTAAGGTTGTTTTGTACAACGGCACCCTGACCATATAACAAATAGGACGCGATTACTTGTGCGAGGGATATCATGATAGTTGCACAATGTAACAGAAAGTTTCGATATTATCGCCTATCTATTTACCAGATGACAGTTCTACACGTAGTGATACTCTAAGTTGGAAAACAGTACTAAACGAAGATAAATTGTACCAATTATAAGTGTGATCCAATTACCAACGCATACTCGTGTCTGAGACACAAATCATAACAATGTCCTGTGTTGAGAAATAGCTGAATATGCTCTTAACATACGTATCGCGATGAATAGATATAGCGATGGATCGTGATACTCCTCTTAACCATGGTGCATTCCTTGTGCGTGCGTGCGTGCGTGCGTGCGTGCGTGCGTGCGTGCGTGCGTGCGTATGATTCAACGTTATGTCAATACCATTTATGTTTGGAACAAACGAGAAAGTAAATGTGATATTGATAAATCCTCAAAAGGAGTCCAAAAGTACATCGGGTATAAGCTCTGAACTCTGACCTGGTCAGCATAGCTTGATTCAGGCGACTCTCTCTCATATATTCCCTCCTCGTCTTCCGTGAAGCTGTCGTGGGACCAGTAGGATTGGTCGAATGCGAACGACTTGACCTCGCCATTGGCAGGGTTGGTGAGGCGGGTAGTCTTGCCGTCCATAGAAACGATACATTTTGATCCTGCATTTTTCTCCCTCTGAAAACAAATGTATTCGCAATAAAATGATAATGTGTAGCTCTACTGGATACTTTTCAAATCAGTACTGTATCTCTTAGATATTGACAATAGTGAAACTATATTACTGAAAAGAAGTTAAAGAATACACGATTCCTTCACATCACGATAGTGATATGAAAGAATTGGGTGCTCTTTACCTTCTTTTGAGTAGTATACATCAATGGTGACTAAAAAAATATCAGCTCTGTAACAAAGTAGTTCCAGCACTATTGCAGAGCTTCGTTACGTCCCGCTAACACCGGATACCATAGATTTTATTAATACATAACGCCGAATCCGGTTAAAGCGGTCGCTCGTCGCACCGAAGGCCCAGCGTTCGGTTCCCCATATGAGTACAATATGTGAAGTCCATTTCTAGGCCTTGTTACACAAAGGGATCTCATCCCTAAGATGATTGTAACTCCCATACTTTAGCAAAGGCTGGTGATAGTCGTAACACAAAGATTGCTTCGTGGAACGGGTCCCTGGTATCCACCTGCGCCATATTGCTGGAATATTGCTAAAAGCGGAGTAAAACCCAACTCACTCACTCAAGCCGCCGGGTACTAGTTACTGCGTTGTTAAATGACGAAAACGTCGAATCTGACGTCAACGTAAAGTAACTACATATCTAATCCAGGAACAGCTTGTCCCCTCACTTTAGAGACGAGTAGACATGTTGGAAATAATGGCTTAAAATGCAGATATAGCATATGATACATCGTGTTCTATCGAATAGGTTCCCAGTCAACGATGCTTATAACTGTTAGAGACGACTACGTGTAATTAGATTCGGCGGTCAGGCTCGATGACTTGGTTGATTGCGTGTCAGAAAATTAATCAGTAGTTTGTCTGGTCCAGACTCGATTATTTACAGGCCGCCGCCATACAGCTGGAACATAGCCTTGGTGACGTTAAATAACAAACAAAGAAACATCTCTTGAATAGATTAATCTTATACTGAATCCCCAAAAGCCGCATTAGAGTACCTCTTGCATGCAACATCAGATAGTGTCCATGTCACAGAAATATGTCCCCTCAGGTGAATAATGCACCTCAAAGTGACAGTTGTAACGCGTTTTGGTGAATTCAGTAACACGATTATAGGTCAGAATTTAACAATGATGAATGTTACTAGTCGTATGGCAATTTCTCACAATCTCAAAATGTGATAATTAATGGTACTTAAACATTATTGCATGCAAGAGGTTGAAGCTCTAAAAACAACAGTTAAGTAAAACATGTTTTGTCTGTGCTTCGTAGCCGTGCATGTTTCGTCAATTTAAAATACAATTGGTGAGTATCAGCATTACCACTAGTATATCGCCACATATACGTGATTGTGATTTATTTGTTTGAATGTAACGAGGTAACACTGGAGTGCAGTTGTGTCAATAAGTCTTCATGTGAATGACTTATTGCAGGACAAATCACCGAAATTAATTTTAACTGCCTTTTCATGACCATTTCAAGTTGTAGGTTTGTGTTGATACGTTAAGACACCACAAAAAACCTCATGACTTAATTCAACTAGGTGCAGGAATTGTATGAAAACAGAAACTGCGTGTATGATATATAGCATAGTTAATTACACAAATACAGTAAACCACGGTTATAACGAACTCAAAGGGACCACTAATTTTAGTTCGTAATAACCGTAGTTCGTTATAAGCATATATACATCAAATGGCCGGGACTAAAAAATAAGTTCGTTATATCCGTCAGTTCGTTATAAGCGTGTTCGTTATAAACGTAGTTTACTGTAGTTACAGTAATGTAATTAACTATGCGTTTTAGCAGTACATGCGTCTGCAATACAATTCAAATAAATTCTTTTTACTTAGTAATAAATATGGGTTTGTCTAGCAAGCAGCCCGGTAGGAAGAAAAATACGATTAATGATCCCATCTGCAACACTTTAAACTCGGGAACTAGGATATTTAACGACAAACAAAATCTGTCCCCGACGCTAGTCGGGTATATTTTTTCCGGGGTTTCACCTACAAACATGGATAAGGTAACACATTATTCAAACTTGGCGAAAATGAGATATGAGTCCCAATAACTGCCAAACAGCATTGACTTTGATAAGGAATAACAGCTTCAGGTGGGAGGAATGTGGGTGAGTTGTGTTAACGCCACTTTTAACATTATTTAACTTATATAACGGCGAGTCAGCTTAATGTGGGATAAAAGCCCGAAGTAATGGAGGTCTTTTACGTTTACCACTTCGGTGAAACCCACAATCAAAGGTTTCCGGCGTGCCCAAGGGACTCTGCAGAGCGAATTGCGGCGCCTAAGAGGACTGGGCCGCGGCGTGTCCCCTCATATGGGAGGAAAGCACGAAGTGATGAAGGTGTTATAACCTTACCAACTTTTGTGACAAACCTAGAAACACAATCAGAGAGAATCTGGAATTCGAACCCACGATCATAGGTTTCTGCCAGACCCAAGGGACGCAAATCTGCAGAGTGAATTGAAGCGCATTTGATGACTGGGCCACCCGTCCTCCTATGACGAGACAGAACCCGGTTCTGTCAGCGCAGATGTTTGCACCAGAAATAGGGGTTATAAGTCACCGACTGAACAGAACACAACTCTTATGTCTTGAAAGGTCATCCAACTGACTTGTCCTTTGACTTGTCAGCCTTAAATCTCATCCGAGGAGAGACTAAACGTAACTGGTACAGCATATATTGTACACCTTGTCACGCCAGACACGTTCACACGAGTACTAACGCTGTGGCAGCCGTTTTGCCCACTAGGGTACTTGGATGTATATCAATATGTCTCATTCTCTAGTAATCCGGGGGCGGTGGGGTAACCTAGTGGTTAACGCGTTCGCTCGATTCCCACATGACCTTTGGTAAGCACAACTTGTGAGGCCTATTTCTGGTGTAACCACCGTGATATTGCTGGAATATTGCTAATAGCGGACGTAAATCCATGCTCACTCACTCACGTACCCCTGGTCCTCTAACTCAGTATTTGCGGATTTTGAATCTTGAGAATCAACATAATATGCACGACACTGTACAAATGCCATTGAAATCTCCCATGCGATCTCAATTAACATGAAGTGTATCAATTTGATACCATTAATCCTTTGTTACCAGCGTGAAAAACAGTGCCGCATGCCTTCAGGTATTGACTTACGTGGACAACAGCTCTATTGAAACAGTAACCATCAGACCGTGATCAGAATACAGATAACAATAACATATACTGCTGCAAGGCACGTTGACCGGTAGACAAGTGGAGCGATGACATTGTTATCCATACAAGATTTAGGGACGGTCGGGTACCCTAGTGGTTACAGCGTTCGCTCGTCACGCCGAAAACCCGGGTTCGATTCCCGACTTGGGTACAATGTGTGAAGCCCATTTCTGGTATCCCCGGTGATATTGCTGACATATTGCTAAAAGTGGCGTAAAATCAAACACACTCACTCACTCCCCATACAAGGTTGTCATTGCGTAATCTTTGTCCGTTAGCTCCCCTTTGAATAAGTTTATTCACGGAAGTGCTAGACAGCATAACCATAGTACAATTTTCACATTTTCATACGGTAAGAGTACAGTGTAACCCCGATATTCCAGAACACAATAATCCGTAAACTCCGCTTTTCGGAAGATTTTGTAAGTGACATTTACATTAATACGTAAGGAATAATTATGTGACAATGATTCTATAATCCGGACATTTGTTAAACCGGACGAATTCAGTGGGAAAGGAACCGTCCGGATTAAAGGGGTTCCAATGTACTTTGTTTGTAACAGAGCATGGTGAACATAGAGCGAGTAGATTCGCACATTTGCTAAACTTCACTGTCCATAAGAAATGCAGATAAGAAATACATGGTACAAACATACCGGTTGACAGTTGAAAAAATACCGCACACGTCTTAGTTGTGCGGGTTAAAGTGTTGAGATAAGGCATCTAGAGTCTGTATTTACCTGACATATCTCATTATGTACGCGGCCCGGCTGTTCTTTCAAGGAAGACTGAGGTCTGACTGATTATGAGGTCGATCCGTACCTCTTACAATACAATACGTGATTATGAGGTGATTCGTGACAACCTACATTGTTGGCTGTTTAAAGATTACCATTAGCATGTGAACATCATAATATACCAGATATATTTATACAGTTTTATTGGCGGTCTTGTTTTGATAATGTAACGTATTTTCAATGCTTCCGGTTGCCAAGGGACAATCCAATCAATGTAAAAATATATGACCTTCCATTTTTTAGCAACACGGGCTCATAGTTCTAAAAAATAGCCCATCATAATCACATATAAAAGGGTTGATGCACACGTAAGCTATAAAATTTCAAAATCATCTAGAACATGATGTTCCTGATTGGTAACTCTTAGGAAACATAACTGAAAAAGGCTTTTTCACAAACCAAATGGATAGAAATATAGTTTACCAGCTGTTGACTAAGAGTGGGTCGCTATATGGCTGAAATAATGCCGATGCGACGTTAAATTTTAACTCACTCACTCACCCAAGTGTGGGTTATCTTGATCTGACACCGAAACTTATATTACGCAAACAATACAACTTGACGGTGATTTATGCATTGTGAACAGTTGCATGTGCCACACTATCAGCTCACATGGTGATACAACACACTTGTTTGATTACATTCATGCGTCTGTACCGATTCCATCAATAGTTAATCAGGAATCTTAACAGGCGTAACGGGTCTGCACAGGAGAAACAGGAAGTATTTTAACATAAAGCAAGAATCACCTTGTTGTGTCCGACGCCAATACGTGGGGTGTCAAAAGGTGGGATTATCTTATCTGAACAACCTCGCCCCGTGACATCCTCAGTCATTAGTCGAGTGATCACTGGTAGATATACAAAGCAAGCATGCCATGATTTAATTGCTGGTCTTCATATGTGTGGTATGTTTCCTGTGTCATGTTGACAGTGAAGCCCTAATAGAATTAGCACTGAGATTGGA